TTGCTCACATTCCGCCTTGAGGGGGTGGTCCTTGCTCGGCCAGGATCAGGGACCCAATATCGCCATGGACAGGCTCACCTTCGACCCGACAATGTCCTCAGCCTTTCATCAGCAACGGCTTGGCTCTGTAAGGATTCCAAAAATAAGTCCTAACCGCTCGTACACGAGATGTGACATGAACGGATGGAGCCGAGCGAGAGAGAGAGAGGAGCTATAAGGTTCGATCCCAATTCACATTATTCCGAAAACTCTCCCAGCAGTTGGGAGCAGCGAGGAACCTGTGGAGATGAATCCATGCGCCAAGTCACCTGCATAGACTGCCAGTGGACGGACAGAGAGAGAGGATAGAAGAGAAGATAGAAGATAGAAGAGACAAGACCGAAGAGAGGATAGAAGACAGTCGTGTAGATAGATGACAGAATGAAGTGAATGTAGATATCGGCTTTCTCTCGGACTCTGCTGACTTCACTTCCTGCCTTCGCTCGGGGAATAAGCAACCTGGCCAGCGTGATAGGCTATACGAGCATCACCATCGCATCGCATCCGTCTGAGCAACGCCGGCATGGACGAGAGAACTGCCGGCCCGGCTAACTTAGACTTGTTTAGCCTTCTCCTTAGCCTTCTCGCGGACCTTGGTTCGTCTTCCACTTTTAATTTAACCTTAACAACCTAATCCTTCACCGCATGATCTCTCGTCCACATCCTATATCCAGGCGCCCTCTACGGCGTCGACATCGCAGACGGGACAGGGACAGGGGCATGGAGTGTGTGGCTGCTGGTTAGGGAAAATGCATGCATGAACGCTGTTGGGCCGGCGGGTCGTCTCCTCCTGTCCTCTGTACAAGTCAGTAAGTCACCATTTCATCCGCAACTGGGCTGACTCGGGGAGCAAGAGTCTGCGTGCGGCGGCGTCATGGGCTGGGGCTAACGCAAGCCGATCGCGATCTCTCGGATCCTGGGGAAAAGAAATGAACGGGCGGTAAACGTGTGAATGCCCAACTGATGGGACCTCCATATTATTAGAGCGTACGGAGTATAACAAACCGGCACAGGGCCCTTCCCCACAATCTAACTGCGTACAGTTCGTCCGCTCAGAGTGGATTGGCTCGCGTAATTTGCTCGGGGAAGAGACATCGCAGGCTCCGGAGGAAGCATAATATTAAGCATTCCTTTAGCATTCTCCCTAGCGTCAGCGAGGTCCTGCGGGCTGGAAAAAGAAATCCGGTTCAATTAAGGGCCAGGGTTGCGCTGCGAGGATATACTTCTATGTTTGGAACATATCACAATTCCTGATCAAGCTATGCATCTACAGAGTGTCCATGAACTCGTTGAACCTTGCGGCAACCCTGGAGGAGACCCCTTCATCGGGTCGTAAGCGAAGTTACCTCGACGTATGAATGCTGGCCGGCATCGAGATATAAGCAGTTTGCTCGACAGGGTACGCTTCCTAGCTGCATATACGTACACTCACTACTGCAGAGCTTCTGGCAGCAAAATGTACCGGAGTATGCCTCCGCGTGTTTTCTTTTAGCGCGTGTTCCAAGGAGAAAGGCAAACCTGGGAGATTATATCTACTAGAAACTACCGACCGAGAGTCAGCACGACGAACTAACAGGACTAGCTGGAGAGAAAAAAGGAATGGGAAGGCTTATCAAACACCACTGATGTCATCGTCGTAGGGAAACCCAATCGTGATACGTAGCGCCATGCGAAGCTTCATCCACGACAGAAAGGGAGTATATCCCCAGCATGGTTCAGGGGTCTATGCTGCTGTCATCGTGACCCTCACTCTACTTGGCCACTCCTTACGCCCAAGCAGAGTTCGCCGGGTACCGGAAAGGTAGCCCGTAGCTCCCTCCAGTTGAATCATAACGGTTTTTCACCCAGGCCATGTCCGTCCGTCCACATGGGTTCGGTAGGCAGGTTCCCCGTATACGGAGAACGCCCGCCTGGCGTTGCAGAGGGAGGGAGGAAGATAGAGGGAGAGAGAGAAAGGAATGGAATAGTATCCATGTTCCTGGCGTCAAGCTGCCGGATTATTGGTGGAAATGCGCCTTCTAGCGAGTGCCGTCCATGTACGTCCACATTGAAGTATTCGGAATACACCAGACCGGAGAATTCCCATACTCGACAGCCGGCTGCTGGCACTGCTTGTCCTTGCCTTGCTTGCCTTGCTTTTGGATGCCCGGCTATTCCCACTCCGGGGGAGGTGTGTTTCTTATGCCGGCGCAAGAATCGTGACGGGATCGATCCCGATATGATAGTTATTCCAAGTTTGAGCTTCGATGCCGCTCTCCGCTTCAGCTTACCGGAATCTGTGCCGCGCACACCGATTCTTTTGCTCCCCGGTCTTTTCTCCGGATCGGTAAAAAAGTATACAATCATGTAATGGAAATAGGGGAGCCTGGGGAAGCGCGGGTGATTCGAATTGTTTTCCTCTCCTTTCTTTTGCTAGCCGTTTGTTCCTTTTTCTCTCTCTCTCTATGTCTCTCGCCACAGCCATAATTTCCCCGCAGCGCTGTCGAGCCGCAAACTCGGTCCTGACGCCCGTTGCAGTCGACGAGAAGAATAGTCATGCAGGCCGCAAGTAAGGGAGTGATTGAAATCGCAGGGAGAGGGGTGGCGGGAGAGATCCATATGCCTGCGTTAGGCTTCCATCAAGCCATGGCAGTGACAATACGAAGAACAGCGACGCTCTCCCATATATGCCCGTACATTATCAGCAAGGACCAAGCGTGGGAGGGGCCATGCAAGTATGTATGTATAGCAGGCTCGTAAGTTGAGTTTGTAGATCTAGGGTCAGTTAACAGAGATGCCAAAAGCCAAACGAGTGGGACGCAGCGAGGGCCCTGTACCCAAACTCACCTGGACCGCGCATCTCACCTATCGCGAAGGGTGCAAAAATGAAAATACCAAATGTTAAAAAAAAGGAATAATATGGGAAAAACGATGTGGAGCCACGCAAGAGTTGATGCAGGCCAGGATTTTGAAATCTAAAGTGTAAATGAATAAAAGAAAAATACAAAATATAAAAAATATTAAAAAAAAGGAAAACGGGAAAATTTAAGATAGATACTATGACGGGAGAAGCGAAATGACAGGTTCCTATTTGACCCTTCTTAAAAATAGTCTGAAACCCGTTAGACGGTACTTTTTTTGGCGCGATAGTCGAAAGAACGGTATGTGTTATATACATGCCCATTATATATACCCCATATTGATCACCGGGTAATGCAGGTGGGCTGAAGCTCAGAAGCAAAGGGAAAAGAAAAAAAAAACAAGGTGAAAGGGAAAAAAAAAGAAAAGCCAGCGTGACAGGCGGCTAAAGAGGAGACCGAAGATATAGAGAGACGGAGGTTGGTCGAGAAAAACGAAACATTAAAAATAGAGATATATCAAGAAGCCGCACACCCCTTGTTTTCAACCCCCATCCACATCCACAGCCCGGTTTCGTCCTCCTCTGCACGCCACATACGTACCATCGACATATCCAGGAGGAACCAGCAATACATACATAACCTCCCCCCTCCTCGTGGCGTTCGTTCACTGCGCACCAGCTGCGACTTCATCACACACCGGTCGTCACGTCCCCTTTCTTGTCAGTTGCTTAAGACCAGACCCATAGTTCACTGCCTTGACAGTTAAGGGTATCCTAAGCAGAGCTCTTCTCCGCCCACCTTGTCTTCTTCTTTCTATCGTGCTTTCATCGCCCCCCCGCCGCGGCCGTCACTCATTACCCCCTTCTTGTTGGGCAGTTGCGGACGCAAGGCATCAATCAGGAGTGGGAGACAGGATATGCTGCCTGGCTGCTGTCTCGGGCTTAGCTGGGCAAAGAATTAGATAAATATCCATCATTGGTCCAGTTTGATCACCGCCCCTTGCTGCTTGCAGTCGTTGTTCTTCCCCCATTGGCCATCACCAGAAAGCACCTTCAGATTTCAACCAAAAGCTCCGATTGGAAATCAAGACAGGGCATCCTCGACCTGAATCTCATCCGATAGACGGATAGAGCAGAAGAAGAAAAAAAAAAAGCCTGTCTGTGCATTGTTGTTTTCTCGGTGTGCGTTTTTTTTTTTCAAGAAGGAAAGGGAAAAAAGTTATACATACTTGACCGACTGTTCGCTGTTTTTCTGCACGGGGAGAACCTTGTACACAACCACTTTTGCTAAATTGTCCCCCTTCGCACCATTTTTCATTTATCGACACATCGTCATCGTCTTCTCCTTCCATCATCCCCACCCCCTTTTCTTTCAGGATAGCGCTGGGAGTATTGCATATCCCAACCTCTCCACCGCCTCCTCGACGCTGTACCTCTTAATAGCTGCAGCTACATCTGCCCGAAAATCAGCACTGTCGAACCGGTATCAGGATTGAGCCATAGACTATTGTGTGCTACCGAATCCGGGGAGAATACACCAAAAGTCCGATATACTCCCGGGTTGATCCTTGCTTTGGGTCTCCGAGCGAGCTCTGGACGTTGCATAGAAAGCGGTAGGTCGCCTTTTCTCCTTCCATCACCCTTCCCGACTATTGGTTTTCATCCCTCGGCACTCTCCCTCTAGCCATTCTCCCTTCGCCATTTCCTTTCTCTTTTTGGTTGAAGTTGCACAAACACGCGTGCAATCATTCGCGACGAAGGAGAAGGGGAGAAGGTGGGACTATGGCAAAAGGAAAGAGAGCGAACCTCACCCCATAATCCCAGCCCCAGCCGCCCTTTTATGCACTCGAGCATCAAGGCATCACAGATTCACCCTCCTTTCTCGTCCTAGCCTCGATCTGCCTGGAATCGTCGGTGAAGGGCCAGAGAAATTATTGATATAATAACTTACTCTTCCCGTGCGTTTTCGTCTGGTTGTCATCTTGCGCTTTGAATCATCATCCACCCTCTTCTTCCTTGGAATCTTCACTTCACTGCCCATTTGCATATTTCGCCCTTCATATCGGACCATTTGTGCTGATTGAAAGGTTTCTTTTCCTCCACAGCTCCAGCGAGACCTGTTATGGTTTTGCGCATTGTTCCATATATTGTCACAGGCAAAGTGGAGATTTCAAAGATATTGGGGACGCCAGAGGATGAGGAGAAGGATACGATCAGACTGACGGAATCAAGAACACCAGCAACGATCGCACAAGAAATCAGAAAAGCTCACAGCGAAGGATTTAAATCCCCAGTCATCGAAATGGGCATCCCAAATTCATCAATCGAGGAGTGGACCTATCAGGCACCAGCACAGGATCAAATCTCCATTCAACAATCATCCATGGTGCCACTTAAGCGCGTTAAAAATTCCCCCACAGGAAAAGACCGCATCAAGAAGCAGTCGAAGTGGTCAGCAGATGAAGATGCGCTGATCACTATTCTCCGAGGCAAAGGGATGAAATGGGAAGACATCAGCAAGAGACTTCCAAACAGAAGCCCAATAAGCTGCCGTCTCCATTATCAGAACTACCTCGAGAGGAGGAGTGAATGGGACGAAGACAAGAAAAATAAGCTTGCCAGGCTATATGAGAGGTAATTAACCCTTTAACCCAAAAACCAATATGGATGGCGCATCATTTACTAACCGAACATAGATTTAAAGCAGATATGTGGGCGAAAATCGCCGAGGAGATGGCCATTCCGTGGCGAGCCGCTGAAGCCATGCACTGGCAGATTGGTGAGCGCGGGATGGCCCAGCGAGCAGGCGTCACCCCATTCACATTTTCCAATGTCGCAACATCACCCCCCCAAAGAGTCCGAAGGGCCAGTCAACCAACCACAGGATCAGCACGGCGTGACTATCCTCCTCAAATCACCCAACTTCCATCCGTTGCTGAACTCACAGCAGGCATTCCAGCATACGCAACACACCACCCTGCAGTTGGAATGCACACAACATCACCCCCTCGTTCCCCCCCAAGCCCTTCCACCCTTGAGGCATATCGAACAAACCCACGACCTCATGAGAGGAGATTATAATTGGGTTAAGCCCCCTTAGACGTATCAACACGACGATTGATGACTGACTGCATAGCGGGTCTGGGCGGACGGATTGCATCCAGGATATTTGTTGGTGCTCGAATCCCGGGCACTTGTTTTATTATTCTTCTTCTTTTCATGAACGTGTAGCTCTAATCATGATTGTGTTATTTATGTTTTTATTGCATGCTTTAGTTGGCGACTTATTTTTTTGAATTCGCTTTTATTATTTCATGGCCGGATAATTGGCGTTGAAAAAGCATGTGCTGGTATCTTCACGATCGCGGTAGCGGGCAGGCAATAGCCCACCAGTTATCCTTCTCATATCCATGATCCAAAATTCGACCATGTGCAGCAGCGATATCGTTTTCCAATTCGTTCTCTTTGTAAAGATGGTAGTAGCGAAGATACGTAACTGGTGCCGTTTCTTGTTTTGGTTTTGGTTCTTCGGTTGCCTCATTTGTGGGCATGTCGTTGGGATTCTTCTTGCCTCTGCCCTTTTTAATTTTTGGTTTCTTCTCTTCGTTTGTCTTCAAGACCCATGGCACCATCACGTCTTGGTCATGGTCGACATCCCAGCCGCGTCGACTATCTTTTTGCTCCAAAGCCCAGACATAGATCAAGGCTTTGCCACCGACAGGATCGGATTCAGTGGGCGGTTTCAGGGTATCTAAAATTGAAGCAATCGCTTTCACCCTTCGCTCCGGAAGAGAAAGATGATGAACCACTGCGATTGAAATTGCAAAATCAAAATATCCAAGTGGGTGTGGCAGGTTCAAAGTGTCTGCTACTATTGCAGAGTGGGGCTGATGCTGCTTTGCAATTGTAGTCAAAGCTTCGGACCTAGATATGGTTGTTAACATGGAAAAGAAGATACTAAGAAATAGGGATATCCATGTGTATATAGAGAAGGTCTCACCTGTCGGAGGCTACGATAAATATATTAGGGTTGACTTTTAAATATTTCCCATTACCGCAGCCAACGTCCAGGCCGATGGAACCGTGTGGAAGTCCGTTCAAGAACCGTTCCACGATTGGCCAAGGCTAAATATTCCCGCTTAGAGAGGAGATATGAATAAATGTGAGGCAGAGGTAGAAGTAAACCCACTTTGTATCTTGTTGATGAAAAGTGCGGTGCGATCTCTTGGTAGACCTTATGGACGTGCTCCTCTTCGTATGATTCACCGTTTTTGACATCATGGCCATTATCGGGTTCCATGTTTGGTTTCTAGGCTAGTAGACGCTGTAGAATGCACAGAGGCGCTCACTATATGCCGGCAGATGCAGATGGCGCCAACATATACGGTGTCTATGCACGATGTCGTTGGTGAGATGCAGAATTTCCGGAAAAGGCAAACGAGCGCTCGACTATTTAGGGTTCGGCTGTGGCGCTTACTTAGGGAGCTTTGGCCAGTCACGTGGAAGTCTTAGGGAAAGACGACAGGAGAAGACATGAAGAGACAGGAGGACTGTAGAACAGTGTTTCGAGGGATGCAGAGGCGTATAGGGGGTTACACGGCTGGTGATTCCGACTTGGTTGTCATATGTCCAAGGTGGTATCACACATTTCAACGGCGATTACGAGGTAGCATCGGTCAAACCCGGCACATAATAGATCCTGATTACTGGGTAATAGAATATTCTTTACTGGCCATATACTGAGTACTCATCAGTACTTCAATTATATTAACGACTGGCTTGTAAATTTGATCTTAACTACCCGCGCCTGGCGTTTATCGGAAATAAGTTAATCCATGCGCCTATCTCGTCGGGCGCTTAATTATCTTGTTGGTGGGGGTTAATCAAGAGTTCAACCTTCTCTATATTTTGAGCCGTCCTATAAGAAGCCCTGAATTACTCTCGTTAAGCCAGGTATCAAGAGAGCTATATATCAATTTTGTCATCTTACGTGGATAAGATTTTAACATGGCTTCATTTGCGACCCCCGTTGACGTGTCTGTCCTGGTGTCAGTTGCTTCTGATAAAGGGGCAGACGATAAGCCGTCGTTTGCAACCGAACGTCGAGTGACTCCATCATGGACTGTTTTACAGTTGAAGGCAAAGCTCGAGACTATGACTGGTATTCCTCCAAGCAGTCAAAGACTGAGGCTAAAGTCTCCAGGACATGAATACCAGTGGATGGACGAAGATGACCAAGCGATTGGAAGGTGGAGCATTGGAAAAGGATGTGAAATCGAGGTCGGTAGAAGAGCTCCCCTTACAGACATTGACCCTTATTCGTGCTTGTTTGGCCTAGCATCAAATCGATGCATGGATTTCGTCTACTGTGACCCTTCCATTGCAGCTATCATAAGGAAGTACCTATACTAACTTATATATTAGGTCCACGACCAGCGCCCTGTCGCTGCGCGTCCAAATTACACCGATGTCTCAACTACTGAGAAATTTGAACTACCAGACTCGACTTACGAGTCACTGCCAAATAGCGTTCTCGCATGGAAGAAAGCCCAGAAACTTGGGCGTTTTGACCCAAACGCGACCACTCCAGAAGAAATAGCGAGGGAACAGGTGCAGAAGGATACTAATGAGATAAAAACCAAAGGTAAATTCTAGCCCACCAAACCTTCTTAAGCTGGTGATACTAAATCTCCCTATGAATAGGAATTAAAATTTCCGAACGAGTAATCATACTCCCATCAACCCCGCCACACGTCCGTAGAGGCACGGTCAAGTTTGTTGGCCCGGTTCCTGCCATCCCGTCTCCGTTGAGCAAATCTCACTCGGGGGAAATCCCCAAAGACTTAGCGCCAATCTGGGTTGGTGTCGAGCTTGATGAGCCCACTGGCAAAAATGACGGTAGCGTGAATGGAGAGAGGTATTTCACATGCCTGAAAAACTGTGGTGTATTCGTTAAGCCTGAGAAACTTGATGTGGGCGATTATCCACCGCTGGGGTTGGATTTGGACGATGACATGGAAGAAATTTGAGTAACTTTAATAATGACATGACCTATAATGCAGGATTATATTTAATACTTCGTGTTTGGCGTGAGTTGTGGGTATCAAGTATAGATGCCTTCACCGTAGACGACAAGTAACATATAGTCAAGTAGTAATAAAGGCGCCTTGCCATTTTACTCGCTTTACATGCATCCCTTTGCGCCAGACCATTGCCAGGCCGTTCAACTCCAACACTGGCTGTTTCCTCATACCTTTTGTCATAGATACCGAGGTTGTAAGGTCATACTCTCACGCATTTTAACGGGTATAGGAAACAAACATGCAGGGGATGGCTAAAGTAGATAGAACGAAATTGCATATCAGATATAGCGTAACCAGGAAAGGGGTATCAATAGTTCATCCCCGTCATCCTGCTTGAGCCCCCTGCTTGGGACGACCTCTCTTTTTGCCCGTCTTGCTAGCAGCGTTGGCCTTAGGTTCAGTCGGCGGTGCCTCTGGTAAGGGTGGAGCCGTTACGCCTGTGTCAACATTTCCATCTGCATCTAAAGGTATACAGCCTTGCGTGAAAAATATGGCAGCAGGCTTATTGTACTCGTTTGCAAAGCTGTAGTTGTTTCCTGTTCATTTTCATAACACGTTAGTAATCATTAATAAGTATGGAAACCCATACTTAAAGCGTCATATTATTTAACTTACCCCGTGGAACCTGAAAGACGCAACCCTTTCCGGCACTAAACTGCAGTCCTGCGATATCAACTCGTATTCTGCCATAGTAAACGAAGAAAACCATGTGCATTCGTTTTGAATTTTTCTGTTTCTTGACTGCGTTTGGAGGCATTTCCACGAAACCAGATCCAAGAAAGGGCGTGCTGAGGATTTTGGCAAACCGAAACGTAGAGTCTTTGACCTCATGTGTTTCGATTGCCGAAGGAGCATATGCGACATCTAATCGACCAGAAAATTAATACCGAGCTGCCCAAGAACGTTGGAATAAGATTGTCCATACCCATCATCTCTTCCTCCTGGGTACCAGTTTGCTTTTCTGGGTCCCATATCTTTACCGGACCATAAAACACGCCCTCCTGGGTCTCCCAAGGCTCAACATTTTCATCTGGTTCATCATCTGATGCATCTCCTCTATCTTTCTTCTTGCCCTTTGATTTCTTTTTCGAACTTCGTTTCCTGCCTGCTTGATCAAGCTCAGGATCTTCGGTCCGAATAATCTCCTTGATTGTTGACAGAGGAAATCTATGACCGACTTCGGCCTCTCCAGTTCCATAAACACATTTCTCATTACGCCAATAGGCCAATGGGCGCACAGATACTCTGCCAGAGCGAGTGTGACGGACGGTGTCGTCTGATGGCGTCTCTCGTCTTAGGATATATAAACTTCGTTTCTTATTAAGTGGCCCATCTTCCTTGGTAATATTTTCCACGACGTTGTTCAGGTCCTTCTCCTGTTCAGCCGTCATTTGGAGATTGCTAGCCTTAGCAGCCTTTTTGGCCTTTTTCGCAGGCCGTGGGTTCTCGTCTCCGCGATTAGTTTCAGGGCTTCCCTCTTCCTGTCTGTTTTTCGGTTTCCTGCCACGTCGCTTAACAGGAGGATTTATGTTGGCGCTATCCTCGTCTCTTTCTTCCTCTGCTACCTTGTCGGCTTCTTTGCGTTTTTTGCCCTTATTCTGGGGGTTCGGTACGGGCGGCGGTGAATCCTCTGGCTGTTCCTCTTCTACTTCAGAGACCTCTTCGTCTACGTTCTCATTGCCGGCGCCTTCATGGTAATCGCCGGGCGCTTCGGCAAATTGGTTGTCCTCTGCCTCGTCTTCGAGTAAATAATTGCCGTCGTCCGAGAAATCAGCAGCATCATCAACTACAACTTCGGCAACTTCCTCCTCGGCTTCACTACCTTCTTCTTCTTCAACCTCGTCTTCTACCTCCTCCTGCTCCTCAGCAGCCGCCTCCCCTTCCTCTTCCTCCTCCTCCTCTTCTTCTTCCTCTGCCTCTGATTCAGGCTGTGGTTGGAGTGGCCTAACTTGTTTCAAAGGCGACCTTGACGTTTGAGGGAGTGGATGAGTTATGTTGATTGTTCGTTTCGCGGCGACTCGCGCAGATGTAGGGCTGGAGAATTCGCTCTGGGGAAGAGGTGAGGAGCGCAATCCGGGGGTTCGTCGAGGAGAACCACTCATAAGCGTTTTCATCGGAGAACGTGATCGCGGTGGTGGAAGGTATGCGTTTCGACCACCCCGTCTAGCGGATAAAACATCAGATGGGTCGGGGATACTACTGCCTGGTAATCATAAATCCTGTAAGCCATTGCCATAGGGTATACACGTAGACTGTCCGCGGAGAAGATGTGCAAAAATGCAATATAAACACATTGCACTCACTTCCTCCTGTCTCCATTTCTTCGGAGTTCATTATCCCATCATTGGCAAACCCATTCGCCTTCACCGGTGATTTCCCAGGGGAGGAGAACATCCCCTCAATTTCTTCCATGCCATGTTCGTCGCGTTTACCCTCTTTTAGAGTAATACCGGTTCGTCTAAAATTATGCGATGCGCGTCAGTAAATAAGCCAGCTTCAACAAGGAAATAACAAGTATCACCTTCCAGCTTTCCCGACATTTGAATAATCAAACTCGCGGCTCTTGACTGGAGGCCTGCGCGCTGCCATGGTGGGAGCAATCTGTATACAATGGAAGGCAGCCAAATCAGGACGCGGTAAACGAGAGTCGCGGTCGGTCTAGGTTAGGTATGTTGGTAACCCCCAAAAAACGAGTGCCCTTGCAGTGACCGTGGTATCACAGTTCGACGTCTTCCGAGAAGGCGCTGTCATGTCACCGAGCTATGAGCTATGAGCTATGCGATCTCGATGGTTTAGTTATCACGATGATGTAGAAGCGCAACACGAAAAAGGCGGCGCTAAACCCAAACCATCCAGACGCGCCTAAAGCATTTCGCGCTTCTAATCGATCTTATCTCCGGCTTTCAACTTTCGATTTTTATATTTAATACTCCATGTCATAGAGGAAGCTGAGGCTGGGTTGCTATATCGTGCCCGATGGATGACTCCCAGAATGATGTGCTGGACGAACCTGTTCCTGAAATAACCAGCTCCAAGGGAACCTATGTTCCGCCGTCAGTCCGCCACTCTGCCATATTAGCAGGAGAGTCTTACGCCCATTACTCCCCCTGTCCACGCGATGTCATTCCGTCTTCGAAATCGTCTACCGAAGAAAAGAAACCAGAGCCTACGCCATGTGTATTAGGCATCGACGAGGCCGGTCGAGGCCCTGTTCTGGGTCCGATGGTCTACAGCGCATTCTACCTCCCAATGCACCTCCATACATCCTTACTTGCAGACGAACACCACTTTGACGACAGTAAAGTGCTCACTCCCGAAGTCCGGTCAAGTTTGATGCGTTCTCTATGCACACCAGGCCATGCACTACACAATTCCTGTGGGTGGACGGTAAAAGTCATGTCCGCCCGGGACATATCTTCCGGGATGCTACGACCCTCGATGGCGGCTGTATACAACCTCAATGCACAGGCATTGGATGCAACTATTGAAATAATACGTGGTGTGGTTGAAACGGAAGGCATTGACGTCAAGGAGGTCTACGTCGACACCATTGGGAAGCCAGAAACACACCAGGCTAGGTTGCAGCGGGTATTTCCCGGCTTGAAGATCACCGTTGCTAAGAAAGCAGATTCACTATATCCCTGCGTCAGCGCAGCGAGTGTATGTGCAAAGGTCACGAGAGATGCTGCCCTGGAGGCGTGTCATGACCACCTGGTTAACCAGAAGAAAAGGAAAAGGGTTGACGAGACAGCGGAGCAAGAGGAAGAAGTGGTAAGCTGGGGTAGTGGGTATCCATCTGATGGGAAATGCATTGGATGGTTAAAGAAGGACATGGATCCGCTCTTTGGATGGGGGACAGAGTGTCGATTTAGCTGGGGGACCTCGAAGGAGCTATTGGAAGTGAAATCAGGGCTCAAGGTAGACTGGCCCGCCGACGAGGAAGATGGCTCAATGCTGGTAACGCAGTATTTTTCAGCAAAGTCAGACGCCGATGGGCCAGGTAATGAATTGCGGGATTGGTATGGACATAAGTTTGCAGAGATTTTTTAAGGGTTATATGGATATTATCATTCCAGTGGTGAAATATAGAATACACGAAGCCTTCAACGAGATATATAAATAAAGGAAAAGATACCCTGTTGAGAAAGGAGGAATAATAAATAATAACAAATATTCTGAACCTTGTACCCTTAACCTGAAATTCCGTATCAAAAGCACCATGCCCAATTTCGTACTCCGATAAGCTGCACATAGGAAAAGGAATCGAGGCGTGACCCGTAAGTATGGTAAATAAATAATTATAAGTATGGTTGAATAACCAACTCCCACTACATCGTGGCAGTGGAGAAGTAGTAGTTGTCCCAGAGGTATTCATAGTCCTCGACAACGCTGCCAACAAGGCCGAGTAGAGGTTTGTCACGTAGTGAGTCGGTAACAGATTTTATCCACGACCTTCAGTAAATGTTAGCTCCAGGTTATAGACATAATTATCAAAAGTAAAATAGTATGCTTACTTCGTAATGTTCTCATAGAAGGCGCCTCTCATAGCCCACCATCCCATACTCCATCCTCTCTTACTGAGCTCTTCCCTCTCCAGTTTCGATAGACCGCGTAGACCACCGGCAATCCTGTCGCGGAATTCTTTTTTGGCAAGCTGGCGGCAAGTAAATTCCATGCCAAAACCAATGAGCCATGGAGTCCAGCTCTTCTTCTGTGCTCTATATCTCTGCAATGCAATCGCGTAAATGAGTGGTCGCAGAATGTACAGCACTTCGGCGAGTTGACCCATCCCTGAGACGCGATGCAACAGCGTCTGCGGAGATCTGACATCATCCGCGGTCAAAACTTTAGAGGTAAGATATGAAGAGATGTCATTTGCATCAGGTAGATTTGGCAACGACATCCCTGTTCGAGGCATTGTCCAGCTTAAATCTGTCGACTCGGATCTTTCGCTAGGCGGCGTTTCCATGCCATTAAAATCGCCGCTATCATCCTCCTCTGACTGTCTTGGGTCGACTTCTCTTTCTGGAAGTGGTGGGCTGACTAGAGGCCTGGAGTTCGTTATGCGCAGTAATATCAATCTGCAGAAAGCTTTCACTGCCTCTATAATCACGACGACACGCCATCGGACCTTTTCACCTCTCCGTCGTGCTGCCATCTCCCATAGTAGCTCAGTATATTTGACCATTTGAAGCGCCAAGGCTACTCTATGATATAGGCGCGATTGGAAGCTCCAGTATTTGGTATATCGAGTATGCGGGCTCGGAGCGGGGCGTGGTTGAGAAAGAGGAAGACGAGAAATAACTCGCGCGACGAGGGAATCATGGTATAGAGAAAGTAGTTGAACCCCAGAGTGAACTACAACAGTTAGATTGTCTGTTAATCTTCAAAGTGGTGCCTATGAGCACGTAGCTGCTCGCTAGGGGTGAGAACGAACTCGATTCTGATGCCAGCTCTGCTTCCCGGAATCGCCCTGAAGAACGACAGTTAGTACGAAAGCACAAATTCTGAGAGTATAGACGAGGCGCAAAATGCTCACCAGGTATGATATAAGTTAAAGATCGCAATGCCGACTCAACCTGACCAACCGAGCTGGCATTCTTGGTGACAAACTCCTCATACATCTCCGCCAGCTTTGCGGGCTGGAGCATCTCCGGTATCCGCTCATGGAAACTCGCTGACGACCTCATCGTGATCGGTTCATGAGACCAGCTTGACTCGACTGCAACAGGTCATGAATTGGCTGCAAGAAGACGCTTCATCCAGCGCTGTTAAACGCAGCCCAAAGAAGGAGTTGCGACTTGCCTCGGCACGATGATATGGTCACGTGGTGATGACTAAGCGTATACATCAAAACAACGACGTCCAGTATAAAAGAAGAAGAAGAAGAGGAAGACTACTACATTCATGAAAACTGATATGAACTACAATAACATTGCTTCTATAGATGACCAACTCTCATGCCTAGAAATCTTAAAGTCCTAAAATCAGCTAATACCTTGCCCTCTATGCATCGCCTCTATAAAGCCGCCTCAAGTATCTCAGGTGCTCACCATACATCTGCCTATCTTGAGAACCACCGCAACGGTCGTCCTTATTACACACCTCCTTTGTCAGCCTCACGGCTCTCTCAAGGGCCCCAATGACCATCGCGGTCCATTCGTTGTACTCGGGACAGCCAGAATTGTCGTCTATTTTGAGAGCCAAAAGTGTCGCGTACTCATTTAAGGCTTCTGCTTCGAGTAAGTTGTTGATCCCTAGATCATAGAATATTGACGTCCCGCGCCCAACCTCCCAAAGGCAATCGTCCAGATACGACTCGTTGAGTGTGTTCCGGTAAAGATTGGTGCATATATCCATATACCCAAAGTAAAAATGAGCCGCTTCGGTCCCATAATTATTTGCGGGCATCATCACATAGGCCGTATGCATATTTTCCATAGCTTGTTCGCCCTCACGGGTTCCAAGCCCAACATGAAATCTGTGGGCATACATATCTGCTGGCTGTTTAAACAGCCTCCCAGGAAGCGGGTCCTCTTCATCAGACTAGTCCAGCTGCTCTATCCACTCCTCCAGTTCTTTTATTTCAGCCAGAGTTGGTATATCGCGGGGCCACTGCCGATAGATCATTGGAACAAACTTCTCGACGCTGTGTTCCAGTTTCGCACGTTTGTTATGAACAGTGCCGTCGTCAAGGTTATCTTGCAAAGTCCTCTTAAGATTTCCCGAAGCTTTAGCTGCTTCACCGGATGCTTGACTAGCGGTAGAGAGGAGGGAGTGTAGCCTAACCACCTCAAGGTGATAAGTAGCCTTGAGCGACTCAGAGCGTTCTTTGGCTAAAAGCTCCTCCCAACACTTTATCGCCTCAATTAAATTTGTGCGTTAGTGCGCTACCGAATACAATTTTCGTGAATTCTGGCCACCATCTTCTTGCTTGTATCCCAGCCTTGACGTCCGACAGTGGCAGCGGCAGCTTTCTTTGCCCAGCTAATGGCCACATAGAGAGATGTAACTTTTTTTGTCCGGTTATGATCAGCTCTGTAGTTGTTTGCTAACTGGGTCGCGCACTTAACCAGCCTCTCGATATCTCCTAGCTCCTTGAATAGATTAAAAGCCAATCGTCCGTGGTCGAGGCCCAAGCAAAGCTTAGTTTTGTCCGAATGAGCCGCATAGCAGCGTGCAAGTCTTGCGCTTTGGCAAGTTGACCCAGCTCTCCCCTTGCCCTGAAAATTTTGTCTTCTTCGATGCATTCTAATAGATAGTCTATAGCCTCCTCTAGGTCTTCCTCGTCCTTAAAGTGGCGGTATCGCGTGTAATAGGCTGTCCCTGCATGGTAAAGATAGATGTGCAGTGCCAGGTTCATAGGCGTGCATTTTCCAACTGCTTTATCTGAGCAGAATACAGCATCGTCAATGTGATGGCGCGCTTTTGAGTGTATGAATTTGCTGTAATAGATCTAACCAAGATGGTCACATCCCAGAGGAGTTTCCAAGAGACCTGTTTGCTCCGCCGATGTAAATTCGGATGGCCGTACCAAATTCCCATCCTGTAAAGTAATGAGAGAGCGCACAGCGGGAGAGGTCGCCGCCATGATGGATATTATCGCTCAACTCTTCGCTGGACGTGGTTGATTTTTTTCACGAATATTTTGTGACGAGAAACGAATGTGGGGAATTACTTAAAGGGGCTAAATATACGGAGCAGTGATTTGAACTGATTTTTATTTTATTTATTCGCGGCGCGTATGTTTGTTTAAATGTTTATTTAGTTCTCAACTTGAACTTTAGTGTATCTACGCGCCAGGCTAAATGATTCTGCTCGAGTTGGCAGCGGTTAAATATTGTCAAGCTGGGAGTGGAACTATGCACTTGATACGAAGACCCGAAGACGACGAAATCCTTGCCTGCATTGCATAAAGCCAAGTTTTAACCAGAAAATATTGCTCGGAGATTTCATGATGCTGACCTCCTCTACCCTAAACATGATACATACATACGTCCTCCGTAAATGTATTAGATCAAAAAATGAATATACCTCCCAGGTAACCCAAGAATATATACTATCATACATCGCGCTTCGACACAGTAGCCCATAATAAAACAATTGCGATTCCAGAGTCCAGACTAAGCATCATGGACTAGACTTCAAATTCCATCCCTCGGGAACACTTCTGCGAGCTGGTAGGAAGCGAGAGCCACAGCGCCAAACAGCAACATGCTAAGATCAGAGTGATAGGTTGCAAGACTCCAATCCCTTGGCCATTAGCGATAGCACCGGTTATTGAAGGGAAGATGGTTGCGCCGCCACTCCCAAGAGCACAAGCAAATCCAACTCCGGCTAGATGGAGATGTTTAGGTAGGAGTTTGGTGAGTGCAATAACCGCTTCTGGGAACAAGGGCCCGATAAAGAACCCTGTCAGGCTGATCGTAACAGTGGCGCTGAGGTATGTATTCGTAGTGTTAAAAATCACCTGTGCGATGATCAATGCCACTAGATATACGGTCAACGTTATTCTTTGTGAGCTCATATACGACCCAAGGAATCCAAGGATTATTCGGCCCATGGTGAGAGAGGCCCAGTAAAACGATATCGCCATGCCTGCTCTGTAAGGCGTTGTGTGTCGGAGTTCGATGAGGAATGTAGATATCCACCCTCCTATGCTGACTTCCATACCAACATATATGAAAAGGAATGCACTGATGATCCATGTAGAGGGTTCTCGCAATGCTTCGACTGTCCGGTTACTCTGCTTCTTGCCGGATCCACGACTTCGAGACTCATCTGGGATTGCCCCGTAGCTGGGGCCCTTCTGGGAGGTTTCGTGGCATTTGATCTTTGTTGAGCTTCCCCTCGCATTCCAGAATGCTGTAGTCAGGACCACCAGCTCAACAGCCGCTCCACAGGCCATAAAGTAATAAAATTCATACCACTGCCAGCCTCTCTTGGTTATAAGCAGAGTTGCGGTAAAGGGAGCCAGAGCAGCCCCGACGCCATAAAAGGCATGAAGAAGTCCTATTAACCCATTACTGTTAGGTATGGCTCCAACCCAAGCATTCCAGGCTCCACATAATAGACCGCTACCAAACCCCGAAAACATGTAGATTGCTACAAGTACAGGGTAAGGCGGATGTTGTGTGGCAGCAAGGTACGCAAGAATATGTTGCAGCGAACCCACCAGAGCGATACCACGGTGTCCAAACCGCTCTTGTATTGGGCTATTAAAGACGGCAGCAAGGGCATAGCCGATAGACGAGCACAGGAATATCGTGGAAATAGTCGCATAGTCCACATTGTAGTATTTTCCAACCTGACAGAGTAACAGCGTGATGGCGCCATTTTGTCAGCTACTGGAAATAGAATCTGCATTCAAGGACACGATAGACGTACGTAAGGAATAAGAGCCTATCAAAATATCAGCAAATTGCCCAGTAAACAATGATAGAATACCTACCCCGTAAGTTCCATCATTGGCACCCAGTAGAGCAAAGCAATAGAATGTCGAAAGAATGCTCCATATACTAGCTGAAGTTTCCTTCCGCTCCTTTGAGGCAGGCTCCCGAGGATAGTCTCCAGGAACGAGCAGAGAATCCTCCTCACACGCATTCATAGTTCCCGTCTCTTTTCAAAAACACGCCTGGAAAGACAAGAGGCCGTGTCGGGGGATGAAGTCTGGGAAGAGATCAATCCGGAGCAGCCCAACGAGCATTTAAAGCGATAAATGCCTTGTGCGCCATTGCTCAATGGACGTATCTCAGAGAATTGGACCAATTTTTGAGATTATCTGCCGTAGCACGGATATCATTCTGGCTTAGAAAATATTGGAGCTAGATCGCCAATAATGAACGAAGATCAAGAGCAATGGCCTATGAGCTTGTGGCTAGTGAAACTCGACAAGCGCCACGCTGACAATGTCGTCGCCTTTGCAGGTTCATTTTCTGTCTTGGTATCGTATATCATCGATAGAATCGGAAAAGGCCTTCCGGCGCCTGTCATCCCATATGCGCGCGGGTAAAGGCGATAATCCTGATGGGTTGATCATGCAGCATGGTCGCCCCGTGTAGAGATACCATGGCGCGTTTGGCGAGCGTAAAGACGGGAGCTTTTTATCAACGTTTTCTAGACTTCTTGTCCGAGTTCTTAATACCATGGATATTGTGATATAGGGTAGTATCCCGACGAGCCAGGATGCGCATCTAAATCCTTCACCTTCGTCTTCAACGCCTATTATTCCCATCACGTGGGTCATTCTTGGGCCAAAGCTTGAGCAAAGCTTGAATATAAAAATACCGAGGTTCTTTTGACTTACTCCCAAGGTTGGAAGGTTATAGGACTTTGCTTGTATACTGCACTCGGGAGTATGGAGTAGGCCCTCCGTATAACCAGTTAGCCTTGATCAACCTCGTCCTAACAGCTGTCTTCCTGTTTCTCTTCTTCCTCCTTTCCTTCTTCTATTCCTCCCTTCTCAGTCTCTCATGGTGGAACATGAAGAACTGTCTTAGTACGGAGTATTGTTCTAGTCTCTAGAATGGACCGCTATGGCAGAGTCCCACCCCGTCGAGCAAGGATTATAGGCAAACCCTGCAGGCAGACTGCCCTTCTAGAAAGCCTTGCATGTGAACTGAGTTCTACCATGTAGCACTCCGCAATACTCCTCTATACTCTTCCATCTAGAGAACACCCAGAATGCTAGATGCTGTGAGTGCCACATTTGAGCTTGGTTATTGGTGCCAGACGGCTTACACCGACCATCCAGAATACCCAGAATACCCAGTCGGATGTCGCCCAGCGAATCGTGGTGACCTGGGTAGGGACAATGTCACTCTGCACCGGCGATCATCCGTTGCCCGCACCTAGCTGAAGGTTGCTAGCTGGTGGTCGCTTCTCCTCCCAGAGAGACGTGGAAATCCTGGGTCCACGGGATGGGAGCAAGACGAGGAATATATAACATCACATCTCCCGCTTCCTCGACAGTAGAACGCAGGTCCTCGCTCTCATCCTCAACCACCTCAATACTTCACACCGCAGCCATGCAGTTCCGTCTAGCCCTTTGCCTGCTCCCCCTCGCCGCCCAGGCTGCCCAGGCTGCCCAGGCTGCCCGCATCGTCTCCTCCAACGATGACGGCTGGGCCGAGAAGAACCTTCATACCATTTACGATGCCTTGACCAGTTCCGGCCATGACGTCGTGGTATCTGCGCCAGCCCAGGACAAGAGCGGAACTGGTACGCTGCCCCTTCTAATTGCAGCACAACAAATATCTGATATCTGACATGTTGCAACCTGCAGGTTCTTCTGACGAAGCCCCAACCAAGCTCACCAGACCCTGCGAGTTCAACAGCTGCCCTGCCGGCAGCCCTCCCACCGGATACGACGCTAACAACCCAAGATTCTTCTATGTCAACTCGTTCCCCGTCACCTCCATGAGATACGGCATCCAGACCGTTGCACCCAAATTCTTCAGCAGCCCTCCAGAATTGGCTGTCGCCGGCCCCAACGTCGGTGCCAACTTGGGTCGAACAGTCCAGATCTCAGGTACCGTGGGTGCCGCTACCGAAGCTGCCCTCGAGGGCATTCCTGCCATTGCGTTCTCCGGCAGCGTTGGCCGTGCCACCCCCTTTTGGGATGCCACCCCAACCTACAGCCAAGTCTATGCCCAGCTTTCGGCTCAGATTGTCGACACGCTGCTCCAGGGCGGCAAGCCAGTTTTGCCCAACGGAATCTTCCTCAACGTGAACTTCGGTGCCGTGTCCGGTTCGGAGTGCACTCGTGCCAGCGACTTCAGCTTTGTGTTGACCCGTATCTTGGATGCGTCTTGGAATGCCCCGGCCGATGTGGAAATTTGCGACAATGGCGGCCGCCTCCCCACTGAGACTGACGTGGTGAGGAGCGATGGATGCTACGTGAGCATATCAGTGGCGACGGCGAGGGACAAGAGGGATGCCAGTGCCTCAGCTCAGCAATTTGTGCTCAACAAGCTGGCATCTATCCTGAGTTGCTAAGCTTATTGACTTGTAATCCCACAACTTCACGATCAATATGAGCATGATCTACGCAATTTTCACTCCCTACCTTAATTTGCCTATAAAACACCTTCTATAGAAGTAATAAGACCCACCAAATGATCTGCAAACACCTAGCCATGTAATAGCGGGAGTGGATAATCGAGCTGTCGCGGTAGTTGGACGAATCAGATGTTGTATAGCCCGAGGGTAATAGTGTCAGTGTTAAACGTCACCTAGCGAACGAGCATTATCAGTACACTGCTAAGGCATCTTCGCTTTTTTGGATAATGTTTTTTGGTTTGTTAGGAACATTGTGATAGAGCAATGGTTGGCATAGCTGGACGGCATAACTAGGCTTGACGTGGTGGGTTATTGAGGTCTATGGCGGAGAAGGGAGGCCTCCAGGCGTGAAAGGATTCATCATCCATCATCATTAATATATGGAACCAGAATCCATTGGGTATCCCCTAAGGAGACCATACTTTGACCATCAACATATCCTGAGAGATGTCCGAGACTAGATTTCCGATGGCCGTGGGTACTTGTTGAGCGAATTCAATTTCTACCGCCAGTATAATTCAATCATTTTGCTGCACGGAATATCAGAAACACTTGGCTTCATAAAGTGCCGTCGCTTTCTCACTAGGAAGTTCTCAAAAAGGACTGTTTCTTCAAAGATTTCATAAAGAGTTGAGCCTAGAGCAAAAGGACCCGTTGCTATAGTTGGTAGCTCTCTCCAGTCGTGTTCAACTCAGATACAAAAAATCCACCTTCCCGAAGGTGGATTTTTTGAGGTCCCTTTTTGACTTTCTTCTTATATGGAAGTTTTCGTCACGTGAACGAAGGTTAGGTTACGGGATATCACATGATGCTTCTATTTATATTAGTCAGCGTTGGGCGTTTCCCTTTTTGGTTTTTTGTTTACCTTCTTGTATAGAGGTTATCTCGACCTCGTCCCTTACCTCACCCAGCTTCGCATCCCACTTGCGAGAAGGGAGCAACTCTGTTTGCATGGCTTTCGTCTATATATGTTAGTAAGGGCGTTTGTAACAACTTCACAATTCTCCTAAATGCGTTAAGGGTTAACAGTTATACAAGGGCCATTGGCACGGGTATGCAAGTATGCTCCCGCTCAAGCTTATTTATGACAGGCATATAGGTATGATCTTGACTAATTCTGAATATATGGTTGAGGTAATTCGCGGCTTTTCCGGGCAGGAAGACCTCAGGTAGCCACAATTCTACCATGCATACACAATATGCAGAGTCAGCCCATTTCAAACCCCTTAGCATCCACCGCAATACCATTTCCGCAAGATGTGCAAGCAACTTCGTCAAACGTGGTACGAATAATAGGTCAGCTATGGTTAGATTAGTCACCCATGAGCACTGTGTCGCACGAGTGACACTCGATACCCATGTCGCGGGGGATGGTTGACAGTTTCTTCTTGACCGGATCAATTAAAGAGGTTCAGTTGGGCTTCTCCATATAGCCAGGATATTGAAAGTGTGGATTATCATTGCCTTGAGCGAGTCATGCAGTGTTTTACCTGTTTGGCTTGGTGATACACGCTAGATGGAGGACAATATAGTTAACCCGACCACTAACACATATCTCGATAGATATAAACACTTATATTTCAGTAAGTGATACCCTTATAAATAATTCACAACACACTTGTCCCAATATCCATATCGTCTCGGTGCTCTGTCACGCACATCGCTGAGGGGTACATAGGTACATAGGTCTCTCATCACTCGGTGCGTCATGCAATCGTGGCAGTGTCGATCTATATACTTGACATTCTACGTAAAACCTTGCGGGATATGCTCAGCCAGCCTCCACAAGCACAAATTGCGGAGAACGACCAGCAGAACCTATTGATCGTGGACAAATATATGCAGACTCCTCCACGCCCTAGCCAGGTGTTAGGATATGGATAGCGATTCCCATATTGTTTATGCTGGATGGAGGAAATATCCATATTTAATGAAATATACATAAATGGTGTTTAGCTATATAATGGGCTGTTCCCAACCCGAATCATCGACATTGATATCAGGCCTCCAGCATCTCCAGCCATTCATTCTCCAAATCTCAGAAAATTTCTCCCAATCTCAAGATATAATTCCTACATCATGAAAACCGAAGAGTTTAACTTCAACCATGCAACGGTACTGATGCCGCATGATCCTGTTCAACTACGAGGCAAGAGTCGTGATAGTGGTAGGATGATCGTGCTTGATCGCTCCACGGATAAGATTGAGCACACAGTATTCCCGACTATATGTGACTACTTTCGGCCCGGCGACCTTTTGGTCTTGAATGATAGCTATATGCTGTCAAATACACTGTGGTACCATACCGGTGAAGAAACTGTGCAAGCAACTGTATATGGCCACGAGCCTGATGGCTCTACTATTGTCGAGATCAAATCCAACAAGCTGCCCGTCAAGCAAGGCCTTACCCTCACATCAGCTGATGACAAGCGTCTGACCTGCGTCCTGCTCGAATCCCAACCTGACCAGCTCTGGAAGGCCAAGTTCGAACCCTCTGAGCTATTAGTGCCGACGCTGGAACGACACGGACTTCGCCTCGACGAGTCAGTGCACCTCAATCCAACGCACTGGCAAGCTGATCGTGAAGCTTATCGATCCGTATACGCCAAAAAGCCTGGGTCCCTGGAGATTCCGTCCGCTGGACTTCACTTTTCCCATGAGCTGCTAGCCCAAATAACTGCCAAGGGAGTTGATATAACTTCGATTACGCTGCATGTCGGGGCGACGGAGGTCCTCGCCGTTCGTCATATTAGTGAGGAAGAGATCGAGAATCATAAGGTGAGATCTGAGTACTTCGAGGTTGGAGACGAGGCAGCTACAAAAGTCAACAAGGCCCGGGCCGAGGGGCGCCGTATCATCGCAGTTGGTACAACTGTCATGAGAACCCTCGAGTCGCTTGCGGTTAACAAGGAGCCCAATGCCATCATTCAACCTCAAGCTACGTGGACTGATCTCTATATCTATCCTGGCTTCAAGTTCAATGTCGTGGATGTGCTTTTAACGAACCTCCACCGACCACGATCCAGCCACATCGTGCTTACTGCAGCCTTTGCCGGTAAAGATTTTGTTATGCGCAGCTACGATGAGATTGGCAAGCACGGAGGGTATGAGTTCGACATGTTCGGCGATAGCATGCTAATTGTGTAGTCTTGATGGCAGCAGGGCACGAACTCAATCGACGCTAGATAGAGTTAACTGATGTGATGTAACTTGTTTGCCCAATAAAAAATGCCTGTTATTTAGTTTCGCGGATGTAATCATGGCATCTTCTATGTAAATGCGAGCACTGCACTCCGTACCCCGTATGAACTAGGTAAATATCCAACGCTTGATGCCATCTGCACCAGTAACTCGTTTTATCTTCTCGGCGGCAAGTCTTCCATTGCAGTCTGAGATCAAGTACGGTAGAGATCATCCAGACCACTGAGTTTTACATTTGCAAGCCCATGCAATTTGAGTTCTCTAGGTTACGATATCTGGTATGCAAAAGGTGTCAAAAGCGAGGGTATGATGAAGGTATCTCTACATTCATAACTCGTTATTTATTTCCAGTATTTTATTTTTGTTGTCTGACGCCCATTGGTTAACTCTGACAGGTAACGCTCTATTCGCATTTTTCAATTCTATTTGTCTAGTATTTCTCGCAATCAGGGGCTTGAGGACGGTACAAAGTGTCACTAGGATGTATGCCGTGTTGGCCAACAGGTGAGACGCAGCTGCATGGGAGGCGGCATACGAGGCTTGAACCTTCAACTTCATCGTCTATCTCAGGGGTATATGCCCTCGAACTATAAGTCTCGAGAAATTTGCAAACGGGATGTATATCCCACCAATGGGCAGACAATGAGCCCTTAAGTAACCAGGCCTAACTGCCAACTAAACTTATTAATTAAATCCCGGGTGGCAATAGAAATAACGAGAACAGCTAGGTATTTCGAACATTCATCATGTAGACCATGTCAGTGACCGTAACGAGAGCATAAAGCAAGGTAAGTATTTATAGTGTCAAGTGCGCGGTTCGGCGGCCCATTACCAGGGTAGTCCATGTACAGTACGTGTCTCTGAAATCAAATCCATGTTCTACGGTTTGCAATCCAGCCATATTCGTCTATTAATACGATGAGAGGAATTCAAAATGTTGGAATATAACTGTCCAGTCTATTTTTATTAGCATAGCCATGCAAATCCTTCCGTATATACCCCGTACTATTCGTCTGCAAACTTCCAATGTCCGTTATCCTTGCATGCCTCCTTGTACCTATCAAGAACCTTCTCCCGCTCAAGCTTCTGAGCCGTCTTCCGATCTAACTCTACCTCCTGTGTGGATGGCATGTCCGTCCTCCAATATCCAGGCGGCGTCCTTCCACGGGCATGCGCACTTCGGTGTTTACTATATTTGTTCGAAAGGACACAGGCTTTGGCTTCGAGCAACATGTTGCGAATCTCGACGGAGGAGCTGCGCTCTAAGGTAAGTTTGTAGTTGTTACCTAGGTCTTCTCGTAGGAGGTCAAGCTCTGCGCCGGTAAGGGAACTAAGCGGGCGAGGTTCCTCTCCAAGCTCATCCTTGGCCATCCTGCGGTATATTGGGCCACAGCATTCCTGCCTTAGGCATCCGCGAAGTTGTTTTCTCATGCTCTTGTCTCGGACGACTTCCTCAAATACATAGTCGAGGCCTTGGTTTCTGTTAGGATTGACCTTGAAATGCTCTAGGCCAAGTTCGTGGACAGGCCGGTCTCGATATCGGGTTTCCGGGAGTAACTCGTCATCGTTGTCTACCTCTAGGGAAGAAGCCGCAACCCGGTGGCTGTCTAGTTGCTGCACATCGTTGGGCAGTGAAGTAGCTGGCGTCATCTTAATCTCGGTTTTATTACCTGGGGCTCGAGGGGTAGCAAACTGGTTAGACTTGGCTGAAGCTGTCTGAGGGGTCAATAACAGAATTGGCCGTGGAGTATGTTGGGTTTCCAGGAGGTCCAAAAGACGAGTCTGTCGCATCTTAGCTACGGGTGTGTTTTTCTTAGCACTTGCCGCGGCAGACGAGCGTAGTGATCGTCGGCCAGCTAGATACTCCTCTGCTTCACCATCTTCGGCAACACTTGGGACAGCATGGGCACCTCTCGAGAAGTCAGGTCTTCGTCGCTTTGACTGAGGTTCTACATGGTCCTTGGTAGATTTTCTTAGCGGAGTCACGTTGGTATCGACAGGCTGCAGTGCTCGTCTTCCTCGCTTTTTGCCGTGTGATCCAGTCGACTGGTTTGCATCAAGTTCCAGTTTATCATCCTGGAGAATAGGGGTGGTGCTACCTTGGTCTGGTAATACAGCAAGTTTAGGCCTGGGTAATGGCGAATCGATTGGGTCAAGGATAGGGCTAGACATTGGGTCGTAGGTATGTTCTTCAGCCTGGTTTGTGTGATGCGGGATGGAAGCTATCTGAATCGGTGAACTGGGTATCGGTTCGCTTTTAACGTCGAAGGGTTTAGCAGCGGTGCCGCCGTCTGTCGGGCTCTGTTCCACCTTCACGGGGCAATACGTGGGGTTTCCAGCTCGTTGTCGGCGAACCGGCCTTTCGCTAACAATCATCGGGGTATCTGGCGACTCTGGGGGAGGCAGTCGGCGCTCATCATATCTGAGGTCCTGTGACTGGGTTGACGCTGGGTCTGAGTAATGCTCTGGGAGTTGAGAAGGAATGGGGTCCTTAACATTGCCATCCCAGCTTAGGTGTCTGTGAGTTCTCATCCGAGGTAGAATCGGGGACTCGAGGATGATTGATCTCTCGGGATGGCTTGGACTGGCCCTCTGGAAAACGACCTTCTCCCCATTAACAGCGGTCTCGAAGCTGTTCTTCTCCATCAAATGATTCCACACGATCAGTTTCTCCTTGGAAGCCTTGTGGTTTCGACGTAGTTTGCAGAATGCTCTGATCCAGTTGGTGTTTTCCTCATATAGTTCACGGTAAAGCCTAAAAACGCGAGAGTAGTGATGATAATCCGCGGTTCCTGGAGACGGTTTGAATGCAGATACAACACTTTCAGGATCGTATTTCTTTCGGTTATCGTGGAGAGATTTTTCATATGTTGCGTCATCGTCTTGTAGACGAGCACTGTCTCCATCCGGTAGTTGTTGCTCAAGTTTTTTGACGGTACTCTTAAGAGCGGAGAGTTCTTCTCGTAGGGAACTAATTACATCCATTTGATGTGCTTTCTCGGCATCGTACTCTTCTAACTTACGAGATGCCAACTCGAGCTCGCGTTGTGTGGTGTGATGTTTCTTTGATGTCGTCTGGATAAGCTTGAGCGCTTCGTTGTAGTGGTGCTGACATTGTGAGAGAGCTTCTGCTAGGCCAGCGAGCGGATCCATGGTGTTGCGTAGGTGTTCGTTGAATGGCTCAGAGCACAGTTGGCTCAATTGGCTCAGTTGGCTCAGTTGGCTCAGTTGGCCCAGGTAGCCCCGATGGCACAGATGGCCCCGATGGCTCAGTTGGCTCAGATGGCTCAGTTGGCCCCGAAGGCACAGCAGCCCAAACAACCCAGAGAGCCCAAACAGCTCGGACGCTCGGACGTTCAAGTATCTCAGTTAGCTCAGGTATCTCAAGTATCTCAGTACCTCAGTACGCCGTATCTCAGTCTCGAGTATCTCAGATGGCAGATATATCGTATCTCAGGCAGAAGACGCGCTCGAAATCGCGTTTGCGGCTCCGCGACAGGAGATCACGTGGACATGACGTAATCAGAGATAAGATAAGATCGCGACCTTTTTACGAAGCGGAAAAAGGACGGTTTGATGTATACGCACTCGCATACTTATATACCCCCATGCCTCGCTGACCAGGGATCGCATCCACAGGTCAGCGCCAGACGGACCCTGAGAGCCATGTTGAAGCGTGCTCTACACGAAGATTCGCCGGAAGAGCCGCCGTCCAAACGCATACGGCAGCCAGACCGCCTCTCGTCTCTCAGCGATGAACTACTCCTTCACGTCCTGAGCTTTCTCTCCATCCCATCCCTAATAACGTGCCAGAGGTTCGCATATCCACACCATCTTGTCCACTACTGTTTCGATCTCGATCTAAAACTAGCGTGAAATGAAAAAAACAAAAGGGTATCTCACAGATTCGCTGCGCTTGCGGGAGACTCGGAGCTATGGAAACGCAAGTACTACTCCCGCTGGGTATGGCCGCGGGCCCGGCGGATTCGACAGTTTAAGCAAGGAACTGGAACTACGGCCAGGAGGTCGATTGAATATTCGCCTCGCGTGTCGAACTGGTTTAGCCATGGCCCGTTGACGAAAGTGGGCGAGGATAGGAACTGGAAGGGCCAGTATCGACTTCAACATAACTGGTCTAGGGGCTCCTGTCGTGTTACTGAGGTGGAAGTGGCTCAACACCCGCTCGCGCCTGTGGTGGTCAAGCTAGAGCACGGAGTAGTCTTTACAGCTGATGCGGAAAATGGGCTCCGAGCATGGTCGATCAAGGATACAAAAACGTGTCTGGCCACCACGTCGTTTGCTGGAGTAGGGGATGGCGACGGGGTCTCTGGGGCCCCAACTGCGGTTGCGGTGACTCCGGACGATCAGAAGAGAGGTAGATTCGACGTCACGGTTGGGTTTGAACATGGCGGTATAGCGGTTTACTCGTTTACCTCTGGACTCAAGGGGGATACTTCGTTTGAGCTTCGACTCTGGCATCCGGACTCGGCAGAGACCGCCATCACGGCACTGGCATCGCACAAGGATTTCATACTCATTCTATCAGAAGATAAAGTCCTCTACCTCTATCAACTGTCTCGGCAGGAGTCTAAGATAACGCCGGATGAGCAGACGCACATACTGATCGCATCACTCGTAGCGAATAACATCCAGTCACCGTTCTCTCTGTCCGTGAGAACGACTTCCACCCATGCCATCGCATCGGTCACCTATACGTTTCCGCGCATAGGCTGCGGCTGGTCGGTTGGGATCCAGGAACTCTACTGGAGCAAGGAGGGCGGCGACCTGACGTCTCGGCTCGCAACGACGGTGGATTCCCAGTATATAGGGAGCACTCTTGCTGAGCGGCCTGCAAGTCCAAGTCGACCGTCGGTATTCGAATCACCCTCCACGCAGACTCCCTCACTAAGCTATACGCAACCACCGACTTCACTCTCATACTCGCACCCCTATCTACTTGCATCACACGCCGACAACACCCTTACCATGTACCTGGTGGTATCGACGGTCGACAAGCTGGCGATCAAAACCGGCCGTCGACTGTGGGGTCATACGTCTGCCGTCTCTGGCGTGCAGGTCAGCCCCCGAGGCAAGGCAGTGTCCGTCAGCACGAAGGGAGACGAGATCCGCATCTGGGAGCTGGAAGACGTGATATCGTCCCGTCCGGCGTCGAAGGGAGCGCTGCTGGGAGACCGAAGCGTCCAGCTCAGCCCGGAGCCTCGACGGACGAGACCAAGCCCGTTCAGCGTGATATCTCGAGCGGTCGAGAGACAGGTCGCTGCGATGGAGGGCAGACGAGGCATCTCCTCGGAGGTCAGCCTGTCCTGTATCAAGGGCGCGGTCGAGTTTGACGATGAACAGGTGGTCGTCCTCCGCGAGCAGCAAGTCGGCACGCAGCTGCTAGGTTGCTACGACTTTACATAGACAAGACAAGACAAAATGAGAATACGGCTCTCGACTTGGCGGTCTTTCCTCCAACCCCGTACTCTCTTTCTCTCTTTCGTACGGGAGTACCTCTCCTTTAAATCCCTCGTACTGTATACATGATAACGCCCAGGGATATAATATGTAGACCCCCTTGCAATCTTGTAGTCACCCCTTACGGCCTTACACGGACATGGACAAACTTGCATATTTCCGATCCATAACCGGCCTTCTATCACCGCGCTGCTCTAGTGTGGCCGTTCCAGCAAACCACCCCTCGAGGACCTTTCGGGATATGACTGCCATCGGGTACACTGAGTGTCGGGACTGAGTACCTTGTACGAGACTGAACCGAAACAGGGATACCAGAGCAAGCCACCCAGGGAAAGAAAAAAAAATATAAGGGAAAAAAAATAAAAAATAAAAAACCAGAATACGTATAAGAAGCGACGGATCGTCCCCTAATTCTCCGAGCCATTCGATCGATCGTAGTTCCCAGCCAGCCCGTTGAGATCGCACACGAGATCGCATGCGAGATCGATCGCACACAGCCTGCACGCTGACCGCACGACACACCGCGAGATCTCGGCCAGGCACGACCACGCCGCCAACGCCCTCTATTATGACCTGTCACTTGCTTGTCCGTTCGATGGCGGTCCTGTCTGTGGTGGCTGCAGGGCCTGTGCTAAGCTTGCCCTTGCCTGAGCCTATATGAAGTCACCTCTTGACACCCTTCATCCGTCGAGACAGGCCACTGCATGATGGCTGCTCAACCGCCTGACGCGTGGAAAACCAGTTTCAAGCCACTCTCTGCAGCGTATGCGTATGCGTATGCGTATGTGTATGCTGAGCTGGATGCTGGATGCTTGATGCTTGATGCTGGCGTTCGCCTTCATCTAGCGGGCAGCCATATTCGCCACGCCTGTCACTCCTGATATGGGTTGCAGGGATGCGGACGGCGAGTGCCTCTTCCCGGTTTATCTGGTGGATCACCACGAGCTTGACCGCAACTGACTGACTGCGTTACTGACTGTCTCGTTGATGTCAAGGAGTCTGCGTTGTTGTATGTCCATCCTCCAGGCTTTTTATATCGGACAGACCGCCCTAAGCAGGTGACTTTTCCTCGTTTTTGGCAGAATCGACTCTTCTTTTTTTTTTATTTCTTTTTTTATATTTTATATATTTTTTTATCTTTCTCTATTTTTTTATATTTTTTGATTTTCCTCCCAGAAACGAAACGCGGAAAGGGGAAAAAAAAAAGAGCCCAAGGAAAGGACCGCGTGCAAAATCAGTTTTTCGCCCCGTCAACCTCCCTCCTCCTCGCTTCCTCCCTCTCTCCTGCAAAACAAAACCAGCATCAAAAACCTCGCTTCGTCTGCGGTAAGTATCCAAGTATCCGCTGGCGTCTGTCCGTGTGCGTCCCGTTTCGTGTCAGAACCAGGTTCCTCTCTTCTTCTGCTTCTTTTTTTTTTGCCTCCCCCTCTTTTTTTTTTTGGGGCTTGTTCGATCTCGCTATCTTTCTCAAGTCGTTTCCTCCACTGCCTCGATCGCACACACACAAATTGCTCGTTCTCCTGATAATTCCGATTTCCTGCTGGTGCTAGCTCAGACTGATCATTCTTCCTTCTTTTTCTTGTGCAGAAAAAGATCTTTCGAATTTACATTCCGCCTGCCAGAAAGGACACTATCCAGACCCAACCATAACCAAGAAGAAAAAAAAGATCAACCCCTTCTGCAAGATGGAATTCCAGTCAGGCGGTCGTGGATGCTTCAACTGTGGGTTTGCGCCGTTTTCGTTATTTGTTATTTCTTCTCCTCTTGTGCTGCGTCGTCCTGCTTCGTCCTGCCTCGAGATGGCGTCCCTCGCCTAGGGGGGGGGGGGGGGGGGGGGGGGGGGGGGGGGGCTGGCCTGACAGCTTCCAATTGCCTGAGCGCATACAGAATCTCCTCTCGTCCGGCTCCTCTGCTCCTCTCGCAGCTCTGCCTCGTGTCTATCTCTTCCCTTCGCCCTAGTTACGTTTCTCACGCTTCTGCGGATTTTCACTGACCTGCTCTCTAGGTGGCGAATCCTCTCATCAGGTTAATATGATACGTTCTTCGCCTCTCCGTGGGATAACATTAATATTTCCCTGATAGGCACGAGACTGCCCCAAGAAGGGATCTCCCACTTGGTATGCTCACCTCTCTCAATGGAGATATACTCCCGTCAAGAACGCAGGAAAATGAACCCACGCTAAACTCTAGATTCTTGGGCACACAGTTACAACTGCGGTGGTATGTTATGAGGAAATGCAATGCGAATTTTGACATCATGATGGAAGTATGCAGATCTTAATTTTTTCTTCTACGTTTATAGGACAGGGACACGTCAGTGAGTTTTGGCTTTGCACTCGGGAGAGCAGGTGTAGACTGAGAAGGGAGTCCATGGAGGAGGATGGCTTCTTTTAAAGTGTGTTTTATCTCCCTGTAGCTGACCACCCTTCCTTTTTTTTCTTTCTTGTCCAGGCCGTGAATGCACCCAAGCTCCCAAGGAGAAGTCATGCTACCGTTGTGGCATGACCGGTCATATCTCTCGTGAATGCCCAACTAGCGGATCCGGTGACAACAACTTTTCCGGTGGAAGCGGTGGCTACTCCGGCGGCGGCTCCGGCGGCCAGGAATGCTACAAGTGCGGCCAGGTCGGCCACATTGCCCGCAACTGCAGCCAGCAGGGCGGCTCTGGATACGGCAGCGGCGGTTACGGTGGTAACGGCGGTAGCGGTGGCTCTTACGGCGGTGGTGGCTACGGTGGCCGCCCCCAGACCTGCTACTCTTGCGGCGGATACGGCCACATGGCCCGTGACTGCACCCAGGGACAAAAGTGCTACAACTGTACGCCTCTTTCTTTTTCTCTCTACCTCTCTCGTATTGATTGCTAACATCCTTCCACAGGCGGTGAAGTTGGACACGTTTCAAGGGATTGCCCAACCGAGGCCAAGGGTGAACGTGTCTGCTACAAGTGCAAGCAGGCCGGTCACGTCCAGGCCGCTTGCCCTAACTAAGCAAACAAAATACCAAGCAATCCATCAAAATGCGGTGGAGAGAAGATTTTTATGGCACACTCGCATGCATGCATCCCCGGAACTTGAAAGTAAAGTGAACTAAACAGAAAAAGAATTTGAGATCGTTTCCCGTGATTTAAAGCAAACAAACCCATCCCTATCCATCCACCCACCCAACTTCTCCTATCTTTTGTCTGCGCAATGAGCCAAAGAAAGTTTCCTTCCGATGTTTGAAAAGCCTGACCCGAGAACTCACCCAAACCAATTCACCCACAAGTTCTCCGATCAGACTCGTTGAAAGCTAGCATGTCGACCGAAGAATCATTGCTTGTTTATGGAGAAAACAAGCGTAGGAGGACCCGTTGAAAAGATAAGACAAATAATATTGAGAGGATGAAATGAAGAAGAGACAAAAAGAATGGATTGCTTGTTTCTTGAGGAAAGAGAAGAAAAAAAAAAGAGTGTGAGAAAAAAGAAAAAACTTAGTGAATTTTGTGTCGAACCCGCTTTCATGTCTTTTAACGATTTATTGATATTACCGGCCGTCTTCTCTTCTATTGCATTTTTTCCTTTGTTTTCTCATCCTTCCAGCTGTTTCAAATTGTGGTGTTGTTTGTTTTTACCTCTCATGAGCCTTTCTTCGGTCTGGCAACTTGTCCCTATCCTATGGCTTTTACGTTACCAGTGGCCCCGGCCTGAAATGACAGACTCGCTCCATTCGAAAGATTTCTCCCTAACTATGGAGTATTTTAGTTCAGCTATTTTTCTCCTCTGCTCCCTTGCATTTTTGGCCCCAGACACTAATCATCCATCTCACGCCGACGATATCGCCGAACCTCCTCCTATATCTGCCAGCAACAATTCCATTCCATTCTCTACCATGATACCCATCATCGCGACTTCAAAAAAAAAAAAAAAAAAAATCCGGGGTTCCGAATGTAAAGAATAAAACGGCAGCAACCGACCATAGATGCATCCCGACCTAATTCAACTCCGACTGATTCCATCCCCTGTTATTCCTCTGGTTCGCAATCTTCATCGCCTCCTCCAGATCCATATCACCCACAATCTTCAACGTCGTTGGCGGTTGCCCTTCGTTCTCGATCTCAATTGATTCCGGTCCTTGGAAAAAATATCTCATACCTACCATAGGTCTATATACTACCGACGAACATGCCTCTTCGTACGTCGGTATGCCTCTGTTACGCTGAACGGCCTCTTCCTCAGCATCACGATGCTGTTCTGCGGATTCATTGATGGCCTGCTGCAACTCGTCGTGATTGGATTCCTGGCCCTCTTCGGTGAAAGGGCCCTCGGGATAGGATTCGTGGCGGGATCGAGCTATGATTTCATCTAGCGAGTAAGCTGATGGATCTATCAGAGGAAGGCTTTCTAGACCTGAGCTGAGAGATCTCCTCAACGCTGCTCGACCCAGTCGTGCTCTCGCTCTACCTCGAAGGTGAGATGTTGACGGCATCCTATCTATCTGTTCACCAGCGTCGTCGTGAGATGAGCTATCCCACGTCCGTCTCTGCCGTCGGCTAGAGGCAATAGGGTCAAGAACCTCGGAAGGGCGACGAAGAGCCAGATCGCGAGATCTCCGAGCTGCTGTCCTTATAGCGTTTCCCATTCGATGAGAAGCTCGCCTCTCGCGGACAGCCCCCTCTTCTTCTCTCTCCTGGCTCATCCGCTGAGCTTCCCGCGCTTCGTGGGCTGCTTGGAGAGATCGGGAGGCTTCCCGCAAGCGTCGAATGGTGCGGTCATCAGTGACTTGATGAGGTTCAAGACTGCCCTCGTCAAGCTCCAATTCAGCATCGGTAGCTGAAATTTCTCCGTTGGGGCCGATACGTATCCAGTATGGTCTTATTCTTGCTTCAGCTGCAAATGAGCCCTCCCTCCGCCTGAGAGCTCTCTGCTCCCGCCTCGTTCTTCTTGATCTCTCTCTCTGCTCCTCCTGGCTTGCATGTATCGCTGCCATCAACTCCTCCTCCTCCCTCTCGGTTGCCTCCCGTGCTTTTCGAGCAGCCTCTTCGGTATCACGGATAGACTGCAAGAGGGCCTCTTCTTCTCTATCCCTGGCCTCCCTATCAGCTTCCTCAAGCCGTCGTCGACGGTCATTGTCCAGTCTTAGATTCTCTTCCAATACCCGGCGAAGAGTCTCGGCTTCATCGGTGCCTGCACTACTGCTGCTGCTGGTGCTGGTAATGGTGCTGGCGTTGGTGTTGGCGTTACTGAGAAAGCTTCTAACCTCCCGTATGCTTCCGGCCTCGCTTTCAGAATCGGTCAGGCTCTCTGCATCGCTACTGATAAAGCCGTTTGTTGGCCCACGGACACGAACGGGAGTCTGTCGGCGGGAGCCTGTTCTTCTAGCTTTACCTAGAAGTCGGTTCATCGCTGCGCAAGTCAACTAGCTGGAGAGATTATTTCGGGTTCAGTAGAGAGAGGGACTCGAAGGCCCCCCAGCGCAGCGGGTCGATGGTGTTTTCGATTCCCAGCAATACATTTAAGGAAGTATGTCGGTTTCTTGAGAGCATGCGAAGTCGCAGGTTGAGGGTGGGAGGTTGGTTATGAGCGGTCCTAGAGGCAGCCACCCGGCCTTAAGAGTAAGAGGCTGTTAATACTGTATATCAACTTCATGCATATAAAAACGGCGTAACTGTTTAATTGACGATGTGGATAATATAATTGACTTTATTCGCCTTCACGGAAGCTGGAGGAAGAAATAACATCATATTAAACTACCGAACGGTCCCAAAGCCAATATTCGCCCGGTGCCACCCAAATAAATCAAATAGCTATTAAACATGGTAGTAGAATCATCTAGGAGCTACAGCTGCACATTGCCATTCTCTTAAGCCGAGGGACATCTCCGCAGAATCTCTCTTCTTCGTCCTTGTTCACCCCCCATTCCTCCTGGAACGGGTGAAGGGCCATATTCATCGTTCGATCGAGAATCTCTCGGTCACCCTGTTTTTCAACACGTTGAATCACTTCATCTAGGATCCATGATCGAGGAATAAACTGGAAGAACAAGGTAAGTTAGTATACTTAATGCGTTTAGCAAAAGGGTTGGCACTGTTCAAATACCTTGGGATTCACTGCCTTCATTTGGCGTATCCTCTCCTCGTCTTCACCCTCTTTCCAATCCTCAACTATACGCTCTCTCCACGACAAGAGCCACGTAGCAATGTTCTCTCGGGCGGATTCCTCGGTATTTCCAATCCCACCGACACCCTCGTCGTGGAAGAAGACACTAGCAATCTTCTTCCTCTTCTCATCAGTGTCAATCTCAGCCACTGTGAATGCAGATAGCCTTCTAAAGAAATGATTGAAATCAAGCTCAAGTTTCTCAAGGGTATCAAGCAAATTTGAAAACAGCTCGCTAAAGTCGGATTCCTTCTGTGTCTTCAGTCCCAAGCGAGCAGACATTAAACGTTTGTATTCGTTCAAGAATACAGCTTTGAATTCGTCTCCGGCTTGGTCGATGAGCTTTTCGGCACGCGCAATGGCATCTGGTGCCTGTTCCGGAATTACTCCCTTTGCAATAAAGACCTCATCATCGATCTTGTCGCCAATGCCAATTAATTGGGAGAATGCCTCTCCAAGTCGTACAAGATTCCACCATATTACCGAGGGCTGGTTCTTATAGGAATACCGCAACATCTCGTCATCGTGGTTTGGTGTATAGCTTGGATCAAAGTTATCCATAAAGGCAAAGGGGCCAAAGTCAAGTGATAGTCCGAAAATGGACGTGTTATCAGTATTTAGCACCCCGTTCATGAAGCCGTATGCCTGCCATGCAGCGACCGTCTTCGCGTTTCGACGTACTATTTCTCGGTATAGCCTGACAAACCGGTTCTCTTCTGCGCCTTCTTCGCCTTGGATGGCATCCTTGGGAACACCTCGAGGAGGATTATCTACCACTTTTTCGTCGATAGGGGTATCCTTGTCGTTGCTTGAGAATAGAGCAGCTGGTAGTGACTCCCAACCCGGGAAGACGTCTTCAGCAACATACGTGGCAAGCAGGCGGGTAAGCTTCAAGTCGCTTCGAGAGCGTAGAAGGTCGAAGGTGCCTATTCTGATCCATGACTCTGCAAAACGAGTGACGATTGCACCAGGTTCTAACCGTTCTCTTCTAACGTTAGATTTTGGAAGAAGCGTCAAGGATAACGCACGGGTGGTTGGTATTCCCAGCGCATTCAGTGCTGTAAGCCGTTAGATCTGCCGTTGCTCTTAATTTGGACCTAGAATTACCAACCTTCAGAAACGATATATTCTCGAATACTGGATCGCAGAACAGCCTTTCCATCGGCAAAGCGAGAATACGGGGTTAGGCCGGCGCCCTTGAGCTGAACTTCATAACGCCTGTTTGATGTAGGGTTCAATGTCTCAAACAGAGAAATGGCGCGCTTAACACATCGTTAGTACCTCGAATGAAGCGAAGAGAAGAACATACACGTACCCCGTCTCCGAGTTGACCAGCCCAGGAGCCACTATATAATAACAATAAGCCAACTTCGTCCCGCAGAATATGTCACAGAATGAACCAACGTACAATTGCCAACCTTAAAATCAGAGTTAGCAAGCTTGCTTATACAAAATTCATGACTAATGGGGATATAAACAAACCTCCGTAACATTGAGCCCAAGGATAAACACCTCCATCGGTCTCATCCCAAAAGATTTTGTTTCCAGCAACCATATCCCGGAAGTCTTTAGTCTTCTCCTCGCCCTCTTTCAAGCCAATATCCTTCATAGCACGAGGACTAACGCCCAGCAGCTCCGGTTCTTCGGCAGCCTCTGGCCGAACAAACGTGTACAAGGCATGCCTAACGAGCCGAGGACCTAGATGCTCGCGTGGCGCCGTATGTGAAGCCAGCGGGGTATCAAAGGCAGCATCAGCAGGAAGCTTGGCGGTGAAGTTGCTCGTCTTAGGGATATCGGCTAACGAGATCCCGGGAGCGTCAACCGTCGTGGTTGAAGCGTAGAGCTGGTCCACATTCTCGCTGGAGCTGGTAGTATTATTGCTATTACCGGTGTGAAGGAGATGAGAAGCCATCTGGGTCAGACGAGGATGAAGACGCGATCGCGGGGTGTGGCGTGAAAGAGAGGTTCTTAAGAGCATGGACCCGGTCAAGCTCTCGTCATGGATAATGGGAACAAACGAATCTACGAGACGAATGAAACGAGTGATTGGAGAGTGAAGGAATGTGTTGTCGGTTGTGTTGATGTTTGATGCTTCGGGTATTTTTGATATCTCAAGGGAAAAAGAAACCTTATCTAATCAGCCGAGATGACATCATCGTTTCTACAGACATCGACAACTACGAGGAAGAAGAAGAAGGAGAAGAAGAAATAACATAGACAGGTCTTCGTATTCTATCCCGATGCGAGGGGACTGCAAACTCCGTCAAACACGCCTCGCGCACTCCCTTAATTCCTAGGCCAGACCAGGAATGCAAACCATGGTAAGACGATGAACGAGACTATTTAAATTCAGGTACGCCCATAGCTTCATGTGCATTTTTCATGTAACAATTCCACATCATCCTCCCATCCATCATGGCGACAGATATCCCAACTATAAAGCTTGAGAGCGGTGCGTTAATTCCAACGGTAAGTCGCCTCTTCACTGCTCCTCTCACACCGCGAGCTGATACGACGGACACAGCTTGGTTATGGAACGGGTACGGCATGGTTCAAGAAACCTGGAGACCAAGGCATTGATCAAGCTACCGTGGGGGCAGTAACGTTTGCAATTAAGTCGGGATATCGACACCTTGACGGAGCAGAAGCTTACGGAACCGAAACGGAGCTTGGGATCGCAATCAAGGAGAGTGGCGTGAAGAGGGAAGAATTATTTGTGACGTCCAAGGTGGAGAAGGGCATTGATGATATCCAGAAGGCGATTGATGCCACGCTGGAGAGGCTGCAGCTGGATTATGTTGATTTCTATGAAGCGTCATATACCGTTGCGAGTTGTGGGTATACGCAGGCTAACTGATGTAGATACCTGATCCATTCGCCCTTCTTCGCCAGAAATGATAACGACCTACAGTCGAAATGGGCAGAGATGGAGAAAGCCCAGCAGGCTGGCAAGGCACGAGCGATTGGTGTCTCCAACTTCTTACAGCCACATCTTGAGGCGATATTAAAGACGGCAAGGATCAAACCGTCAGTAAACCAGATTGAGTATCACCCATATCTTCAGCATGGCGATTTGCTTACGATGGATAAACGGCTGGGTATTGTCGTCGAGGGTTATGGACCGCTCACTCCACTGACTCGAGCGAAAGGCGGCCCAGTGGACGAGCTTGTTGCCCGTCTGGCGAGGAAGTATTCTGTCAGTGAAGGGAGTGTGTTGCTGCGTTGGTCGGTGGATAGGGGTGTGGTGACGATCACGACTAGCGGGAAGGAAGAGCGTATCAAGGAGTTCCTGGATGTGTTGAAATTCAAGCTGACGGAGGATGAAGTGGCCGAAATATCGAAACTGGGAGAACAGAAGCATTACAGGGCATGGTGGAAGTCGAAGTTTGCAGCAGACGATCGGTCATAGATCTCCATTTCCACTCATAACTAAGGCATTTGAAATGGATGAAATGTCCCTTCCAACTCTGAATTATGTCCGAATATTGTGACCTATCGCCATAATCATTGTAAATACGTAATTGTATGCCGATGTATTGGTAACCATGCAACACATGATCGTGAGTTTGATGGTACTACCGATCAGCCTCTTCCTGGGCCTCCTTTACCTGGGCCTCCTTTTCTTGGGCCTCTTTTTCTCGGGCCTCCTTTTCCTCGACCTGCTTAAAGAATGCTTGGTCTATTTCGTGCTTCCTCTCAGGGCTATACGGCCACGGCTCCAGTCCCCATTCCTGGTAATCGTATTCCGAGAATTCCATATTTTCTTGCTCGCGGATAAACGTATGCTCGTGGTCGATGAACCAGCTAGCATCATAGCATCAGCGTACACTCTTGTGTCTTTGTGCAAGTGGTTTCCAGACTCACCATCTATCCTCCTTTTCGTCATAAATGATATTCGAAGCGTTTGCATCTGCAGTATAGGTGTGATATTGCAGTAATTTCCTTTTAAGCGGGGTTAAACTAACTTCATAAATTAATAGACGGATATCAACTTACGTGAAATCCCTACGGAATGTCCGTCGAATTTTCTCCTTCTTCTCCTCGCTGTATTTTTCAAAGTCAACTAGTGTGACTCCAGGGCACTTCTCTATTACTAGCATCACCATATAACCGGTTGGCACTGGCATGTCATCTGTAGTCTGACTTAGGATTGCTAGGTTTAGTAGGCGAGGGACAACACTGCAGCCATGTTTATTGAGATATTTCATGGTAGATATTTCGTTCGCTGTTGCAGATCCAAGCCAGCCATGGGCTTCCCGCGCCCGGACTTCTGGGTCGAAACTTGCTGGGTATACAGCCGGTACCCTATCGAGTATCTTAGAATCGTAGATTTAGGGTACAGATGTTGTGAATACTCACTGCATTCGAATTTTGACGATGGCTTCCAGGCCGACTGACGGACCCAGGCTCTGGCAGCAGTGATAGACTGCCTGGGCTTCTCCCAAGCCTATGCTGTCCACATGGGACTTCTCGCTAATCTTTTCTTCAATGTCCCATTCAGTCCCATCAGGACAGCGGAACGTGAGGCCGTGGAAGAGGTCCTGAATCCAGCTGTGTATGTAGCGGCCCATGGTGCTGACACGTATCACCGGAAAACAGCACGGAGTATTCTGTCGAGAATAAACGCGTAAAGAAGCACAAGGAGGGAAGATGGAGGCTGAAAAGAAGATCACACGAAGGTGTAGCTATTGTTGCCTGTTGGTGCTTTATCAATGGACTAGCGGTCGACCGACCAACCGCCGGCCTCCCAGGTCTGCTTCCTCAATCATGTCGCATGTAAGGAGGAGGAGGAGGAGGAAGATGAAGAAGAGGAGGAGGAAGTCCAGAGGAAACAAACTTCCTATAATATGAGGAAGCGAGACGGTAACAAAGATTAGAGATCTCGCTGAGGCTCATCCACCAAACGCCGTCGTCATTAGCCCTTTCTATGCATCAATTTCTGTACTTTCAGGGAGTTTTTGATATTTGTGCTTACAGTACGAGATCGCTACTAGGGTCCTATAGTAAGGACCAGGGATTAGATGGACATGTCATTTATATCCAACGCTGCTCCTATGCTGTCCTAGCCTTGTAAGGACATCAACTAGTATAGTAATCTCCAACGGTCAGTAGAGTTGGAGGTGAAGTTGTACTGTATTCGTGATATTTGATATTTGATATTCGATATTTGATATTTGATATAGTGGTGGTGATCAGCTGGATGCAAAGGTACATGCGTGCCCACTGTAATTTGGTGTGAAACGAAGTACCTCAGCATCGTTCCACCCACGGGCAGCTGAGCCAGCGCCTCGTTCCACCGTCGTTCGCATCTCCAACTCGTCGCCATCGCCAACTCAGCGGGAAAGGAAGACGAGACAGCCCCGAGCAGAGAGTCGCGGGCGATGAAGAACCTCGCCGCCGCCGCGTTGGTCCAACTCTCTCGCCCTCCCCGTCGGCGCCCTTGAGCTGCTCTCAACCAGCCTGCTCCCTCTCCGCTGTGCCCTTCCGTCCTCCGCTGCCTCCTCTCCTCCCTCCCACGCTCGCTTCCGCCGGCGACCAGGAGAGTCGCAGTCGACCTCCTCCTCCCCCGGACGCTCGTCCAGTCGTCTGCTCGCTTTCCCAGCCCGGCCTCCCGTACCGTCCACGTCCAGTCGCGCCCGTCGAGTGGCTACCCGACGCCGTAGCCCACCGCCAACGCATCTCGAGTCGAGCCGGGGCGGCCTGCAGCAACAAAGCCATTTAGCGGCCGCCGTGAATCGCACACCAGAATACGTCCGTCGAGGGCATAGGGCATCTGCTAGGCTTATACAAACAATTCCCCTCCTCCCGGCCTCACCTGGTTGACGCTCGTTTTCTCAATAATAATAAAAAAAAAACAAGGGCAAACAAAAACATTGGACGGCGCATTCACTAGCACCCCCAAACTCGAAACGAAGAGAAAAGGAAACACGATCGGAGTGACGCAGTGAATGAAGAAGAAGAAAAATCTGGATAATTACGGCTTTTATTGTGCTGGGTACGGCGTGAATGGGCAGCTGGCGCATTCATCAATGCCTCATTCATATCTTGGCTGTCCTCTGCTTTCTTGATACAACAAACACCAACTCTCGCCTTCTTCTGCTTCATCTGGCCTGGATGTTAGCCTTCGACCGTCAAGCGACATCCTTCCCTACTCTCTTGCCATCTGACGTCCGCTCTCCCGTTCACGGCCGGCCACGCAACTCGCTATACAACAACCTGTGCCTACTACACACCATTTGCCATGTCGGCGGACAGTCGCAACTCGCAACCACGCCCACACGCCGATAACAGACCGTCTAAACAGTCGCTTGTGTCGTCTGGGAAGAGGTCTTATTCAAACTATCTGAGTGATATCGACCGGAAGTTCAAACAGCTCACCGACGACGTCCTGCCCACCCACCCATATATCCTGTCCGTACCCACTGATACGCCCTACCGACTCGGATCGCGCTTCGTGAGCAACTGGGCAGTTGGGGAGAACACGCTATTCTCTCCAGAGGAAGAGCAGCTGCAATATATGACCTTCCTCCCACACCAGGGAGACGACACGCTGCTCGTCTCGGTTGGAGGCTGGTCGGATGACAGAGGGAATATAGTCCAAGGAGAGGACCAGAGACCCTCGGGCTCCGCCAAAATGGCGGCACCGCTGACTGGCTCGCAGCAGGATGCGCTGGCCAGGACGAAGAAAAAGATCACCCTGAGCGATTATAAGAAGAAGGCGCTGGAGACTCCTCCCCCACCGCCAGGCGCGGCGGAACCGACCACGAACGGGGCCAATGGAACAAACGGGAACGGAATGGGCACTTTAGGGAGCGCAGACTCCGGGAAATCACTGCGCAGACCGCAGTCGAACAACCGCAAACCAGAGGCCAAACACCATGCGTCGCATGCCGTTTCATCATCATCCTCCTCCGCGGTCCTTGAAAATCGACCTAGCAGCAACAGTGATACCAAACAGAACGGACTAGGCAGCCCTTCGTTGCAGCAGCCTGCTGCCATGGGCCGACTTGATAAGAATACCAAGCTATCACCATCCAAGCCAACCCAGCATACGGAATCTCCGCCTCGCAAGAAACTACGACTCTCCGCACAGCCGGAAGAGAAAGAGAAAACTCCCACCAAGAAGTCAGGAAAGGTCCACCAGATGGTGCCTGAACTGCTTTCCCCAACTCTCCCATTCGATAATGAAAACATCAGCGTCTCCCTTCCTCCTCTACTATCTCCCACCCTGCCGCCAGACATCGAAGAAGAGCTGGCGAAACTCCCCGACGATGTATTAGACAAGAGCTCGCGCTCCCACTCTAGTTCCATCTCCAGCACTTCTAATAAACCTATTTCAAGCAAACCCAAGCCAACTTCAAACTCCTCATCCTCAAAATCAAATTTGCTTCAAACTTCATCATCAGCCATAGACAAAGACAAACAGCTACAACAACTTCCACATGCTAGCGAGAAGAAGCCGGCGGCTATATCTTCTGCCAACCTTCCGCCCAAGCCACCTACAGTATCAACGTCTTCTCCAGCACCTGCATCGAAAACAACAGCTTCTCAGTCGTCCCGGGTCGCAACCACAGCTCCCAAACAGAAATTAATTGTCAAGTTAAAATACGGCCGACAGAACAGGAAACGAATTGAGGCGCTCTTGAAAATATCGTCCAAGCGCAGGCCAACCCCAGTACATGGTGCTGGGAAACCAAAAGGCTTGCCAGACTCTATCGTCATATCCAGGAGTTCTCCGTCAAACTCTTCACCCCAGCCCACCAATACCACCATGGGAAAGCAGCGCGAACCCAGCTCAGGGCAAAAGCGGCCCAAGGCTATGGATAGCGACGATATACAAGAGCCTGCATTGAAACGGCCCCGGAGTTCTACCTCGCTGGCACCACCCCCTGAACAGGCTCTTACACCTAGTGTGCACACTCCCAGACCAACTTCAGCGGCCAAGCACCCACCTAGATCGACACAGGAGCAATTCCTTACTCCCAAAAAGGAAGTTAGAGGAATTGAAATGCGCCGTGTAGGCTCTGGTGACAGTGATATGAGGACCCCAAACTGCAGCATTACAAGTACCAAAATGACACAATCCCTATCTGGAGAAAGCCTTCCGTCCTCCAATGCTCAAACCTCTGAGCGTCGTGGCTGGCGCGACGAATACCAGAGATTCGTGAACTTGGGTCGCGACCTGAAGCACGCCTCCCAGCGCAACTCAACTCATAAATACAGCACCAGCCACGACATACAAGATGACAAACTCAGTGCCACAATCGCAGTCGAGGCCCTTCTCTGCTTCATCCTGGCCTTCATTTCCGAACAACGCTTCCAATCTCTTAGCCGCCAGGTTGGTAACTCCACTGGCTGGCGCTCAATAATCGCTTACTGGCAAGCTGTTCTTAACCGAACAACTTCCTACCCGCACCTCCACGGCCTCTGTCTCCTCCTAGGCGCAGTATGCCATGAATCTATCCACTCTCTCGACCTAGAACGACTAGCTACCACCCCCTTCCCAGACGAACATAGTCCTGCCCCAACCCCAGGCAGCGACGGCAATACCGTGACCAGCGAAGAGAGCAAGAAACAACGCCGCGAGTTTACTGAGCTGAAAACCCGGCTTCCGGAATCGTACAAGGTTGCACATCGGTTATGGCTTGAAGGCTGTCGCGAACTCCCTGATTCCATTCTCGCGCGGAATTATCCGAACACCTGGTCCAGACGGTCAAATAATGCCGCGGAACGAGGCAGAGAGCAGCTTAAATTGGGTGAATATGCAGGCGAATACTACCTTCCCTTGGGCACTGCGACAACTCCCCTGGAGGCAGTGCGATTTGGATGGGATTTCTTGAATGAATGGAGTGAGAGAGAAGGTGTCAAATGGAAAGGTAGGTTAGGACTATAACTTGTCCATTCTTTTTAATTTTTCCATTTCTGTCAGATCTATTCTTGATATTGTACTAGATTGTTCATCCATCTACCTACGGCCTAATACCCCCTCTCCTCATATTTTGAATACTCTTCCTACCTCCCTCAGTCAACAGTCTACGTTCGTATGTTTTCTTTCCTTTCTTTTTCCTTTTCTTTTTTGCTAGCCCGCTCTCTTATTTGCGATACCATTTGTTTCACTTTGTTCCCTTTTCTGTCTCTAACGATATGATACCATGAAGGATCACTGACCTTCAGAGTTCTGCTACTGCTATTGTTTTATCAGCGCTGTCTTTATTTCCCCTCTTTTTTACGACTTTTGACTACTTATTCTTCTTTGTTTATCTTGTCTTGAATGTTTGGAGTATTGCGCAACAGGGCGAGAGCGAGGGCGCGTGGATAGTGATGGGTATTTATTTTATCTACCTGTGAAGAATGAAAAGGGAAAGGGTAAAACGGGATTTCCGATGAATATGCGAAGGATAGCAGGAGGATTGACTGTCTCTTCTTCTTCTCCTTCTTTTGCTCTCTGGAGTGAGTGTATTATTATACGTTGATATTAGATATAATAATACCTCTTCGATCTATTACTTCGCGCCTAGGCGTTTACTGATCTCTTGAACGTTAGACTGCATTCCATATTTCTGTACGTCTGACACTTTCTATAGGACATCCTTAAGCTGGTTTAGTAATCCAATTTATCCGGCTAATTAAAAATAAACGACATGATAGTTTAAAGAAGCAAAGCTGTATATACAGGTACTCCCCCGCTCATGCAATGAAGAAACATAAACGAAGCGAAAAAAAAAAGAGAGAGCCCGATAGCAATAACCCCGAGTCACACATATCTATCAAAAAAAACGAAAACCCAAAACGGTAACACCAAAAACCACGTCATTGAGTTAATGACTAGTCAAGCCGCGGCGACCTATCTTCTACATCCATGCGGTCTGCACTCCCGCCGCCAAACAAGTATCCTGCCTCGCGGCAATAGCGTGCTTCTCGTCGTACACTGCCGACTTCACTTGCCCAGCAAACGACAGCCGCATCAACGACGCCAGCTAGCACCCCTTCCATGGCGGACAGGACGCCCCATCCGATCGTCCCCGCTATCAAACCGACAATATAAGCGTACAGACTGCCACGGATGGTAGGGCCTTTACTACCGTCTTCGCCGGGGACCTGTAGGCTACGGGCGGTAGACACCCAGCCACCAAAGCCAAGGGCGAGAGACATCATGAACCGTGTAGCGTGAAGGAGCATTTTAGCGAGACGGTATGGCATTAGAGTGGAGGAGTAGTAATCAGATCGATGGGAGTCGGAGAAGGTTCGTGGATGGAAGGTTGTGGCTGTTGCAGCAGATGGGGCGAGGAAGACCATCTGGTTTAGACTGCGGGCTGAAGCTACCAGGGGCTGCGAGTGGATGGCGGCGTAGGTCATCGTGAGCGGGTTGGTAAGAGCAGCAACTGGCGTGGGAACAAGGGAGTAGGCAGCTAAAGATAACAGGGAGGACATGCGACGTGGGAGGATGATGAGAGGGATGCGGATGAGGAGGGAGAGAAGGGTAGAGAGACAGATTGTGCCAAACAAGGTGGTTAGGGCATGAGTAAAGGCTGCTTTAACAATTTCGCGGGAGGTAGGAGAGGGCACGGCATTGCGGTGGAAGTACCATTGGCTCACTGCGGCGGCCGTGGTAGTCCGTTGAATACCTGCAATGACGCCGAGAGACCAGAGATAGACGAGGATGAAGTAGATGCCTAACCACCAGGTGCCAATGTCGATGATGAAGAAATGTTTAGCACCGGTGGAGAGATGGCCACCAAGGAAGACGCGGGTGAACATAAGAATCCATAGCCAACTCCATAGGGCGATGACGGCTATCGTTGCAAATCCCAGAATGAGCAAGGCTGGGTTTGCAGCTAGGATCCGACACGAGAACTCGAGAATGCCGATTGCCTTGCCCGTTGAATGTCTACCTTTGACGATAGAGTAGATCCAGACTGTAGCCATGATTGCCGGGACTATCGAACCCCATCGCATAACCCTATCCTGGAAACTGTTTCCATGCCATGTGCCCTTGAAGCTAGAGATGAAGGGATATAGAGAGAACGAAATAAGGATAACGGGAACAGCAATTAGCATAGCATAAACCAACGGACGAACGTATGATCGCAGCAATGCCAACCAGAGCAACGCCACGAATACTGAAACAAGGGTATATGTCCCCAACAGGCCAAAGGACGAATGCAAGGTAGAGTAGATAGTATCCCCAAGGAGGGGGATCTTGGACGGCGCAGTAGTGTGAAGGTACACGATGAATGAGGTAGCAAATAGACCACACAAGCAGAGCAAGAACATGTGGCCCCAGAACATGTCGTGCACTGGAGGCTCCGGTTCTCCATAGGTGACTGACGGGGGCATCTCGGAAACCATGGAGCTCGGTGGCCTGGGGTTATTTAGCAGGGCTTGCTTGTCAGTCTCCTGGGGCATGAATCCAGCACTGGTCTGGAAATCGTCGTCCCCCGAGAGGTTTGACTGTCTGCGAAACTGGCGGATAGGCGGCCCGCCACCAGTAAATTCGGGAGGGGGGTCATCATAATCCACCGTCACGGCATCCGTCTTTATCGAGTCTTCCAGCCGAATGTCGACCATCCTACCCTTCCCAGGACTAGACCTGGACGTACTCCGTGACATCGATCTCGCATCTTCCTCTTCCTCTTCTTCCGCTTGTTCTGTCAGCGTCCCAGCACCTAATTTTCCCGCCGGACCACTGCCGGAAGCTTTCCCGCGCCATGAGCTCCGTATCCCCGCTCCTCTGCCAAACTCATCCGCATGGTCTGCACTGCGTTCTGAGTGCTTGCTATCCTCCCCTTCATCGCCCTCGGACGACTCTGCTAGCTGGCTTGCGCCAAAATGCCGCCTGGATCTCTGCAGGGCGTAAAGGTCGGCAGCTTCCCGCTCGTCGTCTTCTTCCTGTAGCTGCTCGGTCGTGCTGTGAAATAGAGGTGCATGGTGGACGGATGACCTTGGAGAGAATGGAAACGTCTGGGAGGCGGAGGAAGAGTACGGGTTCCCTAGTGCCCGCTGAAGGTATGGTCGTGACGGAGGTGGGCGGGACGAGTTCTGTCGGTCAGGTCTCCGACTTCTGTCCCGGCCATCTCTCGGAGGTGAGCTGTCACCGGGCGCTATCCGGGACTGAGACTGTGAGAGAAAACGAGAGGCATCTACAGACAACATTAGCTTTATCCTGGAAGCAGCAGAGAGGCTCTATAGGCGTATCATACATTCTGAGAACATGGCGGACCTCGAAAGGGTTTGTTCGGCGTGGATGCGGTGTGGGTGTTTATGGAGGTAAAAGTGAGGCTGTATCCCGCTTTTCTATTCCAACGGTCTTTGCACACCAGATATCTCGTATCATAGATAGGAGATTGGCTCATATCAGAGTAGCTTTAGGGCTACGGGGAAGGGTCTGGTCTGGTCACAGCTTTGGGCGCACCGGAAGTTATGTCATTACTATTGAAGCGCCAGAAGGTTTAAATATACAGTAGCAGCTTCTGAGGGTTCCAGGACAGGCAGCACAGCACCTCAACCCTCCTCCAGACACGTACAGAGGCAGGCCAGGCTCAAGACGAGGTGAGGTAAGGATGTAGAAGTGTAGACGTAGAGGAAGAAGACGAAGAGAGAGAAGGAGAAGTTGTGAATGACTTGAGAGGATGACGGGATGCTGAGGTAAGCAGGATATCCCCCAAGGTCATGTGCCCTCGTCACCTGATCGAAGACGAAGAAGACGAAGAAGAAGAAGAAGAAGAAGAAGAGACAAGATATCGACCAGCTCCCCCTGTGCGCTCGGCATGTGGTTCTAGCTGCTGCCTGGACGCTAGTTGGTGCTCATCAGCTTGGGTCAGGGGAGGCTTCAACGTTCAGACGGAAGCTGTCTACAGGAGACTACTCGGCATCCTGGACCTTGAGCCGCGATATCTCCTTAATCCACGTCTGCCTAATTACAGAGTTATAGTCCTAGTTCTCCAGACTACGGACTACTTCGAGTCTGAGTACTCCGTATGTCGATGTTCTTTGACCTGTTCCAGCGTTGATCCGGCGACCAGCTACGAAGCTGCACGACGATGCTGACAGGCTTCCCCGAGCCTGTCTCTGGATTCTCGCCATACAGCGGCCCAGCATCTGGTCCAGTTTCGGCTCCTCACACAAGCCAACATGAAGCATGCATTAGTTAGTGAATATAGACGCGGCACAACGTATGCATGCCATCACGGCACCAGTTCCGGGAGCACTCAAATGAATACACCGAAGATATAGAGAGAAGACGGTCCTGTGCGTTGAAGTGCCGGTGTATACTGCCTTGCCAGGCTGCCCCGGTGTGTATACGGAAGAACGATGCCGCACGGAAGATGGACGATGCCAGAGCCTCACTCGTATCCCTAAGGCAGTTTACTTTTTGTAATAAAATCGTCGTTAACAGGGCGAAATGTCTCTCCCCCGATATGACGTCGGCATCGGCGTGCAGTCAAAGTATCTCCAAGTATCAACACTGCCAATGCTCGCCGGAGAGGAACCTAGGAGTACCTCCCCGGGGCCCAGGCTAGGCCGCAAGGGGACGCCCTCACCTTCAACTTTACTTCTTCACCCTAGAAACATCCATCTTTGACGCTGACATTCGAACGCCGAACAAGTTGCTTCTTCTCTTGCCCTCCTTCGCCTTTTCTTTTCTGATAATTTCTTCTGGCCTGGCGTTGCTCCCTCTCTCCCCGTCGCCGTCGTCGTCAGCCTTCAGCATCCCGGGGTCCGGCAGACAGACAGACAGACCAGCTACATATAAGCTATCCCCCCAAGTTCGATGCCCAATCTACAACCCAATCTATAGCGCCTCTCACTCTCAACCCCACGATCACTACCAGATTCCGCTCTGTCGTCCAGCTAACCCCGTCGTCCGAGGCCCCAGCTGCTCCTCGGGTTTGTCGTGACAATTTATTCCCTCCAGAAGGTGCCGAGTCGGAGCCTGCTTTCATGTCAAGTCCACCATGGGATTTCATTGCGAAGCTGGTCTGTATCGGTGACTCAGGCACAGGTAAATCGAGTGTGCGCAGTCCATGTTCCATTTACCCCCCTTCCTATACGTCTCTATGTCAGGCTTGCCGTGTTTGCTGACTTGCTTCACACAGCTCACTGTCCGTCTATGCGAGGGCCGCTTCACCACCACCCATGATGTGACTATCGGGGTAGAATTCGGCTCGAGGATAGTACCCGTTGGCCCACCGGCGTCAGATGAAATAGGAATCAACTTCGACAATACCTCCCTGTCCTCGAGCCCGTCAGCTCTCTCACCCACCACCTCCTTCATAGGGAATAACAGCCAGTCGGCGAACAAGAATGGGAAATCCGCCAGTGAGAAATCGGTCCCGCCGTCTCCAAGGAGTCTATCCGGACTGCCCCCGCCTCCAACCAAACCTTCCGAGCCCCCGGTTCAGAAACGCATGAAGCTGTCGTTATGGGACACGGCGGGCCAAGAAACATATAAATCCATCACAAGATCATATTTCCGCGGTGCATCCGGCGCCCTGCTGGTGTTCGATATAACTCGACCACCTACATTTGCTTCCCTGACCCAATGGCTGCAGGATCTACGGCAGATTGCCGAAGAGCGCATCGTGGTGATACTAGTCGGCAACAAGAGCGATCTCGTTGAAGACGCCAAGCCCGATAGCTCAAAGGGCAAAGAAAGAGAGACTGATAATCCCGATACTAATACCGACTCTAATACCGATAATGATAATAAGAAACAACGCGTCACGCGCGAAGAGGCCGAAGAATGGTGTAGATTGAACAATGTCGTCAGATACGTCGAAACAAGCGCCAAGTCCGGCGAGGGCGTTGAAAGGGCATTCCGCGAAGTAGCGGAGCGCATATACAGAAATATCCAGTACGGCAAATATGATTTGAACGATCGACGGAGCGGAGTCAAGGGGTATGGCGCCTCAGCTGGACCGGGGAACGGACGAGTGCCTCGAACCGTCAACCTGGGTGTCAACGATGCCATGCGGAGAGGCAATCGTGGATGGACTGGTGGATGCTGTTAATATACCCCCTTGCTTACCCGCATGCATGCTGACCTTTTATATCATTTCTGCTGCTGCTGTTTTATTACTACCCTTTTTTACATGCTTGCGTCGCCATTTATTTTACTATCCCTTTGACGTGCCTGCTGGGGTATTTTCTACCTTACTGCTTTTAATGTATTTTGGAGAAATCTGTCTTGTACCCACCTACCTTCTATACCTACTCATGGCGCTTATAGTGGTACGGACTCTTGTTCTGCTGCCAACTTCTCAATCAAGGATATCCACAATCATAGGATTGGGCGCTGTGCCATCTATATTAAATGGGTGATGTCATACAGCTGTTATTTAACACCGTCCGTTGTCAGTTAAGAATACTAATATAATATTTCTTTCCAACCATGTATCTCAGAAAGGCCAACCCATGGATTCATGGATGACTAAGAAATAATGTGATTAAATGACTAATAAAATGGTCATGGTCCTTATGTAATCCTGGCCTATAAAACTCGAAATTTCCACCCCAGTTCGCTTGGACTTCCCCACAACGCCCACTTTCAAAGTTCACCAACCACGTCCAGTGTTTTCTTTTCTTTTTCCTCCACGCGCAACGTCCAGCGATCTATAGACGACTACGACCCCATCTAAGTACTCCGTACAGAGTATTCGACCAGGCTCTAGTTAACGTCGGGTAGTGACAATACGTGCCGCAGACTATCCCTGACGATGGAATCCAACACCGAGAGGCTCGAGACTTTCCATGAAGGATATCCCGACACCTTCGGTGGATTTTTCAAAAATCAAAGTGGCCGAACGAAGAAGATGGCGTCGTTCATCGTGAATTCTCCACCTGACATCAGCCCAAACGCGCGTGTTGTCGCCGTTTGTGGAATCAGCGACGAATATTGCGACTCCGCCAGCCCAAGCGCGGACGGGTGGTTCTATTCAGATTTCTTTGCATTCCATACATTACTCTACGGCCAGGGCGCTGCACAGACATGGTGCTGTGCAGATCAGCCAGGTTTTCTCCTCTCCAAATACGGCCAATACCTTCACGGCAACCCATTCACAGAACGACGCGTTGTTTTGAATGAGCACCTTCTTCAAACTGAGCTGAATGATGTTCAGGTCTTCCCTTCCTCAAGTCTCCTGTCATCTTTCCTTGATGTTCTACGCGGGGAAGCCGCGTTGGCGGTCCAGCTTAAACAGCCACTCATCCTTCTTCTATTTGGCCATGGAGACAACATCACGAAATCTGTTAAGATCGGAGGCACAGACTTCAGCAGTGACGAGTCGGATATCTTTGATACCGTTGGTACCGACGATGAACTTTCCATCTCTACTGTAGCCAACATTGTTGGTGAGGAAGCAGATGTCACTGTAATATCAACAGCATGCTTCTCGGGGGGTTGGGCTGTCACATCCATCCTAAACGCTACAGTTCTGGCAGCAGCTGGACAGAGCGAAGAGAGTGAGTCGTGGGCAAAAAGTTCCTCGTTGTCAAGGGCGTGTGGTAGCATCTACGCATCAACCCTGATCAAGTCACTCTTGAAGGAGACAAACGACGAACTCCAGCCATCTACCCCTTCGTCCTCGGAACGTCCAGATGTATCTTCTTCTCCAACTAAAGGCCGATCGAAGACCTTCTCAGAGTTTGCCAGGACCCTTCACCGCCTACTTCTGACAAGCGTGGACAGGTTCGGTTATACACACAACATATCGTTCAGTGCTCAGAACGATGATTGGGAAAGCCACTGGCGTAAGCGGACTGGTTTTCCTCTGGTAGATTTCAAATCAAAGTGGGAAAGCCTAGACGTTGTTCCGCCACGACCATCAACACCCTTAAACAGAGATCCACTCGCCGAGGACTCAACGAGAATGGACAACACTACAAGGGAGAGCACTCGGGGCCAGTACGGGTCATCATCATCATCATATCTAAGGGGCCTTCGTCGGCTCGCGAAAAGGTACCTACAGAGCTTTCCAGACGCTGATTCGCTCGCTCCTAACTCTATGCTACATCAAGAATGTGTGGACCTCCTTGCTGGGAAAAGGGAATTCAAATCTACGCATCTCGAAATAATAGAGGCAACATTACAGTTCCGGATGAGCCTGGGTTTCTTGGCCAATCAACTCGTTGTTGGCTGCTCCTTACCGCTTCCACAGGTAAAGTTCTGTGAAGAATGGGACCCAGAGAACAAGTTCAGCTACGAACGAGAAGAGAGGGATAGAGTCTTTGAGCGTTTACTTGGTCTATTCCCATCGCCACTTCGTGAGCAGGGAGTTACGGGCTGGGTAAAACCCTACTGGTATATCGTCGCGGCGCTTATGGAAGCGGGCCTCTCTCCACCCCAACTCGACGCTAAAATTCGGCAACTATTTGAAGGTATGATTCTTTTTTTTCTGTTATTATTAGAATACGTTACTAACCATTTCATAGCTGTCCATGACATCAAAGAGACTAAGGCGGACTTGGTGCGAAGGAACCCAGATGTCCAATCGAAACGGAGACGCTTGCTCAAATCATGTGGTGTGTTTCTGCGACGTATGTCACCGTCAAAGGGGGCCGAAAGATCCCACAGCCCATAACTAAGGCTGCCGGGATCATGTGGCTATTAGGATGATCCAACCATCTACACATCACCATCACGCCCATCGACTTTGAACATGTTATACGGTTTTACTAGAACCCCCTTTCATAGACGTGGGCTGCTGAAACCAACTCTAGTTGTCACTATCCTACTGTATCTTCTACTCCTGTATGTCTTACTGTAACATGCTTCTTGGCCTTACGCCCTCCGAATAGTGTCCCGTCAAAACCTTATTATTTTTATCAGATCCCCAGGTCTCGCGACTTGCATCTTAACCTATATCCACATCTAAGCCGGTACAAACATGCCAATTTTCACGTACGAACATAGCGAACTATGGAATCCTCGTATTCCAGTGCATAAGCTCTCTTGACGTGAGTCACATCCCGGAGATAAAGGGCGTTGAGATGCTACGCGACAACTCACGCCACAAGTATAGGTACTTCCATGCTCCGGACCGGATGCAAAAGTACAAATAGCCAGCTTTGATCCATTTTTCTTCATTTAGTCTTCACATATTCATCTTACGCCCATTAGTCTTTCAACAGTCCATCACCAGCATACCTATCTTCACGAACATAATATATATAATTAATAGCCCTTCGATCCAGCCATGGCGGTCACTACGGCGTCTCCAGCCGAACCCCGCGAGGAGTTCGGCTCCCTGACGCTGGACGCAAACGAACTACTTCACCACCCATGCTTGCCTAGGGTACAGAGATTGATAAACTTCGCATTCAAGCGCGATGATGGCGTCGCGGTCAACTCGGACGGTAAAAGGGGCCGGTTCAATTCGCCAGAACAGATCATTCCGTGGATCGGCAAACACGGCCGGATGGTCATTCTTTTTAAATATAAAACAAAGGAGAGTCAGCAGCACACCAACGGCCACACCAACGGTACAAATGGCTATGTAAACGGCAACGGCGCCACTACTAATGGGTCAAATGGCTGCGCTGGGGCTGACCAAGAGCGTGAGCTCGACACCAACGAGCCCGTTGCAACGGCTGTGATAAAATATTTTAAACCCGACTTGGGAATTCAGCCTATGGAGGGAAAGCTAGACGGTGATGTTGAAAAGGGAATCGGTAAGTCGTCACTATTTTTATACTGTCTGATATATCTTCGATATGTTTTTAGAACAGAGAATGAAGTTATACATCGGATTGAAATCCTGGCTGGCCATGCATGCATGATTGGGAAAAGAAAAGAAAAAGCCTAACTAACTAACCACCTGCAGGATATGACTCGGAACCAGCCGATATTCTCTCCATCAAACACTGGGAACCAGCTTGCGTGTCGGTCATGCCATTCGATGAATCGCTACAGGGTAAAGGTTTGGCCGTTCGTTGTGTTCAGATGCTAGAAAAGGATCTTTTACAGCGGCTGGATATCGCAGCACGAGAACAACAGCTGAAAACAGGACAGCCGAGCGATACCTCACCATTGACTTTCTGGATTCGAACCAGAACTGATACGACGGAAGCATACTGGAAGAGAAGGGGGTATGAGCGATTGAGTTGCAAGTGGTTTGCGAAGGGATGTTGGGAATATGATCACGATTTCCAGATATCGGTTCTGACCAGGCTGGTTCCCAGGCTGAATCATAATGACGTTAAAAACTAGACGACGGCTACTAGTGAGCTGATAGGCAACGATGGCGGGAGTTACAAAAGGTAGTGTTTCTTGACCTTATTTAGATTGCTGATAGAATAAAGCTTGGAGAGGATGGCATCGAATATATAAGAATTAAATTTCATTATAGGAACCAAATTTTTTTTTATAAAGAAAAGCGTTTATTAGAATACAAAAAGTTCCAGTCTCTTGCTGTCTGTCAACGGATGCTAGGTCTCTCTAAAACAACTCCCGTCCCCGTTCCATTACAATCATAACATGGCAGTAAAGCTCCGCCTGAAAGATTTCTCGTTTCGTATTTTGTTATTTGTATCCCCTGCTAGCGTCAGACCTAGTCGGGGGAGCAAACGGGATAAAGTGAATAGGCGCCTTCGTCTACCGGTTAGCGATCTTCCAACCGCTCAACCAGTTAAGGCTCTTCCATTGCTCGTTCGACCCCTCCATTCCAAACACGATATCTTTGAAAACGATGAATAATCCGATAACAGCGGCGTAGAGAACGCAGTAGACGGCCCACTCGACCTTTCGGTTAAGCTTCTGGGTGAACCAGTCGACACAGAAAGCCATGGTCAAGATAGCGAAGTACAAGGCCGGGTAGTAGTGGTGGACATAGGTGACACGGGCCATGATCATGAAGGGAAGGTAGTGAAGGAACCAGCCCACGAGCGGGTAAACACCAGAGTAGTGGATGTGTTCGATGTCGTTCATGGCGAGCTCGTCATAACCGCGCTGCCAGCGAAGCACATACCAGACAATGATCAGACTGAAAACACCGAGACTCAGGGTGCTACCCCAATAGACGAGCGGGTTTCCAAGGAGGAAATACTTGACAACATTATCGTCCCAAGAACACATACGAAGTCCGACGTTGAGGATTGGCCATTGCCAGAACTTCGACGCGAGATCGTCTTGCTTGTCCGGGTCTGGAACAAGAGCATTGTTAGATGTCATCATTGCAACGTTCAGATGAATAAAGTCCTTGATGAATGGCGACTTGTAGGCACCGGGTTCACTTGGGGGAACTGTTGGTTAAAGTTAGGTAAGCAAATGAAGATCTGAGGGAGTTAAAAGAAGGGATTCATACGTTTCTCGTTCACGTGTGACTCAATATTCCAGTGAGTATACACATCCCAGGGTCTGTTCTCCTTGGTGCAAGTAGTCTCGATCTGCTTGAAACCCCACTGAGGCAAGCTCACGCCGCCAGCTCGGAGGTAGCAACCCAAGACGGTGTGACGCAGACGGAGAGCGGTAGTTAGGGTTCTAATCTTCGATCTATCCCTGGATGAGACATCTTTGGCGACTTCGATGGTCCAGTGATCCTTCGCGTCACCAACGGTGGTGTTTCCGTAGGAAGATACTTCATATTGGGATTTGGTGATTGGAGCCGGGACAGCATGAGAGTGCAAGTTGCGGCCAGTTTGGGCATGGATGAGGCGGATAACGTCTCCGTCACCGATATAAGTTATTGGGCCTTCTGGGTCATACTCCGGCTGCGAGCGGTTTGGGTAGAAGAACCAGTCGTTGTTGGAATCCTTATGGTGGTAGCAGGTGACTTGCTGTTGGCCTGAACCTTCGGGATAAGTCTGAACGTGAGAATGCAATAGACCACCTCCATATCCCATATTCTTCAGGGTGACTTTTGATCCGATGGCAACCTCTAGAGGGCTGTCCTTTCCAACATTTGTACCCCTCAGGTTGGCCTGGAACAAGGAGCTCATCTGGGCGTCGCCGGTACCGGAATTTTCGAGGACGAGGAAATGGATGTAGAAGGAGAACATGTACACCATGAATGGCACAATTATGAGACCGAAAACGCGAGCTCCCAAGTGGTGAGCAAGGACCGTCTACATATCCGGGTTAGTCCAATGAGATTTGATTGTAGCAGTAGGAAGACAATACCTTTGGCATCTTTAGGTCTCCGAACTTGTGCCAGAGATCTTCAATCGTGTAAAGTCCAACCAATGCGGTACAGAAAAAACCAACCCATTTGACACTGCAGACACATCCAATGCTCAAACCAGTCAGGATAAGCCAAATGTACCACTCGGGAGAGAAGCTCTGGTGTCTAAGTCGGTGGAATCGTGCCCAGCAGAGAACAGTGGTGAAGGTGAAGCAGAGAAGCATAGAGTCCAAAAGGATGAATCTCGAAATTGTGGCATACGAGTTTTCGCAAAGTACCATCAAAGTGGTGAACCAAACGGCGGGACGGCGGAATTTCAACTCTCGAGCGGTGTAGTAGGCCAGCGGAATACAAACGATACCGAAGAATGCATTAAAGATACGCATGAAAGTGTAGTTGACTTCCTCTGGATATTTCTCGCCAGACTTGAATTCGAAGGATCCGTTATAACCAGCCAGGAAACCTGATAGTCCAATGAGCATTTTACCGAGCGGGGGGTGGACATCGAAGTAGAATTCTCGTTTTATGTAGTATGAGCCGAATTTCCCGAAACTAAAGAATGCCATATATCAGTGCCCGTTCTTCCTATATGAAGGATCGGACTCAATTACTTACTGGGCTTCATCCCACGTCACGATATCCGAGAGACCGATGCGCCACAAACGAGTGAAGCAGGCAAGGGCAGTGAAAATCAAGGGAGCAATGAACACTTCCAGATCGTCAAGTATCTCGCAGAAGGAAGGAGACTGCAGTAGAGATAAAAACCGTTAGAATCCATGGCAGCCAGCCCTAAATCCGCAACACTAGAAGCGCATCATACCTTTTCCGTCAACTTCTTCCCGTCGACCTCGATACTTGGAATCGGAACGTTCGCATTATTCTTCTCTGAGCCGGGGACATTTCTCCTCCGTACGTCCGCGATGGGAGATGTGCCGGAGGCAAACGCTCTATCGTTGGCCGCCATATTTAGGAAGCCAACGAAGAGTCGACTGCGAGAGGTAAGGCTTCGACGTTTGGGACGAAATCAAAATATTAAAGTGCAATTAAAAGAGTGCAGCCAAATAAGTCGAAGGTTAAGAAGTGGCTGAAAAAGAAGAACCACCACAACTTATCAAAACATCCCTCTAACGAAAGAATAGAAACAAACCCTTCCAGCAAGCTTGCAATGGGAGTGAAGAACTAATTTGAGAAACGAAGAGTGTTTCCTGAGCGAGGGTCGGGGATCCTTGCTGGGAGGAGAGAGACAAAGTTGCGGCTAAGGCACAGCTAAAAGGGGCTGAAGCTGAACTCTAAGAGGGACTGGATGATGCCACGTACGGCGTTAAGAGGCCGTAAACGAGAGAGAAGGGGGCGAGAGGCGACGGATAAGCAGGAAGAATAGCAAGAGAACAATGAGAAGAGACCGGAGGCCTTTGAAACAGCGGTCGAAGGGCGATGCGCGACCAGAAGCAACAAAATCCGCGAGTTGGTCGAAGTGGCCAGTTCTATATCAGACACTGCACGTGACTTCACCATCCAGCGTAACATATCACGATCTAGATATACAGAATACGGAGTATAATAAGGATATATGTCTAGAGCTATAAGTTGTCAGTCTATATACACCGCTGCACTTGCACTTCTCTTCTCTCTTCAGCCTTGGGCGACATCGCCGCCGTACTTGAAACCAGCTCTACCCCTGAACCTGTAACAGGGAAGCTCCCCCTTGCTCCAACATACTTTTCCCAGCAAAGCCCAGAACCACACATACGTACGTCCATGATGGGTATATCCAAGTGAAAACGACAAAGACCATGGCAATCTGTTAAAACGCAGGGAATGGATAGAAAATTGTGATTGAAAAAAGACATGGTTTCCCATCTATCTGATTCGCCGTATTAGACCCCCGACAGGTTATTTATGATGACAATGTATATATAAAGGAAGATCAACCGAAGAAAAATAATGGCAGTGAAGGTGTTCCCGTACCCATGATCCAAGAAAGGGATGTACGAAAGAAAGAAAACAAAGAGGTATAGCGTACAGGGGACGAGATCCCTCCATGAAACCCAGTTTCGTTGGAGGGCCGAAAGGAAATATAGAAACAGTGAAGCAACAAGAAAAGAAATGGGATAACCAAATGGGAGAAATGGGGGTAGGTGTAGATGGTGAGTTTCTGGCCGGTATGTCAGGTCAGAAGCTCACTAGGAGAATTTGCATAGAATATATCGCTGTATCGTTCTCATGTGGCGGTATAGGTATCATTTCATCAGCATCCCACGGGATCTAGGCACAAGAGTTAAGAGGGAAAGGCCAAGAATGAAGATAAAGTTGTATTTACTCCTCTTCATCCTGTCCAATCTGGCGATATTGACTATGGTCTCCTCTCTTTCTTTTATCCTTACCACGGCCAATGAGGCCTGAGATCCATTCTCCAATTCCTCCCGTCTTGGGTTGGCTCGACAGTTCTCCTTCGGCTGCCTTGTCAGCATGGTCACCAGATACGGATTCAGACCCAGCCGTAGGCGGAGTGAGATGTAGATTTGGAATAGATGGGCCACCCGTTGCTTGCGTTTCTTGGCCTCGTCGGATATCGAACGATGCTGGTGATCCGACGCCCATTAGAGAGCCACGTTCTGCTTGAGTAGCAGGAGTTGGGGCGGCGGACTGAGCGTCACCAAAGATTAGTTCCATGTCTTCGAGGCGTACGCCGCTAGTTTCGGGATAGAGGAAGTAGACTAGTATGTGTTAGTTATAAGCGTACTTTGAGATATGATGTTCGAAGATAGGAGTGCATACCTAGGACGAAACTGCAGGCACAGAAGAAAGCATGCATAAGATATAATCTCCAGTGAATTGCCTCCTGTAGTACGGGAGTAAGTTCTCCAACAAGCCAGTTGAATGCCCAGTTCGTAGCGGTACTCAAACTAGCGCCCTTGGCACGTATGCTAAGTGGGAGGATCTCTGGGGGGTATAGCCATGGGATAGGGCCCCAGGAGAACCCGAATGCGGCATTGTATATCATGACAAATATGACGGTCAGAGCCGGGGTGGCAGATATGTTGAGATGGATGAAGTATGACATGGCGGAGAGAGCTACGATCATGAATATAGCTCCCCATAGGAGGATTGGCCGACGACCCCATCTGTCAACTAAATACCATGGTGGGATGGTGGAGAATAAGTAGGTTATGCCATTAATGCCGGTCATCAGAATAGCGTCACGGCCAACCCAGCCTGCGGATTCGAACACGAGGGGAGCATAGTATGAGATGACATTGATACCGTTTAGCTGGGCAAACGCTTGGGCAGACATGGCAATAAAGACACGTTTGTAGTAACGACGGAACATGTCTTTGTATGTTCGTTCACCCTCTTGTCTGGTAACGAGGACATTCGTTTTGATCTCACGGTATTCTTGTCTGGCCTTGTCGTTGTGAAGGTCTCCCTTGCCGTAGAGGTTAGCAATGACCACCATGCCTTCTTCATCGTGGTCATGGTCCAAGAGCCATCTATTTCAATAAGGTTAGAATCGCAATTAACTATTGGAGACTAGGAATGAGAAATATACCGAGGAGATTCGCAGATTATAAGGCTCCCGAAGCCTAGAAGGGCGCCCATGAAACACTGAAGGAATAATGGCAGTCGCCAAGAATAATCACTCTGAATGTAGCTGCAGAAGTAATCAACCCAGACACTGGCTGCGTAGCCGCAGATATTGCCCGTGAATTCAATGCAGGCAAGTTGGCCACGATTATGAGGTGGAGAGATCTCAGATTGGTAAACAGGAACAATTGTAGACAGAGCACCAACACCGAGACCAGCTACGATACGCCCAATAAGCATCATGGGAATACCCGTAGCAAATGTTTGGAAAGCGCCGCCAACGAAGAAGATCATGGAGCCGTAAAGGACAGTTCGTCGTCGACCGATTATGTCACCAATCTTCCCCACGCAGAGAGAGGATATGAATGCTCCCACCTCGAGAATAGCTACCATGGTACCGATCTCCGCTCGCGTGGGTTGGTTGAAATAGTCTTTAAAATATTGGCCCCTATGATCGTTAGTTGAAGAATAGGCAGATAGAAATATGAATGCTGTACATACGTAATAATGCCCGACATAACACCTTGGTCATATCCAAATAAGAAGACGCCTAACGACACGAAAATGCTAGTAAAGTACCTATAACACCTGTCAGCCTTGTCACACTTAGCATAGAGCTCCCCAGGCGATAGACGTACAACAACGGCTTGCCAACAAGGCCATGGGTCTTGGCCCTGCCATCCCGGGGTGACATGATGGAAGCCAGCAGCCTCTCTGCTCGGGAGACTGTCCTTGGAGCTGGATCAGGAATGCGGATGGCCTCTTTCAGGTCTCCGTTATCGACAAAGGGCGTGTGCTCCTCCCCTACTTCGTCTTCTTCGTAACGAACCCGTTTTGGCTGAGTTGCAGACGAGGAACCCGGTCGACCGGCCTTTCCAAAAACTTGAAGGTCTAGGGACCCCCGTAGCCGCAGACGTACTGGATCCTCTTCGTCAGCAAGCTGGTCCGCAATATCACCAGCGGAGTCCGACCAGACGGAGAAGTTGGACTCTGATGGGGTGGGAGACGGAGTCCTCTGGTTTCCCTCTCTGTCGCGTTCAGAGTCGTTGAGCGATGATGACTTCTCAGACGACGGCCGGGAGGTATGTATAGACCGGAGGGGTATGGAAGCGGAGGAGGAAGGGAGTGATGGTGGAATTGTGGCGGTAATACCAGGGCTCGCTCGTGGCAGCCCTATGATCCGACTAAAAGAGAGAGGAAATTACGTTATGGGCGGAGAGAGGCGAGATGGTTCAGGGCAGGTCAGGTCAGGGCGTGGTGGACATGGAGCTGTACAGCGCACTGGAACCGTTTCGGTCGATGACAACGGGATTGGGAGTGCATCCGATGATCGAAGGGGAGCAGAAGAGGACGGTGATCGCTTGACCAGATGTTCCACTCCGTATTTTTAGGCTGAGGCTGAGGATTGGCTGCTGGACGCCGGAAGCTGGAGGTTGATTGATTGATTTGATGATGCTTTTTCCCTTTCTTCCCTTGTCTCTGGGGATGGATGACGCTCGGAGGTCATGTGCTGCTGAGTCAGCGCCCGCGCTCCCCACAGTTCGGGAGGAACCCGGTCATACAGGCACTCGTGGACGGCGGGATACAGTGTCATCTGCTCCGTGTCATATACCAATAGTCGCACTTAGCATACGGAGTATATTACTGAGTATTTCGTATACCTGAACATCTTTTGAAAGGGGGAAAAAGGGGGATGCCCAGCCTGATACATGGAAAGATCTAATCTGAGAGCTTAGTCAGCATATATCGAGGTATATGCCAAGACCGGAGTTAAGCTTAGTCATATAGTCACGTGTATATAACACGGGACGGAAGGTCAAGGAGCATATATGGAGTAGATATGGAGTAGATGGAGTAGATATGAGATGTAGTCTATATTCGTCAGGTATATATGGTAAAGAACGCTCAAACGCCGTAGGATAACAACAGAAGACCGCCAGATAGTAACAGTAGATATTTACGTCAGGATGATATCGTATCCGTCGAGCTGTATATGAACAGCCTCGGTAGGCACGCCGTACTTGCGCCTCACCAGCTCAAAGATGACAAGGCCAGCACTGGTGCTTGGGACCTGGCGGAGGGTGTTCACCAGAAACCCTCCATACAGCCACGTCCGCCAGCCGCCTATCCGTCGTGCCTGGCGCCGGCATTTCTTAAACACCTCGATATAGGCATTGGCGCGGTGCTCCATCATCTCTCTCCCCGAACGAGAATGTCGAACCCGTTTATCGAGATGGTCTAACTGTCGGTAGTAGATGTTCTGCACCAGGCTGAGCGGATGCAGGATGGCTTGCTGGACAATGGTGGCCGTTATCCCTGCCAGCATCAGGAACGCAGGCTCCAACGCATAATGCGGCTTTATAACAGGAATTTCACCTGGTTGGGTGGGTGAGGACAGTTGCCGAATCGACGCTGCCTGGAGAGAGCCATAGTATCGGGTAACGAAGTGGTAATATCCCTGGGCCTTAATGGTTTCAAACAAGCTGAAGAACACGGCTGATCCAAGACTGTCTTTGAGAAACGAGAGTGTCCAGCCGGAGAATACGCCGCTGACACCGAGTTTTTGAAGCTTATGCTTTCCGTAATGCCAGGCGCTGCGGTACTGGCCATTTATCATGTCGCTGGTCCTTGAGCGAGCCTGTATGGCGTCCAGGGGTGCCGCAACAACGGACTGAATGGCGCCCGCAGCGAACCCCGCGAAAAGGGTGACGGATGGCGAGGGCGGTGGGTAGACCCGTTTGCTGCCCATCTGCGTAGGCTCGTGTAAGGCCCCGAAGATCTGTAGGTATGAAGTATACAGAACGGCCCCAACTCTGTTTATATCTATTAGACCACAGCGTCTCATAATTAAGATAAGGCAAATGACACTGACCCAACATTCGCTATTAACGGAGGCAGGACCTGGTATGGTAAGAAGACCCAGCCATGGGTCTGGACGGCGTTGGCAAGCAATCCCGGGGTAGTTGTCTTCCATGACCATCCACCGGTCGTTACTTGTGGTCCGATTGCTTTAGCTAGAGCCTACTCTCGACGCATTAGCATTGCGCATTCTAACCGAGTAAGCTAAGAGCATACCATGTAGCTATATAGAATATATTAGCAATATCCTATGAAACCAATATACTCAGGAACCACCTACTCAACCCTAGTGCGAAAGAACGCTTTCACCGGAGTTCTAAAGTAAAACGCTACAGCTTGGGCACTTATGGCGCGCATTCCAGCTGCAGACGCACCGGTTGCCGCATTTGTCCTGGGCTTCCGTCGCGCGGTCCCGTCGCCATCGGAGTCCTCGTTTCCTGCCCTTTGGTCGCTTGGTTTCAGTTGCGATATACCGTCGATGGGAACGGACATGGTCGTCGTCGTGCCGAGAGTAAGAGAAGATCCATCGGCAGGAGATTTATAGGGAGAACGCTCTAAACGTGAACGGCATGACTGGTCTATCCAAAAGAAAACGAGACGCTAATACTGTAAACGAAAGAAACCGCCGTCACCACAAAGTCATCTGGCTCACCTTCGTGTCTTCTTCTTCAACTTCTTCTTCGTCTTCTTCCTCTTTTTCTCCCTATGACCTTTAAATCAAACAGTGCAAACTCCCTTCCTTTTAGCCTACGCCCAAAGCGGCTAGATTGAGAACGCGCTCAGAGCGAAATCACGTCCTTCTTTTAAAGAGGTGGACAGCGAGAAAGCGAAAGGTCGGAACGCCGGGCTTCAACAACCAGCAGCTGAGCATCTATCGCGCTGCTCGCTGAGACAGCTCATTGATACGACCTACAGCTTACGGATGGGCCAGTGGACTTGCTTTTATCTTGGAAAATTTAAGCTCTTTTGACGCAATATCAGCTTCTACAGCAAGCTCGAAGCTCTAGGACCCAATTTGCGCTCACCTCACCAGCCCTCCCAGGAGGCATAGCATTTAACCATGGGCGACGCTATCAAAATTGACAGTACCGCCTTTTCGAATCGGCTCTCGAGCTTTTATTCGGCATGGAAGGCGGACAAGAGGTCGGGAAGCCAGATCTTTGGCGGTGCTTCGTCCATCGTGATCCTCATGGGCAAGACTGAGGACTCGAACTCGTTTCAGAAGAACAATGCGATGCATGTACGTATGGAGATTGCTCTGGGGGCATACTGAGCCTTTTTCCTGTGGTAGAGGATGCATACTGACGTTTTACTTGCAGTTCTGGCTTCTCGGCTATGAGTTTCCTGCCACCCTTTTCCTCTTTACCACTGAGGCGATGTATGTGGTGACTACCGCGAAGAAAGGTATGGGCAACATCATTTATTCTCCTATTTGGGACTATGCTAACCTGGTGATTCTACGAAATAGCCAAACATCTCGAGCCACTACAAGGCGGCAAAGTACCAGTCGAGCTCATGATCACATCCAAAGACGCAGAACAAAAGACGAAGATTTTCGAGAAATGTCTAGATATAATCAAAAACGCCGGGGTACGTATCAGCTCTTAGCCATTAATTCCCTGCTACGTTGGGTCTAACTCTTGAGTAGAAGAAAGTTGGAGTCTTGCCAAAGGATACTTCGTCAGGTCCGTTTGCTGAAGAATGGAAGCGGATGTTTGGAGATATTTCCAAAGACGTGGAAGAGGTGGACATTGGACCCGCTCTATCAGCCCACGCTTTCTCAGTTAAAGGCCCGGAAGAATTGGTCAGTGATAATCAAATCATTAGATTGATTGTTTTTATGTATATGACTAACTAGCCGTCCAGACATCGATGCGAAATGCGGCCAGAGCTTGTTCTGGACTGATGTCCGAATACTTCGTAGAGGAGATGTCAGAGCTCCTCGATGAAGAGAAGAAGATGAGCCACAAGACTCTGTCCGGGAAGATTGACGCCAAAATCGACGATGCGAAATTCTTCAATAAGTTGGCGAAACTGCCAACCGGATTTGACGCACAGCAGATTGATTGGGCCTATGGACCCGTCGTCCAGAGTGGCGGCAACTACGATCTGAGGTTTTCTGCAACCCCTGACGACAAGAACCTGTCTCCCGGTATAATCATTGCAGGATTCGGTATTCGCTACAAGACTTATGCAGCCGTCATTGCACGAACCTTCTTGGTTGATCCCAGCAAATCTCAAGAAAATAACTACGGTTTCCTCCTTGCCGTATACGACGCAGTCGTGAAGGATATCCGGGATGGAGCTGTAGTGAAAGACCTTTACAATAAAGCCCTAGGAATGATCAAGGCAAAGAAGCCAGACTTGGAAAAACACTTCGTTCGCAACATCGGTGCTGGAATCGGCATTGAGCTGCGTGATGCCAACATGATCCTTAATGGAAAGAATACCAAGACTCTAAGGAGCGGAATGACTCTTTGTGTGTCTATTGGATTCACGGATATCACTGACCCAGACCCCCAGGACAAGAAAAATGCAGTCTACTCGATGGTGGTCACTGATACGATCCGTGTAGGTGAGAGTGGCCCGCTCGTTTTCACTAAAGATGCAGGAATCGACATGGATTCAGTTTCGTTCTACTTCGGCGATGAGGAGGAAACCCAAAAGCCAAAGAAAAGCCAGAGCGAGAATGCCAGAAGTAGCACCATTATCAGCAAGAATATTATACAAACAAAGCTACGAGCTGAGCGTCCAACTCAGGTCGGAGATGGTGCTGATGTACGTCGACGTGAGCATCAAAAGGAATTAGCTGCAAAGAAGAACAAGGAGGGCCTGGAACGGTTCGCCGGTACCAAGGGAAACCAAAACGGGGTTGCTCAGAAGACTTTCCAGCGCTTTGAATCCTACAAGCGAGACAGCCAGCTCCCGTCCCGTGTTAAAGATTTGATCATTTATGTTGACCACAAAGCTGCGTCCGTCATCGTTCCTATCCTGGGTCGTCCAGTTCCCTTCCATATCAACACGATCAAAAACGCAAGCAAGAGCGACGAAGGAGAATATGCTTATTTGCGTATTAACTTCCTATCTCCTGGTCAAGGTGTTGGAAGGAAAGATGACCAACCATTCGAAGATGCATCGGCACACTTTGTGCGAAATCTTACCCTTAGGTCCAAGGATAATGAACGGTTTGCCCAAATTGCAAAGGATATCACCGAGCTTAGGAAGAATGCCCTTCGACGAGAACAGGTGAAGAAACAGATGGAAGACGTCGTGGAACAAGACAAACTTATTGAAATAAGAAGTAAGTTTGGTTATGTTTGTTGCGCTCAATTTGTTGAGATTATACTAACCTCTTAATTAGACCGCCGACCTATCAAGTTGCCGGACGTGTATCTTCGACCACAACTCGATGGCAAGCGTGTTCCAGGAGAAGTCGAGATACACCAGAACGGTCTTCGTTACCTATCTCCTCTACGAAGTGACCATGTCGATGTCCTATTCAACAACGTCAAGCATTTGTTCTTCCAACCGTGTCAGCACGAGTTAACAGTCATCATTCACGTTCACCTCAAGACGCCAATTATGATCGGAAAACGAACGACCAGGGATGTCCAATTCTACCGTGAGGCCACAGACATGCAATTCGACGAAACTGGCAACAGACGACGAAAGCATCGATATGGAGATGAAGAAGAATTTGAGGCTGAACAAAACGAGAGGAAGCGCAGACAAGCGTTAGATCGAGAATTTAAGGCTTTTGCCGAGAAGATCTCTGATGCTGGAAAGGATGAGGGTGTTGACGTTGACATCCCATTCAGAGAGATTGGTTTCACCGGTGTTCCTCACACATATCGATCCAATGTCCTAATCCAGCCAACTACTGACGCAATCGCGCAATTGACTGAACCTCCATTCCTTGCGTTGACCTTGAGTGAGATCGAGGTTGCTCACTTGGAGAGAGTACAGGTAAGCTGGCCCTTTAAACAAGCAGAATGAATGAGAATAATCAAAAACTAACATAAATATAGTTCGGTCTCAAAAACTTCGATCTAGTGTTCGTCTTCAAGGACTTCCACCGCACACCAATGCACATTAACACCATTCCTATGGAGAATCTCGAAGGTGTCAAGGACTGGCTTGACTCTGTCGACATCCCCTTCAGCGAAGGTCCACTCAACCTCAGCTGGGGCGCTATCATGAAGACCGTCACCAGCGACCCACACGGCTTCTTCGTTGATGGCGGCTGGTCGTTCCTTGGTGGCGATTCCGACTCCGAGGGCGAGGGCGAGGAAGAAGAATCAGCATTCGAGATGTCTGATTCTGAAGTCGCAGCGGACGAAAGTTCAGAAGAGGAGAGTGGCTATGATGATGACGATGCTAGTGCCGAGAGTGAGGCTGCTAGCGATGACGAGAGCGAAGAAGAGGGCGCCGATTGGGACGAATTGGAAAAGGAGGCTATTAGAAAGGATAAGGAGAGTGCCAGGGGAGGCCACGATGATGGAGAAAAGGCAAAGAAGAGGAAGCGTTAAATCAACTCCTCGCATCTACCGTCTGTTCTAAGGTTCACAGCCTTCACCCCTTATCTTCTCGTCTCCTTCCACCTACCCATTCTCTATGAAGTGTATTTTTTTCTCCTTTTTTCCATTGTAAAAACAGGCGGGGAAAGGGCAAAAGAAGTTCATTTATCTTGGTCTCGTTCTGCTTCTTTTTAATGATATCAGCAAGAAATACAAGATTTAACTATGCAAGTTTTACGGGTGTATGAGCTTGATTGGAATATATGGGATGTTGTTTAGAAAACGAGACATAATATTGAATGAGTAGAAACGCCAATTAGCCCTAGAAAAGACAGGACAGCTCCAAAAAATCCCATGCGTTGTCAAGCCCAACCTCGTAAAATAAGACGAAAGGGAAACAGGGGGTAAGAATCTGGTATAAATATGTATCCAAGGCGGCTTTTCTTTCAACTTAAGGTATCCGGATAACAGAAGATGAAAGATAAAACAAAAGTGTGGGAGGCGTGCCACGTCTAGGCTGGTAAGATGAAAAAAAAAAAAAGAGAACAGACATAAAGTTGAGACGCCGATGAGAGAGTTTACATAAATACATAACAGCGGATAATATAGAGTAGAGGAACAGGCAACTATCGCAAGGAAGGAAAAAGTTAGCCTCTCCTCCTGAAGTTGAAGAATGATTTGGGCGTCGCTGCTGTCCCTGTCGCTGCGCCTGTGGTGTTTTCTTCACTGTTCCAAGTGAGATAGCGATGGTCACCGAGTTTTCTGCGAATACTGTTAATAACTGGTGCAGCATGGTAGATGAGAAGGGCATTATGACGTACCTTGGTTTAACCAGATGGACGAATGTGAAGATCGTGCCGAGGAGGATACAGAGTCCGCCAATGACTACATACGCAATGCCCAGGAATGGGTTCTTGCCACCCATCACGCTTCGGGTGGTGATGACCATGGACTTTGTGCCGCCGAAGATCGTTACGTTGAAATCTATGTGATCACTAAAGTCAGCATGACACAGTAAAGGTGTAAAAAAGGATCTATACAACGTACTATCGTTAATATCGACCTGATACGATCCAGCTAACATACGCCCAGTATCATTTCGCAGCGCCAGTTTGCTAAAGGTAGGCAGACCAGCAGTGCGCATCCAGACCTGCAATTCCTCCCAGGTTTGAAGGTTTGGCGGCGGGTTCTTTTCGGTATATCCATCTGGGTATCTCTTTTTCCAATTGGGAGGTGGTGAGACCTGGTCGAAATTATATTTGGTAGGCTTGTAAAGATCCCTATCGGACGACCAGGATATACCACGGTTAGTCATTGGGTATGTCTCATTCACGTTGCTGCCGCCCCCGACTCGTTTGGGTTCCGAGAATGTGTCGTTGAACAAGGAGTTCGCAATCAAGCCACATGGATAATATGCCTTCTTGGTATTTTCGTCAATTCGTAGGGGATCGCAGGTACTAGTTGAAATGGTGCCGTTTGGTACGGCGACGCCCTTCATCTGATCCAGGTCTAGAGACTTGACGTATCTGCGGTGGTTTTGGTAGAAGTTCGTAAGGCGGTAGTACATGTAGACTGGTGCGCCAATGTCATTGGGTATATCGAAAATAAGTGAGCAGACGGTCGTGTTGACGTGGACACCGTTGTCGAGGGTGATGTCGGTGCCTTCGAGCTCGCTTCTATACCACTGATAAGGCACTCCGCCGCCGTTGCTTTTCGTTTTAAACGACGCTCGAACTCTGCTGCTCGCGTCTGTGGCATTCTCCTGGCCGATCTTTGCCTCATTACAATTCGAATAGTCGAATACTAACTCTTCAACCTGTTTCACATCAGTAACCCCTCTCTCAAGCAAGATCCCACACTCAACACGTACCTGCGAACTAGCATATATCAACAACCCTCCTATCGGCGCAAGTATAATCCCCATAATAAAAAATATCGGCAAGACAGTCTTGGGCGTTAAAATAGGCCTAGAAACGTTTTGCATAAGTCAGTCGGCCAAATCCTTCTTCTCGCCTCCCATCTTCCATAGCCAGGAACTACTCACTGCCATGCTTTCAAGCGCTGTTGACGAAAAGCCGTATCTATAAACCACAAGCGCCATGGCCGCGCGCATCCGGTCAGCCCTGCTCACTCACTCCCTACTCTGCGAGGAGGAGAGAAAAAAAGGGGAATAGTCAAAAGAAGAACAACGCACTTGCTGGTCGTCTGCTCTTCTGCTTCTTTTCGGGTTTCCCGTTATTAGGATCTTGCTCCTCCAGCGAATCCGTACGTGTCATTGTCGGCGCCATCACGGCCGTGGTCGACTAGACGCCACGTCCAGGGAATCGTTCGTTCGTTCGTCCCGTTCGTCGTTTTACCGGTTCCCAGACGGCTCGGTCGTAATCAGGCTAGCAAGACAATAGTCTTTCTCACGCCACTCGAAGCGTTCTCTTCGATGTTGATGTCCGATGCGATGTCGATGTCGCTTCTCCGTCGTTAATGTCTGTATGCTCCCATGCAAACGTCAAGGAGGTTCGACTTGCCCTGTTTGGCCTGTTTGCATCCTTCAGCCGGGCTTAGTCATTGTCTGAGCCCTGGGTGCTTACGTACACCAACTTACATAATCTATGTTCTATTAATAGGTGCCAACATTGACTTTCAGGGCGAAGAAGGCGGAGAAAAAGAAGGCGGAGAAAAAGAAGGCGAAGGCACAAGGCTTATGGCGTTATGGAAGGACGAGGATGCCAGGGCTGTGACTGACGGCAGCATGCATGAATCAGGGTATTTGCGGCGCTGTAAACTCCCGTTTGCAACAGTGGTACGGAGTATTATACCAGTACTTTGAAAAGCCAATGCATCAGGACTCGCGTACGCAAACTCTCCGTCGTCAATGGCACGAGTAAGCCCTTAGTCGCCGCTGTTGAGAAGTATGAATAGGTTGCTTTGTAACGCAGCAATTGTGTTTATTGTATGTGTATATAATCTGTATATGACATGATAAAGCAGTAAACAATGCAATGCCCTGAATAATGAGTTAGACAAAGGAAAGTATAGGGTCAGTCAATTAGTAAGTAGAAAGGAAGCGAGTAGATCATATCAAACGAAGAAGGAAAAAAAGTAGTTCTTGTCTTGTCTTGCTTGCTATACGTGATATCTCAATGGATGATGAATAAAACAAAAGCAGAAAAGGAAAAAGAACAATGAAGAAAGAAGAAAGCAAAGAGCAACCACCCAATACCAGACCACCGATCCGATTCCCGTATCTTCCTCCCAATGAGAATGATATGATGCTAGTTCCCCATTTGCCATTTCCATGCGTGCTTAAAAGAGATCAAAACAAAAAAACAAGAAAAAAGTCAATGGGCTGTGCTGTGCTGTGTGTGCTAAAAGGGAGGAAACCGACGGGCCAAAGCGACAAAATGGACAACATGTAAAATAGAAAACCCAATCAAAGGGCCCAGACATGAGTAGAGGAGAGGTATAATGAGGAAAGAAAACCAAAGGGGGATAAAGACAGGGTCGTTCAAAGAGGTGAGTGGGTAAGAGCCCAGTGCAGCGGCGGGATGCGTCGATGTTGACACCTCGACACCGAAAGCAGTCGAGCGTAGTCGACTGGAAGAGTAGAAGCCATGGTATCGAGGCCTCTCGGTATCGAGCTTAGAATTGTAGGACTGTCGTCGACGTCGTTGTGATGGGCCGGGGAAACATTAGTCCAGCTAACGCCATTCCCCATCCATAGCCGCGCACTGGGTCAGGACAGAACTTTAACGGAACATCGCATCGCACCTTCAATTCAACCAGTGCAACATGTCGCGTCATGAGATTGAAAAAGACAGAAAACAAAGGCAGCGCCGAACACCGTTGGGTCATGATTGGGGGGTCATTCTGATATTATAATGGAAATAAGTGCAAGAAGGGGAAAAAACAGAGCTGTCGCTGGGCCATGAAATGTAAGAGCAACGCAGTGAGTGGATGGGGTATTCAATGTGTTCAATTTCGTTTCTCAAAACCAATGCTGAATGAAACAGGCCAAATCAAATATCAGTCTGGTGTTTGCAAGCAAGTCAAGTCAAGTCGTTATGTCGTTGTTGTTCGTCGTGCCGTCTCCGTCTAGAGGTACTTCCTAAAATGCTCCTCTGCCAACCACCCAACTCTCTCGTATGCGGTCCACAGCTTGCTCGCCTTGTTGACGTCGATCTTACACGCCTGCTGGGCATCTGTCTTGCGGAATTCCTTGCCTGCTTTCAATGCATTGACTCTCGCCTCGAAGATGCGGCGTTTGCTGGCCAGGTAGCTTGCACAGGACAAGCGTAGAGTGGCAGCGAGGCTGACCTCTGCTGGTTCGAGGGCATGACGGTCTGGGTCAGCTGAGAGGTCGAGCAATTGGCCCTTCCAATCGGCCTTGAGCCCCTTGGTGTTGCCGCGGAGTGTTTCAATTGGCGGGGAATAGTCTGGCAACAAACGGTAATCCGTTTCATCGCGGTTTGCGCCGATCACCCGGGTTGGCTTCGGCAAGGGGTCGAAGGAGTCTCGTGGCTTAAATTTGGGGGTCGACTTGGGCGAACGTCGAGCACGAGGCGGGCGAGAGGGCTTGGATATACCGTTTGAAGACGAGGATGAGCCACCGGGCGAGCGTTTGGATGGAGCAGGAGCAATCTTCTTGAGTTTGCTGGCCGATGAGGACGATACGATGGGCTGGTACTGTTTCATCATGGCGAGCTGCCGGTCTAGACGTGCGCGTTCCTCTCTGGCATATGCGGCTCGGTTGGCGTTGTACTGGGTGGTGATCCAGGACCAGAAGTAGAGATAGTCACCACGACTCGGCGGCTGGACCTTCTCTGGCAGTTTGGAGGAGTTGGCGGCGATGTGTTCGTCGATGTTTGCGACGGTGGCCTCGTCCGAGCCGAAGAGTGGCTCGTCGTTGGGGATGGCAGGCGCAATCTCGTCTGAGCGAGGGAAGAGAACTGGATCCCGGCTGTTGATGTTGTTGCCGGCCGTGCCGCTCTCTCTATCGACGGGCTCGTCCTCGTTGGGACGCTGTTTCTTGTTCTCGACGTACGGAGTGACGGGTGGCGATGGCAGGTCCATCATCTCTGATTGCTTTCGTTTGCGCTCGTCCGAGATTGGCGGGAGTATGTTTGTTCTGGTGAAGGAGGACTGCTGTGAGACGCAGGGGGAGAGAGTTCGGTTGAAGGAATCGTGGGGCTTTGGCTCTGGAGGAGACATCAGGCTGGAGACGGGAGGTAGGCGATTCATGGTGTTCACGCCCTTGTTCCGCATGCGTCAATTGGTAGTAGTACTAGGGCTGTCTGGTCTGAGATTGCGTTCGACAAAGCGGTGGGCTGGTCGCTGACGAAGCCGAAGCGATGGTGATGGTGATCTGCTGGATGGAGGATGGAGGATGGAGGGAGCGAAGAGGAGGGCGGAGGGCGAGGCGCGGTGAAGATATACCCAACGGCCAGATGGAGGAGAGCGCCGATGACCCAAAGGCAGGTGGAAGTCAATGGAAGGCGGGTCTTGGCAGTGACGGAAGGCGAGATTTGTCAGGTCGCGCTAGTCTGCTTTCGGGTGGGTCTCGTGTGGCCGTGGCGAGGACGGAGATAGCGTAAGTCCGATATCAGAGTAGACTGGTAGACAGTGGACAGACAGAGACAGAGCGTAGGGAGAGTGAAGGAAGAGTCAGAAGCCGGAGTAGAGGGTGCGGAGTCTTTATAAGACCTGTATCGACCAGCGAGTGACCGGTGACTGGTGACTTGGTGACTGGGCGGGGAGCAGGCGAAGCCGTGGATTGCTTGTATCAAAATTACGGGCGCTGTTTTTGCAATACGGCTGGCTTAGCCTTAGCCTCCTTGCTAGCGAACAGTCCAGTCAAGAGCGTTCGCGTTCTGGCTTCGTGATGCGCCGTTTGGACAGGAGAGGCTTGTTTGCTTCGCGGACACGGGTTCGCTCTCGCGGGTTGAGTTTGATCTGAACGGTTGTTATCGATAGTAAGCGGGAGGCAGGCAGAGCAGAACCATGCAGTGGACCGTGACGAGCGGAGGAGAAAAGGGAGAAGAAGGAGAGAGTGAAGAGAGGATGTGGCTGTTATATAACCAGCGGTTTCTTTCTTCTTTTCTGGTTCATCTCTTTGATCAGCCCATGGATCGCTGACGCCCATGACCACGAACGAGTACCACCACCACGGTCCCAGGCGGCTAAATCAATCTCATCAGCGATCTCTCACTGGCCCCCCCGCCCAACAATTAACTGCAAAGGCGGACATGTCTAGACGGAGCGCCATACTCCGGCCGTACCATACATACGGACATACGTAAAATAGCCCCTTATGTACATACTAGGTAGACTAGGGCCAGGCTGCCGTCAATCGCTAGTTCCAGCATGTTCTACTGTGTTGTACCGCGCGCTGGAAGAGGATGTGTTGTGGTCTGATTGATCAATTGAGACAACGCGTCCATTGATGGCAATTGAGACAGGGCAATTGAACGCTGACTGCCCATTGACTGCCTTGTCGTCTTCTTCTTTTTCTGCTTGTGCTGGCTCAGAAGTAAATAAGGGTGTGTGAAGCGAACAAGAGTAACCCTAGCCTCATCCCCCTGTCAATGTCTTATGTCGCTGTCGACCCACACCCGCTTCAGCTGGAGCCTGGAAGCCCTGGCCTTAGCCTCCCTGCTCGTCTGGCCGCTTGGGATGCGGCTGACAGGGTAGGATATCAGCCTATCTGCTTATCTTTCAAGGAGTATTTCCACAGCCATGCATCGACAGTATACTCGACACTCTACTCGACGGTCAGCAATTGATCAAGAAACGTGCTGAAATAAATCAATTGACGGTGACAGAACTATACTTGCGATGATCACCAACAGACTATGGATCGCCCCCATCTCCATGCCCCCATGTAAGTCACAAGCCAGTGGGGAATGACTGCTGATGAATGACAAGCGAATTAACTTTGCTCTTATCTATCAGAAGTCAGTATACACACTATGCCTTAGCTGACTGTACACTTGAACGGTGAGTAAACAGAATATACGTGTAAAGAAGGGCCATCGCTGTGGATAAAGGGGCGAGATAGGTGGTAAGGATGTACAGTAGTTACCTGACTGCTGCCCAACGCTGAAGAAGGGAGGGACATATCTCAATTGACTAATCATCGCACCGTCTCTCGTCTTCTCTCCATCGTCTTTTCTCTCCTTACTCTCTTCTCACTCGCCATCATATCATGACCCGGCCGTGTGATGTGCCCATCGCTTCCAGGCTTCTCAAGGCGTCTCGTCTCGGACACCCAGGGAAGAGCGCCTGAAGCACCTGCAAACGGCACCTCGCCGCCATTATTGGCCAGCTCCCGGGTCAGAGTTCCAATGCATGCATGCGCCCGCCCCGCAACGAACATGTACATACGCACTCGTTGCTTTTTCCTCCTTTCTCTTTTCCCCCGTTTCTGCTTTTTTTTTTTCTTTTCTTCTTTTCTGCTTCTTCTCTCTCTGTTTGTTGTGTGTATAGGGCTTGGGCCGGGACCTTGGAAACTGTGTATCGTGGTACGGCGCAATACAGGTCCATGCCACGTGACGCATGCCAGCATTCCACGGATCTCGACAGAGAGAGACGTCATGGACTCGCGGAGATTTCACTGGCATGGTGTCATTATAGCGGTCTACAGGTAGACATAACCAGCCATACGGGTAGACATAACCGGCCGTCTCCTTGCGCTGGTCTGGGGGGGCGTCCTCGAGCCCGTCCTTGAGCCCGCCGGTGGTGATGGCCCGAGTGCAGCTTGAGTTTTGCGGGGTGCGTCAAGACGAGGCCCCTGGGATGTCAGAAAAAGTACCTTAATTTATCCTTATTTTGGGTTATCGATAAGCGTTATCGATAGCACTACTCTACTACACTCTAGACTACACGACTATCTACACGATGACTGCTGCCTACACACTATACTACGACTATAGTCAACTGCACGGCACAGCTAAGCTGCAGAGGTAGATCTGAATAACCAGGAGATCTGAATAACCAGCGTACATCCTTCTAAGCAACAGCAAGAGGATGACACAGGATGAATAACGGACGGCAGTCCAACATGATGATGACCAGCCGGGTTCTGTCTTCCCTGTAAAAGTCTTTCTTGCTCCTGAGATGGACAAGGCTCGTTCAACAACCCTAAATTCAGCATCAACAAACATACCAGCAGTCGCTATCAAGTCAAATGCATCTCCCAGGCCTTATGGTACTGTCCATGGAAGCCACCGCACTCGCACTCCCTAGCCCGCAGGACTTGGAAGCCGTTAAAAATAAAAGCCTTGTATGAGTCCCGTCCAGCCCCTTTTTGCTCAAATATTAACACTTACTAGGGTCCTAGAATCAATAAAGTTTCCGCTATATACACCGAGTCTACCTGTTCACGCGAAAGCACACCCGAAAGCATTGTTCAAGGCATTCTATTCCTTCATGAGAATTCAAAGTGCACAAAAGTCGATCCTAAGCCAGGGTAAGTATCTATGCAAATAATAGTGGCTGAAGGTTTCGTGCTGACGGCCTTAGTCCCATCTTTGTCTACGCGGATGCCGGTATGACATGCGAGGCGTTTGGGTATGTCTTCTCTCGTTTCGTTTAATCCGTATAATGTCGACTAACGATCATCTTGTAGGGAGGAGCGCTGCAATGGAAAGTCGAACCAGTTCCGCCTGGAGCTCAATGCTTGCCAGCCCGTCCCCGGCGAGACTAAGTCGTTTCAGTGCATTAAAGAGTCGAGCAAAGCATAGACTATTCTTAGCACAGGTGGCAGCAGGATGTCGTATCTGCTAGTGTATCTACATCTTCGTTTATCTCTTACATGTCTATTAACTTGACTATCCATGCTATACTCCGTATATTTTCCTGATAAGCATGAGGATAATGCTACCAGATATCAATCCCACGTTCATCCCACGTTCACAATGTAGCAGTCGTCCATAATATAGCAGTGATGTCGAATGGATGGTATGTCTACACTCTTTACTCCGGACCAGCGCTAAGCTGCAATGCAAGGATCATGATCTACGAACCCCGGTGCAGCCAGGGGCCGCGGGCTGTACTGAACTCCTAGACTCGACGCCTCCAGACGCCCCAAAACATCGCCGTATGTACGGAGTATATCAACCTCGCATTGCCTCTCAATCAACCCCCGTCTTTGCAACAACCCCTTCACATGCGATGATGCTCTGATACCATTGACTAATCACATAGACCCTCCTACACCTTGTTCCTGATCCAGATCCTGATCCAGTTTACTCACGTACGGCCAGGAAAAAGCAAACATATCAGGCCATGTCCCCCTCCAACCCTCCAACCCTCCATCAAAACGGACCAATAATGGCAGCCCAGCGACCGCTCGTTCGCTACTCGCCGTCTCGTGAAGGAGTCAGGCGCTAGATGATCCCTCCCTCGTCTCGTCCTTGTGCTCCCTCTTGGGCATGGAACATCGGTCGGACTCGCCCGCCCGGGGACTCTCCGCATGGACGGTCATGTTCTACGGACGATACACGATGTACGACGGCATGCGGCGCGGATGACCAGCGATACTATACTTAAACTATGCATGGATAGGCCATGGATAGGCCATGGGGGGAGGATGGGTGGCGCATCCCATTCGCATCACGCATCCACGCTCGAACCCAAGCATCCGTTTCCCCCCCTTCTTCCCTTCCCTCCCGTCGTTTCGTTTCTCCTGTATCGCCAGGCCCCCGCAATTCGATACCAACTAACCGACAAACTCGAAAGACCAAGGGGAGTGTTCGTTTGCAAAAAAGCCGACCTGACGCTTTGATGACGACGGTCGTAACTCTATCACTCATGCTGAGTCACAGTCCCATGCTCGAGGATGGAGTTCAAAACCATTTCGTCTCCATAATCAACTTAATTCTGGCGGATGGCGGGGGGTTTAGTTGGTTTGATGTTGATACTGGAAGTGTGTGTTCGATGCTGCCTGATATTAGGGTGTTAATATCGTATGTTTCGTCCGGTATTACCGGAGCGAGCGAATGGGCGTGGGAGGGCAGACGTCATCTCGCATAGCCTTTCGACGTATTTTCGGTTCGCGATATCAATTTAATCGTCTCGGGGATAAGAGAGCAAAAAAGATGAAGGGACGACCGCGGCGAGCGGCGAAGGCAGAAGACAGGATCTGAGGAGAGATGGTTGCTCCGATCGTACGACTCTATACCTGATCAATTTTAATGAACCGGACAAAAATCAATTGAGGAAAACTGTTGCCTGTGGACGAATTTGTCATCAAGCGGACGCGTTCTCTCCGATGGAGCATTGGGGCCCAAAATTTGGGCGTTTGGCCGAGTTTGAATGACAAGTGGTGCATCTTCAAGGCAGACACGATCTCGACTTGATTCAAATTGCAGTGCCCTGTTGAGATCTGGACTATGACCGGGGTGCGATTTTTCTTCGTGAGTCAAAATGCTAATTGAGAAAAGTCTATGCTGGTAATATACAGATCCCCTCTCGGAGGCCGAACGGGGATAGCGACGAGTGGAGGCACAAAGGGGCAACTATCTAATTAATGCAAATTAATGTACAATGTCAAAAATGAGCCCATACAAAGCGAGATATTCATGTTACAAGAGCCCAATTGCTTTCTTGACTTGCTTCATCGTAATATCTGCGTTTGCTGACGCTTCCTCCGCGCCCTTGCGAGCGATCGTATCCAGGTAGCTCTCGCTATCCGACGACCCTGACGAAGCCATCTTCCCGTCTTCATCCATAAGCTGGGTGTAGCGCTCTCTGATCGGCGATATCAGCTCAATGAGCTTCTCGGATAGATCTCCCTTGAGCGCCTTGAAGCTAGCTGACTTATACTCTGATGCAATGTCAGACACAGACCGTCCGGAGCTCGACGGCCCAGCCTTGAGGCCTTCAAGATGGCTGAGCATTTCAAGAAGATTGGAGACACCTGGCCTCTCCTCTGGCTCGTAGGTGATGGTTAACTTAGAGTCTGTCAGTGCAGTCCTGATTTTATCCCGGATCTGCCGCGGCGTATCTGTGAGGAGGATTCGGGATTTAGGATCGGTATGGGACTTGGACATCTTCTGTTTCGGATCTTTTAGAGACATCACGCGTTTTGCGGGGGCTAGACATTCCAAATTAGTATACGGCGTATATAGATGCTGTTCCTAGGTAACTCACAGATCAATGCCTCTGGAACGGTGAGTATAGGTCCGTAAAGGTGGTTGAACCCGTTCGCTACCTCGCGTGCAAATTCAATATGTTGCTTTTGGTCTTCTCCCACAGGTATGTAATTCGCCCTAATCGTCTATCGTTAACAGTGAACCCTTGAACAGGAGGAGTAGATGACGAACCGATGGACTAGTACATCCGCTGCTTGTAGGACGGGGTATGAAAAGAGGCCGAGTTTTAGACGAGCTCGTGCGCCAGACTCTTCGAGCGTCGAGTCCTCGGGTAGCTGGAGTTTACTCTTGATATAAAACGTTAGCTAGTACTCAATTGACGGGTTTAATGAAGAAAGGAAACACACACCTTCCACTGTGTCATCCTAGATAGATATCCCATCGATGAATTCGTGCTCAATATCCACATCAGCTCCGAATGCGCCGGTACCTATAGACCCCCAAACGTCTGTTCTCAGCACAATTATCCCAACAAACACAGCACAGTCGAGAGAATAGGCGTATATAGAACGAACGGCAGATTGATAGAATATTGTGGCCCTCTCCGGCTTAATCCCCACTGCTAAAAGCACAGCAAGTGCTTGTTTCCGCCATTGTCGCAATTGCGCAGCGTCTTTCGGTATCGTGAGCGCGTGTAGGTCGACGATCGAATAAATCAGCTTCGTATCTGGCTGGGAGGTCTGCTGTAGGTCTACCCATGCGCGTAGCGCCCCGAGGTAGTTACCTAGATGCGGAATGCCGGTGGGCTGGATACCGGAGAAGATGACGGCATTCTCTGGGAGTGAAGTTGAACTTGTAGAGCAATATCGAAGCCATTGGGAATTAGAACTAGTATAGTTCAGACGAGTGCATGGTATATAACGCCTGCAGCTTCTCAGAAACGTCTTTTGAGGAGCTGAGGTGAACATTTTGAAGCTTCGTGTCGTTTTGCAATGTTGAACTTGACATTTTGATAGAGCTTCACCTGTCACGTGGCAGGGGCTAAATTTAGACCCTGTTTATATTGATACTACAAGAGTGAAGGCTGCTAAGTAGAATGTCTTATTGAAGAGATAATGGTTTCCTTCCCCGTCTGGAAAGCTGAGTTCCGGAACTACAGACGAATAACTGACTAACGACCAAGAAAAACCTTGATAAGTATACAATTCCGGATAATGATCTAAAAACGGCTAAAACGGAGAGCAATAAACCATCCTATCTCGGGTGCCATATGTTACAGATTAATAGATAGCAAAAAGAAACAAAAGCGTAGTATACACATATCATCCCTTTCGTACCTCCGTGAGCGGAGCTCCAGTCCTTGTCTGTGATTCCCTTTCCAACATGCTGGCAATGGACTCTGGGAAGTGGGAGCCCTTCTTCGATCCAAATTGCGCAAGTTCCGCGTCGAGAGCTTTCTCAAGACTTACCGCGGCCTCGTCCATCTCCTTGCCAACATCTATAACACGGAATTAGCACTAAAGATTCTCCAGATAGAGGATGACAATAAACATACCTAGAGACGTATGCTCAAACACATTCGCCTTCATACCCACACCGTGGAAGGCATGCTTTCTCAAAAACGCCAACCACAACTGGACGCTATCTGGATGGCCGTCCTGAAGCTGTACCAGTCGTCGACAGGTTATACGTTCAAAGTTCTCCTTGCTCTTCGCGTGAACGAAGGGACTTCGTATGACTGTCCATCGCTCAACTATGCGTGGTAGCGGCACCGGGCCCGTGGCAGGAATATTAAGGTAGTAAGCAGCACGGAGCGCGAAATCAGCGAAGAATTCGACATGACGTGCGCTGTACGAGCGGAGCTGAAGGTTGCAAACTGGTAGACAGTATTCTAGTTTCCGTTTAAGGGGTTTCATATACGCCGCTTGGACGGCTTTGGGTAGGCGGAATTTGGATTTGTAGACATTTATTCGATCTTGCCTATATTTCGAACTGTGTCAGCGATATGGAACGGAAATGCGTAGTTCTTTGCGGCCTGTCATTGATCGCAGAGCAATCAAGCTTACCATTCTTTCGGGTCCGTAACTGGTTCAGATTCGGTGAAGACTTCTCGCCTATTGATTGCATCTCGTGGTTAGCCTTCCATGTCAACCGTTTTCTATATTTGCGGCCGGGGCTCTACGGGTCCCAGCCCGCTGAAAGCTCACTTTATCTCCGGCATTGCGGAATCTGGCCCTCCATTCTCTTTCTGTATAGCTGCTAGAAACTCTGGAGGTATGTCGGAGGAGATTGTAGAGACAGGACGGAAGAGATTGACGACCTGTTGGAGAACTGCAGTCAGCCATTGAACCACCCTGAGAATTCCGGAGGAGGCGAGACCTACCTTGACTCGTTTTGTGGCCCCTAGCACAGAGCGGAACGACGACGGAGAGAACATCGTGGAAGTGTAGTTGCGTGTTGGCTGCTAATCGACACACTCTCGCTGCGTCCAGCCGACTTTCTCTTGCCATGATTTTTCTCCCAGACAAATCGTGAATATTATGTAATCAACGACCCAAACCGCCAGCCAATGGGGGCAAAGCCCTGGGTATTTGCTACACTTGCGGGGAGCTCCGTGGATTTTGGTTTAGGTTGAGATAAAATATATAAAAACCCCATAGGGCCCCTTCGTTGTGGGATAGTATTCTTATATTCTTCATATTTACCCAAAGAGAGAGACTCACGCACTGTTTACGGGGACTAGAACGACCTGCGGCTCGTACATTTTGTGCATCAATTAGTAACCACTAAACGGGGAAAAAAGGACGACGACGGAACGAGTGGCAGATAGCTATGGCAGAAGCATCAGTGTTTGAGCAGGCACAGGTTGCCGTAGAATACCTCAGGCCTCAGCTTCCCGAACCTCTCCAGAAACCTCGAATTGCCATCATCTGTGGCTCTGGTCTTGGAGGTCTCGCTAATACCATAGATGCAAAGACGAAATGTGAATTTGACTATGGCTCGATTCCGAACTTCCCTACTTCCTCAGGTGTGTAATTATCGTCCTATGGAGTGGGAAGGGACTTTATTTCATAGCCGCCCTCCTTTCAGATGCCTTGGTCTTACAATATGATATGTATCTAGTTCCGGGCCATTTGGGAAAACTTGTCTTCGGATTCATGGGATCTGATATTCCCGCTGTGTTGATGGTTGGGAGAGCCCAGTAAGTCTATTCAACACTATATTATGGCAGAGGGGTGGTTGGAAGATATGGATGTGAGGACTTGTGAACAAGTTGTGATGGGGTACTGACCATCATTAGTTTCTACGAGGGCCATTCTATGCAGAAAATTACGTTGCCAGTACGGATGTTTAAGCTCCTTGGAGTTGAGACAGTGGTTGGTAAGGATATAACTCATAAAGGAGCCTTTTGATTATTCTAGCTAAGTGTGGATTCTTGCAGTAACAAATGCATGCGGCGGACTGAACCCCGACTATGCTGTGGGAGACGTGGTCGTGCTTAACGATGTATGTCCGCCTCTCCACAACTCCAGACTGCCCATGATTTGCTGCTAAGTAACTCTTCCGGCTGCAGCATTTATTCCTCGCCGGAGTTTCAGGGGCACACCCCCTGCGTGGGCCAAATGCCGAGGAGTTTGGAGTTCGATTTCCACCACTTTCCGATGCATATGATTTAGAACTGCGCCGAACAGCACATCGAGCCTGGAAGAAAGTGGTGCCCGCAGAGTCGAAGCGACGCATCCATGAAGGAGTATATGCATTCTGTTCTGGCCCAAGGTGAGGCTACAGACCTCACGTGATAGTGTCTAGAAGCAGACAGCTAACTTGTGCATGAATCGCGCAGCTTTGAAACTCGCGCGGAGTGTCGGATGATGAGGATGTTGGGCGCCGATACGGTTGGCATGTCGACTGTTCCGGAGATCATTGTGGCACGGCATTGCGGGATGAGGGTGCTCGCCCTAAGCCTTGTCACGAATAACTGCGTTCTGTCACCGGCGCCTCGTGGAGATGACCGTCTGCTTCAAAACTCGACGGCGAAGGAGCTCAACACTATAGTTGATGAAGGCAAGGCCAACCATGAAGAAGTGCTGGAAACCGGCCGAGAGGCAGCGTCAGACATGCAGGTACGAAGCAACTTTCTTCAACTAGCCCAACACCAAGTAGAGCCAATGATAGCTAACCGTGTTACCCAACCGACAGAAACTGGTCTCACAGGCGGTTGTGGACATGTTTGCTTGCTGATCAGCAAGCCGAGAAACCTGGCGTTGTGAATTTACCCTTGTTATCAGGCCGCCATCTCGGCTATGTAAAAGTCTAGATAGAAGAGCACATAAAGTATCACTTCATGGGTCTCGCTCGTTTTGCTTTCAGCTTTTGGTAGTACGCCTTCTTTCCGCTCGTCTTGGCCTCTTGAATTTCAGCATACTTGCGTTTGAATCGGCCACTCTCCTTCTCGGCAGCCATTACTTCTTCTGCGAAATTATTCTTGCGCTCTTTCTTGGTGATTCGTGCACTGAAGAACTCTGTCGGCCCTTCGATGATGGTACCAACCTGAGAGTACTCTGGTATATTTGCCTTGCCGTTTTCCTTCTTGTAGTGACGGTGGGGATCGAGGACCGACCTCATACGAAGAATCTGTAGATCCCGTTTCAATTCAGGAGTGACCACAGTTTTGGGCAAATCGAACCACTTTGGCCCCGAGGTAGGTTTTTCCTTGTTCTGTGAGACAACTTGTTAGTATGTTGTCTAATCTCGACGAGAGCATGTTTGAGGTGGGGCATGGAAGAAATGATTGCAAGTATCGAGCGTTGTTCAGAGTAACTATGATTAAAAGAAACTTTCATGGAAGCAGCATAGCCCAAGACGGACTACTAAATCTGCATCAAGAGCACATGGCTTGGGATAATTTTTCCTCATAACGAACTCGAGTGCGGGAACCAGGGTAGACTGAGAAGATGAGATGACGGCTTACCTTGACAAGTGGCTGCTCGATGGTGCGGATAGTTCCAGCAAGCTTCTTTGCCGACTCGGAAACCAACCTGGATTTGTCGACGGTAGCAATATTATTTGACTGCTGTACATATGGCTGAATTGTTTGCTTATGATTTAGATTTGGCACTCTGCACGAGGTTATATTAGTATATGTAAGTTAGAGATAGAAGTCAGGTCGGTACACACCTTGGCCGTGACGAGGAGTCGTCGACCTCTCCGGTAGCGAGGGAGACAACTCCATCCTCGTCCTTCTTACCGGAGCTCCCAGACACCTTCCGCAGCCTTTCCTCGGCCTCTAGCAGAAGGTTCTGGATCTGTTCCTCAGATAGGTCCGCATCGTCGTCGTTCTTTTTCTTTGGAACGGGGTTCACGACCACCACTTGAACAGACATTATGTTGGGCTAACCGTCTTTATGAAGCTCGAGAAAGTATCAAGTAGCTCGACAGGCCATCTCTCTTTCTTCCCGCCCCTTTTTTCCTGTTCTCTGTGCGAGAAGTAGAATTTTCCTGTTGATATCAAAGAAAAAGGAAAATTTCTGTGGGCTCAAGTTAAATAGAAAGTCAAGTCACGTGGTCCCTGCCATTGCCCAATGAGGGAAAAGCCACTTCACTTTCTTCTTCCTCTTACTCTACTTACTCTTCTCTCCTTACATCTCTACTTACTCTACTTTTCAGACAGTAACGTGTGTTACCTTACTCTTAGATACATTCCTACGTGGTGAAGATACTCTACTAAGATACCGCCGTAAACGATGGAAGCGACGGACGAATATGCCTGCTGTGAGGCTGCAATGCAGCATGCGCCCAACTGTCCCAATAACAACGCATGGAGCCAGGGCCCGAAGACGGTCGACACCGAATACACGCAGGGCAGCACACGATTGGGAAGCTCCCGGGCAGACCTGCGAGTTCCAGGAAGTCTAGCACCGCTTCGTTGGTGCTTCATTGGCGCCCAATCTTGGGCGGATAGGGCTGCCAAGGGACGACAGCGCATCCGATTCGAGGACCAGCGGTGTCTCGGAGGCTGTTCTCCAACCCTGACCAGGTCTGCCCATCCATGATTGGGCTCCGGGACGTGTTGTTTTGGAGGAGCTGTTTGTCGACCGTTTGGACCTGTAGACGTGCGTAGAGATTAGTGCCGTCATCGGTTCGTAGTTTTAGATGTCGAGGGATCGAGTGTCCATGCCGCGTTACACTGAGAAGCAGGTACCTGCGATGTACATGGGAACGCACAGCGAGGGTTAAGGCGTAGAAAAGATGTGCCGTGTTGTATATGTTGTTCGCTGTGCATGTAGCACCTTATTTAGCTACCCAAAGTTGAGCTTCGAGCAACTTCTTCCTTTTCCGCACCACCTCCCCTAATCCTTGCCCCCATCGCGATAAATTCACCTCAAGGCGCACTTAACGCCATCGCCTATACCTATTCGCTGGCACTTCCTCGCTGTTTATTTATTTTTTTTCTTCTCCCTTCAAGGCGCAGCAGCCCGTCTGTCTCCCATCTTACAGCCTCCTCCCCACCCAGCACAGTAACAACCCTTCGACCGGACGCGAGCTTTCACCGCCACTCGATCGTCTTCAATTTCTCTTTATACCGTCACCTCTCGCCAGTAGGAGAGGATATCTTCATTGGAGGCAAGGCGAGAAGAATACAGCAAACAGTCCACGGACAGACGCCAGGAAGTCCTACATATGGAGCAACAAAATCAGGCTGCGGGCCAGCCATCGCAATCTGCTCGTCAGACCCTCATGCACCATCAGCCAGCATCAACACAGGCGCAGACACAACAATCGCAGCCGGTATATGATATTCGGAATGGGGGACACTATGGTTCGTTCTGCCTTCTTCCTCTCCCCTGGCCCTTCTTCTCGTCACTTTCATCCGAGTAATTTGATATCTTGAACTAACGTCATGGCTCTCCAGGCGCAAGTGCAGCGGTATGTTATATGAGGATATCTCTCGCAGCTCTACCCCACACACGTTTGATCAGCATCAATTCTTTCTATTGGGAGGGTATACACTCGATATACGAGAGCTTGGACACTAATTGGCCGTGATGAACCAGCTGTCTGCACAAGGATACGCGCCTGTTCCAGAGCTATATGCAGGTACATGGGCAAATGTATGGCGTCGCATCGACACTCTGACCACCTATAATACCTGCGCTAACCATTTAACCGTGGAATACAGGTCAATCAGGGTCTACAGGGCTCTGCGCGTGATATCCTGACTACGTACTGGCAACACACCATCAATCACCTCGAGTCCGACAACCACGACTACAAGATTCACCAACTACCGCTAGCACGCATCAAGAAAGTAATGAAAGCCGACCCGGAAGTGAAGATGATCTCAGCCGAAGCGCCCATCCTGTTTGCCAAGGGCTGCGACGTATTCATAACGGAACTCACCATGCGCGCCTGGATACATGCCGAAGACAACAAAAGACGTACCTTGCAACGTTCAGACATTGCAGCTGCCCTCGCAAAGTCGGATATGTTTGATTTCTTGATCGATATTGTGCCAAGGGAGGAGGCTACTTCTCATACCAAACGGTCAGCTCCACCGGCAACAGGTGCTCCTCAGGCGCCAGGACCAGGCCAGATGCCTCCTCAGCCGCCTGGTGTGCCCCAGCAACATCCTATGGGGCCTCCAGAGTACAATACCATGGGCCAGCATCCCCTTGGTCAGGAGCAGGACTACAGGCAGCAAGCCCCAATGTACGGTGGAGCGGTACAATCGGATCCTGCCTACGGACAGCCTCAGCCTCAGATGTTTGAAGGAATGTATGGATATCCCCATTTACCCCCACAGCAGGTGAGTACCATAAACCCTCCCCCCTCCTTGGCCACCAAGTTAAGCCAATCCTTATGTTACATACCTAACGTTATCCTCTAGTGATGATCCAACACCCCAATTACCAAAATCCGCCCAAACTTTCTTTAAACAATACGTTACATGCCATACCGATGCAATATCAAGTGAAATCCAAGCGATGTGAATCGCTAAAAGGGATTATGGACAGCAATGGAGCTCCTGGTGGGACGAAACCTTAATTATATAAGTTTTTTTATGACCTGTCCTTAAATCCGTCCTTTTTGTTTTGATACCTTTTGACTGAGGGATGGATTGTTATTAAGTGTTGATTTTGCTGGATGTTATTATTACCATTACTACTGCTTATCCCCCGTCACTTATCCTATCCCCCAAATTGGTATCAGTTGTGTTTCCCCCACCCCCATTTATCCTGTCCCGTCCAAGGCTTCTTTTGTACAGTTTCCAACATATCGCAAGGGGAAAATTAATAACAATGCAAGGCAGGGGCGTCTGAAGGTAGTTTCAACCTTGGCAGGTATATATAGTACATAACGACGTATATATTCAAGCCCTCAATGGTCCCCTCTGTAACTGAGCGGAATTCAGTGCTTCTTCCCAAATCGATTTGACAGGCTGAATTTACTATCTGGCTTGGTCGGGCTCTGTACTGCTCTCGACAGCCTGTATTCGTGTGTTGTAAGTATTATGCTTGTTTATAAATAACGGGCAATGTGGACGGTAGGCAAGGTGTCACTTACTTTTCAAGTAAAATTGGTCCATTCATGGGATCGACACGTCCATACTTCTTATTCCTCACTGCGATATCGTAATACTCATCTGTGTTCTCGGCCATCATCAACTGCACCGTTTGTTGCAGCTCATCCAGATTTTCGCGTAGGATAGGAACTTCCAGACTGTCAACAAATTTGGATAGGTAGTCTACGTCTCTGGCTAAAGCCGCTACTCCGTTCGCGTTTATCACTTTGACTTCGGGGTCTAGAGGAAGAGCCTATCGTAGGTGTTAGAATGCGTGATCGTGAGAGGAAAAGAAAAGAGCACAGAAGGACATACTAGAACCATATTTGCCAAATGACTGAGGGCGTCAAAGTATATAAGCTCCTTAATCTCGGTAGGCAGACCGAGAAGCGTAGAGTTCATAATATTCGACAAAAACCTCGTCAACGTCTGCATGTAATTACTCGGTTCCATCTGCAGTTTCGGTGCGTTCCACTCGTACTCAGCCGTTTCGATGAGGTCGTCGATCTTTGAATTAACAACCTCAAAGATACGCTTTTCAGCTGCTTTCTTGTTCATTCGGAATTTTTCTGTGGCATTAAGTGTAATGGGACCATCACCAGAGTTAGGTGACCGGGCGGCTACAAGGAGTACCTCGAGTTCCTGGCATGCAATCTCGAAGTGCTCCAAGTTGATGAGGATTTGGACTATTTGGCCAAGGTATTGGGAGCCAAGGCGCTCCGTAAGCATTTCGCATACTTTGTTGCAGAGGAGCTCATCTAAAGACTGCAAGGGTGAAACTTCGGTGAGTGTGGAGTTTAATAAGAGGGAAGAAGTAATAGACATACGCTTCGTAGAGTTTCATCTATGATGGCTGGGTGGTCAAAGTTATCGCTGGAGAAATAGTAAAACTGGTTCAAGAGATTCCGGATATCGATACAGCACAGAGGGTACATCTGTGAGAAGGGCAGTACACAAGGGTATCTGCTTTTATGTGAGAAAGGAGCAGCGAAATATAGAGGTATGGTGCTATTTTCTTACGTTTGTTCTTCTCGTGGGCTTTCAGGAGTGTACCAGCTCACATTCAAGACTTTATCATATTCCTCGTCGCTCCGGATAGGCATTGGCATGTAGTCATCCGTTTGAACAATCTAGCACCAACGAATTAGTAACTTTCGGTAAGTCTAGACTTGGGAGGATGGGGAAACATCGTATACCTCTTGGAAATCATCACTGAACCTTTTCTTTAACAATTCCGTATACTTTTCAAATAACGTTAAGAGTAATCTATCGAATGGGCCGACCGAGAATGTCTGGGAAAACAAGATATAATTAGAAGACCGCAGATAACGATATGCGGGGGTCAGTTGCCATACATTCATAGTTTGCATAAATAGTGTAATGAGATTTTTAATTTTGAGGATAGCCTCCGAGTCGTCAACGGCAGGGAGCGCCTTGGAGATTAATCCAACGGCAGTCTGGCACATTGAATCCCATAGCTCCTCGACCTATTCAAATAATACTGTTAGTAAGCCTCCCTTTGTCCTGTTAATGAGCATTATAGGTGGTGAAAATAAAAGACTACCTACGTCTACTGGAGATCTCAGCTCAGGAACCTTCTGCATTGTCGTGCGCTCCACCAAGGCAAATCCAGCAATTTCCTCAAGCAGTGTATGGAGACTTGAGCCCTCTTCCTCGAGTAGGGTGATTGAGGTAGGCAGTAACAAGTCTTTCTGTTGCCTTCTTGTAGTAGCATACTCAACTTGGAACTTGTCCATCTGGCCCAAGGACTGATGGATATGCATACACTCAAGCAACGGCGTGAAGTCAACCTGAAGGTCGTCATTATAAAGTAAATCGAATTCTTGCATCTCATCAGCTACCAGTTCTATAGCCGAATTGAGCTTGAACTGCGACAGGTAAGGAATCTTCTCGCTCCGATCTTTTAGTCTCTCCTTCCTCTTGTCTGTGTGGAATAGCGCGAGCTCTCCTAGATACTGTGACATCTCACGAATGCGGTAGAGCCAAGTATTCAGGTCGTCCATGACAGCGTCAGCAATGGCTTTCTGCGTCATCGGTACAGATCGCTGTATCACTTCAGCAATCTTATACTGCGTGACGCCCCTGAGGTGAACATTCTGCAGCTCATCAAGCGCTCGCAACGCAGCATAGTGGTTCTTCTTAGCAAGCAGTTCATGAACCTGGTTCGCAAGGCGTAGAACCTCCAAACAATCCTGCAGTGCCTTTGAGGTATCGTCTATATTCTGTCGATGATTCCGCGACTCGACTAGCACTTTCTTCTGCTCTGCTAGTCGCTTTGTGCTCGCGAGGATGGACTGGTTAAGCCCGAGGATATCTTGCGTCAGGTTAACGGTTCCTTCACGGACTTGGAGCAACTGATTGACGGAGGAGATGAAGTCCTGATGTGTCGAGTTGCAGATGCTTTCTATCTTGGCTTCGCGGTCATCCGCGAATTTAGTGAGAGAATGTAGGAGCTGCGTCGTCCGGTTGCCATGGCTGTATTCACGGATTGAGGGGATGAGTTGATCGAGGTAGTCGGTGTCAGAGGAAGATAGAACAATCTATCATGATCAACATGGTTAGCCAACTAGAACCATACATAGTCTAGGCAGTTTATGCGACAACATACTTGGTTCAGGACGGAGGAGAGATCATTCCGGGAAGCCACTGGGGCAGGCATCTTGATTAAATGAAAGCTATATAGGTAAGCGGAAGACGATGCACATTCTTGGCCTTACACGCTGAGGTGCAGTATCAGGGCCATATAGGTGTTGCGCGCTATCTGTGAGCTTGAGGATATTAGTTTGTACCCAGCCTGGTCCCTATCATGTTCTAGCGATCTATCTATCGGAGAATGTTGATGTCACTCTATCTCGAGAGCACCTCGATTATGTAAGTGGTCAGGTCATGTGACTATGAAGTTGAAAAGGGGCTGGAAGTAGATATATTGATGACTTTGTTGTAAGTCAGTTGCCTATGTTCAAATATTCGTGAATTTCTCATGGAGTATAGTATCGTTTACAATATAAGAAGGAATCTATATACAGTGCTATATGTGGACTCCATGTGGACTCACTAATTCGTATCAGACGAGAGCTCATCCCAAGATCCAGCTCTAAATAACTATGATACTAGTCTAGATCTCTAAGTTTCTTGACATCAGCGACCTCGAGGACATAAGATCATGATCAATGGCTGCCAGTATTGCAGCTGGCAGGCTGGTTTCCGCTACTCGTGTTCAACCTCAGTCTCTACCTTCCGTAGCTTATTCCATAGGGCTGAATGTACTGCAGACTATCTCCTCGAGCACTCGATATGCCAGCGAATTGACCATGAAATTTCAGCGGCATGGCATGACCACTAGTCTGGAATACCGCATGCAAGGAAGGATGAGACGAAACGTGTCTCATAAACGGTTATGTGGCCAGACGTGAAGTGAGAAACATCATAGTCGAGAGGCTATACTACCACATTTTGACAGGGCAAGGACAGCCGGCAGATCAAGATACAGTTCTTGAGGGGCGTGTATAGGGTATAGGGTATCTAACTGGATATGTAACAACCCTCAAGATGATTTCTCTTGGGAGAGAGCGTATACTCATCCTCTATGGCTTGTTGTTTCTTCCATCTCGCCGTCTCAGGTGTAACATCACGTGATAGTTGCTTACCTAATCTCAACCTCACCTCCTTTTTCTTCTAAAAGTCATCGACATCATCAACCAGATTATCAGCCTGATGTCAGCCAGATATCAACCAGATATCACCAACATAGCATTATATAATACAAGTTAAAAATGCTAAAAAGTCATTGACATCATTGACTTCTAACCAGGTATCCTACCAACATAGCAACAAATAATGCACAAGTCAAAAAGGTTAGAAAGTCTTCGACATCATCGACTTCACAGAAAGCCTAAATGAGGGTGAATACAGAGGACCACTGTCACTGAACCACGTTTGTTTATTTCTTATTTGCCTGCTCAAGCCAGATGATAGGTGCTTCACCTATGGGTTTACGGGAGTTACCATGGAACGATACCATATACCAAGGTTGGACAGTGACCTCCCCATTAACTGATCTCAACGTGAAGGGGGTTTTTAGTATGCCATAGTGACGTGAAGGTAGTCAGGGAGGTCTATAAGTACCTTCCCTGAAGCTTCTCTGCTTCTTTTCCCTCTCTCCTTCTCATCACACTGCCTTCGTCTAACCCTGATGCACATGGTCAGTGGTATATATACATATTGGTATATCTCTATATATTAATAGTTATATGCACTGTGCAGACTCTTGTCTTTATTCTTACCCTATATCCTTACCATATATCCTTACCATATGTCCTTACCATATACTCTGCCCGCCTGTATAGGCACTAGATAGCCCTAGAGGCCCAGGTATATATTTTGGCACATATTGGAGGAAAGTAGGGACAGGGACTCTATATTGGAGGGAATTTGGGATTCCCTGTAGCCAGTATCCTGGTAACTGTGCTGATATCAGCACCTAGAGGCTTCAAGGTAGGTCTCTCCTGTTCCGTCTTGTCAGCATGATGTCAGGGTGAGATCATGGCTGTACCGTCCTGTCCTCTATCATCTTCCGCCCTTCCGCCAGCTTCTGTCTTGTCTGGTCACATCCTGTACTGCTCCGCTCCGCTGCGTGTTCTCCGCCTCGTCCCCTCCTTTCTCCCGCCCTTCACCAGCCTCTTCACCAACCTCCTCACTCTCTGGTCTCCCTGCTGACTTATATACAGCCTTGGGCGTGCAGTATACTGCCTGTTTAGAAGGCAAACCTGTGCACAAGAGTCGCACTTTGTGCCTACTGATAGCCTGGTAAGCAGACTTCTCTTCATCTACCCTTATACCACCTTTATCTCTCTCTGTCTTCTTCTTGTCTACTTCTTGTCTACTTTCTGTCTCTTGGTCTACGTTCCGCGGCCTCAACCCCCTCCTTTCCGCGACAGGCTAGGTCCCTGACCCCTCATTCCGCCTGTTTCTGTGGGAGAGAGGGGGTGACCAGCCTCCTCCTGCCAGCCTATTTATTCCCCTTCCCCCTCCTCCTCCTTCTCTTTCTTTCTCTCATTCTCTCTCACCCTCTCCTTCGTCTTCGTCTTCCCTAGTCGACAGCCTCTGGTTCAATCTATCTGCTTCGATCTATCTCGATCTGTCTCTCCTGTCTCCTGTCTCCAGCTTCATTCTTCTATCTCTTCTTATCTGCTGTACGCAGCTCGATTGACTGTTATCAGGTATCTGGCTCAAGGGCCTGCCCATTTTTACGCCATCTCCGGGCCTGCAAACCGCAGGAGATAGACGAGATGTCGAGGCTCGCAAGCAGCCCTCGATCCTTCGACCAGGCCAATTCTCGCAACGGGTCTCCCGAGACCAGACTGACCGCGTTCTCCCCTGAAGCGCTCCGTTCCCAGTTCGGCTGCGAGTACGGTCAGACCGATTCCATGTCTCGTCAGGCAGCTAGGTCCTTGGCCATCTTTGAGTAAGTCACTTCGCTCTTCCATTCTCGACTTTCCACTTTCCGTGCTTTGGCTGATTTCTTCACTCAGACGCAGTCTCGGGGAATCCGCTCAAGCTCAAGATCCCTTCATGCCTACTCCCTCTACTCGCTCTTCCGGACGTGTCCAGCTTTCCCCAACTGCCTCTAGCTTCACTCCCGGCAGCTTTGATAGAAACGCGCCAGCTTGTCCCATGTCTTCTCCTACGTTCTTACCAGAACAGGACCCTCCCAATCTCACTATTCTGACTGCTACTTCTGTTCCCGATACCCCTGGACTCACCAGTTCCTTTGTTCCCCGTGGTGCGGTTGACTTTGGTCCAATCGGTGGTGCCAGAGTTTCCCCTCCGTTGGACTCCGAATACGTTCTTACTCCCTATGCCATGTACTACCAGTTTGGCCATTTTGATTTTGAGAACCGCAATCGTGCATTGCTTATTGAAGGAGCTTCTGCTAGCACGACTTATACTGAAATCTCCTCACTCTTCAATGTAAGTATCCCCTTTTCACCGTTCCTACATTTTCCACAGCCCCGTTTACCACCTGCTAACTACCATTCTTAACAGCACAGTGAATTCCCCAGCATCAAGGGACCCGTCCTTAACGAGCTTGCTTCTCATGGTAGAATCTACGTTGGTTTTACCAACATCCAGCAGGCAAAGATGGCTGCCGTCAAAGCCAAGTCTTACTATCCTAGCTGGATCTTGCATGGCTTGACTGCAAAGGAGTTTACCCAAAAATTTGAACCCCATCTTGTTGCAACTACCTCAAACTACGAGGGACAGGTCTATGCCTCGGTCCACTACGACAACGGCAACCACCCAACTGCGGACGGACGTGCCATCTCTCACTCGTTCAAGACTCTGCTTTCCTCATATGGCGACATCAAAGCCTTTCATAGCATCCCCACTCAGCACGATGACATCGTTACCTTCCATGTTGAATTCAACGATACTCGTGCTGCAGACAACGCCGTCTCTGCTTTCAGTGGCACTTCTACTCCGGTAAGCTCGGCCTCCATCCTTATCCGTATCTTCTTCTGCTCACTCGAACTACAGGGCTGCACCATCGATGTCAGGTATTACAAGCCAGATGTTGTCCACCACGCTCATGCTCATCACCCATCTGAGGAGCCTGCTACTCGCACCTCTCCAACCTTGATCAACAGCCGCTCAATGGCTCGTCGTGAGAGCTTCGTCTCACCCAATCCTTACATGGAGTTGAGCCCAACTGGACGTTCCACCATTCCTGTCGGTGATCCTGCTGTTGCAACCTGGAATCGTAGATCCGATGAAGCTCATAATAACTTCCGTTCTCGTCATGGTTCTGGACGCAATCGCCACAATGCACACAACAACAACATGAACCAGAACCACGTTGACATCGAACGCATTCGCATGGGTCTTGACGTTCGCACCACTGTATGTATCCCCACTCTTCCTTACCCTTATCACAGCCATTCCTAACTCCAGCCTCTTAGATCATGCTTCGCAATATTCCAAACAAGATCGACCAGGCCATGCTTAATGACATTGTCGATGAGACTAGCCATGGCAAATACGACTTCATGTATCTTCGCATCGGTAAGCACCTCGGTGCATGTTTATTAGGGCTCAAACGCTAATTCGTCATAGATTTCGCCAACAACTGCAAGTCAGTTACTCCTCCCCTGTTCCCATTTCCCTGTCCCCAATAACCTGAGTTTCCAACTAAATATCTACTCTACAGTGTCGGCTATGCTTTTATCAACTTTGAAGATGTAAGTTACTTGTTATTATATTCTCATAATTCAATGCTAATTCGTCTTACAGCCAATTGATATCATCGACGTGAGTTAATATTACGCCTCGACTAATTGTCAGCATCAGCACATACTAACCTGCTTCCAGTTTGCCAAAGCTCGTGCTGGCCGTTCATGGAATTGTTTCAATAGCGACAAGGTTGCTGAGATTTCCTATGCTAGTAAGCAATCCCCCCTTTCCACATTTACATTCTCTCACATGCTAACAACCTCATAGCTATTCAAGGAAAGGATTGCCTCGTTCAGAAATTCCGCAACAGCTCTGTCATGTTGGAACATCCGTCATTCCGCCCAAAGGTAAGCTTCTAACCAAGTCTTCCCCTTTCTTTTACTTCGCCATCTCACTAACAACTACTAGATCTTCCACACTGGCACTGGCCCATTAGCTGGCACTGAAGACCACTTCCCCGGCCCTGACAACCCATCAAAGATGCGCCGCAGCGTCGAAAATGCTGAACATGTAGGTGCGTATACCTTTCTACTCACTTCCACGTATGCCTTGAAAGCTAACACCTCGGCTCTTTCCTTCCAGGCTTGTTTGCTCCACGCGTAGGTCAGCAGTACCGCGATGAACAACGCCGTCGCCGCTCGCAGTATGACCGTGGCACCACTGCAGCCGAACGTGAAACTCACTGGGTCCGCGAATGGCCTGCCCATCCCGAGAGAATGGAACAGATCCGCTCTAACATCATGAACTCTTGGTATGAGCCAACTGGCGGCAACCATCATCATCACCACCACTCTGGATAGTTTCCATACTTACATATCTTTCATGCCATCGTGTCTAACTAACGTGGCACCATCGGCTTCGATATTTTTGTGGTTTCTTCATCTTTTATCATCTTTCAGGCAATTTTCCCACTCCTTTAGTTGTCTCTTCTTTCAACCTACATATTATATTTCCTTCTTGCCTTGTCTTACAATTTCCCTACACGAAAAAAAAAGCCAAAAAAAAAAAAAAAAAACCATCAGGCTAGCATGGAGCTTGGTCGAACTCGCTCACGAAGGAACAACTCAAAGAAACTGGTCAACATCATTATCTGCCTGCTTCCCCTTGGCGGATTTGGGTATCAAGGCTATCACCATCAAGTCATCAACATCCATCAGGCTCACAACCAGGTTCGCTCAGGCTCTTTACCTTTTTTGTTCTTCCTATTCCCCATTTCCAATCTTGCATTGCCTTGGCAATTTGGTTTGCAAATGGCAGTCAACGGACCCCTTAGCTCAAGTTTGGAAGCTCAGAACAGAAAATCCTGGACCTGGTATGGGGCCTGCCTTCATTCTTAGCCCCCATCCTACCTACTTACCCTATTCGTTATCAGCTTTGACTCCTCTCTGTTCTCCCTTGTTATGCACTGCTTACTGATATGTTGCGCGATATGCTCCCACCTCTACACTCCTTCATCTTCTGTATTTAACCCACTTTGGTATTTTCTTTTCTGTTTTCTTTCTTCTCCTTTTTTTTCACCTTCTCCATATGTATTAACACCTTGCGGCAATTTCTGCGACATCGATGACGAATTTACGATGACCACGCAGAAACGAAAAGGGATCTATTGCTTGTGTTTTCGTGATTTTGTTGCTATGGCTCTGTTCTGTTTTATTTGCTTTCTTAGCCTACGGCGCAAAGGATGGGTGACGGTGGGCGTCCTGGAGGCTTTTTACAAACAAGTCGCGAGCATGTACGTTAACGAATAAGCTGACGATGATTAGCATCGACTCGAATTGAAGACAAGTATGCTTCTTTTTGAAATGTTTCCTCTCTCTTCTACAAAACGTGAATTTTCAATCGATTCGAACTCAGTAATAGAGGAAAGCACTCCTTAAATAGGTTGTTGATTGCCTTATGAGCACCCAGCAAATTAGGCGTACAACGCAAACTACCCTTATTCATTTTGACCCCATCCCCTGGCATGGTCATACTCATTCCTCAGCTCCGATACACCCCTAGCAATACCAACAAGCGAGTCCATGAAAGACCCGTTCCCAGTATTCAACCTCGCTCTCCTATCCCTCTCCGCCGGCGACTCCTCCAGCCTAGCTCCTCCATTGATAGTAGAATTACGAGCCCGCTCGATATCATTCACAGTAACTATCTCGCCGTCCTTCCTCCTCCCCAACGCCGCGGCACTAATGGCAGGCGCAAACATTTTCGTCCAAGCATCCTCCCCTTCGAAAGGCGGACAATAATCGCCAGCCCGACAGACGTGATGTTCAACCTCGACAGGCTCATACCGTTTCTCAAGTAAGATGAGAAGAGGCCATGCGAATATCCAGAGCTGAAGGATGACGACGGCCCACCAGACGAAACGGTTGGTTCGAAGCCCGTTAAGCATATGCGGCGAATAGACGGTTACTGCTGTGTGAGTGGTTATTAGATTGACATGTATGCTGCCGCGATAGTTGGTGGCGCGGATGACGGAAGTTATCTCATGCTTTAGAAGGTCGAAATTGAGACTCGTCACCTTGCGGCGGAGAGTGAATCTATTCGTGCCGACCAGTAAATGATTAATATTGCATTTTCCCCCTGCCTTGGTCTTCTGAGGAGATGGGGGAGGACTTACGACTTCACTCCACTCTTGTCCTCGCAGAATCTCTGACACCACTGTTTAAGCGTCGCCTGGTGGCCTTCCGTGGTTGGCGGCTGATCGGCTCTAAGCATATGGGCTTGTTCAAGGTCTCCAACAGGAGCCTTATACCTCTTGCTCGACTTGCTCTTGAATCTTCCGCCACGGTAAGCGGATTGTTCGATGTCATCCCGTACCACGTTCCAAGTGCGATAGAAATCAAACTGTGGGTCTCTGTCAACCCGGTACGAGGAAATCGGCAGTATCGTACCGCGAGTCTCGATCCGAAAGTCGAAATCTGTCACCGTGGAGCTAGATTTCTTGTTATTGCCGTCCCGTTCCTTGACGGAATGGGTTCCCTTGACTGATATCAGCACCGTAGGAGCTATCAGAGCTTGTTGGAAGATATTATCGTATAAGCATTCGGGGTCAGTTGAGTATTCTGGGGAAAGGGTAACGACGTATGATTCCCTGCGAGAAAGGGTGTCGACGAGACGCCCTCCAGAGATATCTGGGTATGGATTGTAAATGTACCGCTCGGTCGTTACAATGTCAGGTAGCGCGCTCACGTCTGTGGCGTTTGCATCAGTGTATGCTGGCGGATCATCGCTTGGTTCATCAGAGTACGGCTCTATTGGCCGTTGGTCGTGTAGACTAATCGCCGACCGTTTTTGGGCCAGGCCGCGTTGACCAGCTGCCGCAGAGGATCCCATAGTGCCGTTTAGAATCAAAGATAATTGCAGAACGTAAGACAAGTCTCTTGTATCCGCTCAAAATACGGAGTATATATATTCAAGGTAACGTCCTTGAACAGGTCAACCAGGAAAGAAAGAAAAAGCGAAACTCGTCTGGGGGAGGAGAGTTTCTCTATTTATGTATCCGGAGTTCTAACGCCGTCGAACAAGAACATTGTCTCAGGCGGAGCCTCGCTTCAAGTATCACCCACTGCCCAGGGCCTCTAAGCTCGCCCCTCGCGACGGCAAAGCTCGTCACCGAAGGCCCTGGCTGTCGGTAGTTTAGCATGCAGGGTCGGTGGACGCCCCTTTTTTCGCGTCCGGTTGCCACGCCCTTGGAGGATCTAAAACCCTGTTTCGTAAGGGTGCGATTGGCAGGTTGTTGAGCCTCAATCCTTCAAATTTATTCCTGTCTCTCGTTGGTGGAGGCGAAACGTTAGTCTAACTCGTATCGATAATTCCTAGCGAGCGATTAGCAAATCTGATATCTAGATTCCTGCTGACACTCCAACTGTAGGATCAGGAAATGCTGCTTTATGGAGTAGTCTACTCCGTACTCACTCACGCACAGTTATCTGAATTCGCATAAATCAGGTAAATATTAGGTGTTTTGCGAGAATACGGTGACTAGGAGCCCTGGAACGGGACTGTACTCCGTAGGGGCATCCATTTAAAGCACTATATATGGAATATACTCCGCATGTATAAGACATATTCCACTGACATATGTGTGCTTTCTTCCATACTCTTTGCCCGATAACTGTTCATGGACGAAGTACTTCCAGGGCACTTGAAGTCGTCACGTGATATAGACTTCTGACTTCAACTTCGGACTCCAAGTTGAGATGTCGACGTCAAGGTCTCTCTGGATAGCTTCTTCTCCGGACAGGATGGGGATCTATGGCTAAAGGTGATACCCTTTTTGAAGAATTGGCTGACTCCACGGAACTCGAGATGAGCAGACACCACGTCTTGCATATCTAACCCTGAATTCTCAGATTCTCGCAGGACTGAACGCCAGGTTGCGAAAGTCCCAGCTGCAGCAACGGATTTGCTACCGGCCTTCTCGTGCGATTGATTGCCGGACCAGCCAGTCTCCATATCATTGGCCTTCAACCCTTTCGGGTCATTTAGTGAGATTGCATTGTTCGCCTTTGTTTCCAACGCGGTTTCCAGCGATTCTAAGCTCCCAGTGCATTCGGAAAGCTGCCGGACCACATACTCTTCCTTGAATTCATTGCCTTCGTCGTCCTCCAGGGTGCTTGAGTGGATGGTTCTATATCCAAACGGTGTAGACCGTCGAGTGGTCTGAATGGCAACCAACCCATATTACTCTATAGGGGTTGACAAAGGAACCGCCTATCTGACCTTCGAATGGGGTCCAAAAGGATGTGGGCGAATACTACGTACATAGAACATTGCAACTCCATTAACCTAGAGTGGGAACTTGAAAATCATTGGACCATCGGGTTCAGAGTGGGTGATGAGACTACTTTCATGGAAGACCTCATGTGGTAGAGCAATAAATGAAATAAGACTGTCCCTCCCGAGTATAAGTCCACCAACGTTTCGCCACCCAAAGTGAAGCTGACCATGATCTCATTGGGCTACTTCCTGACGACCAACCTGATTTTACCAGGTAAACACCTATTCAAGGCGCATAAAATAAGTCAGGATAAGACCAAGGGGCTGGTGGTCCTCCATGCTCTGATCATCACGGGAGGGCATCCTTTATCCAAATTTTCAGGCTTCAAACCCAGCTCATGCCTAAGAATTAACTTCTCCATAATAAACGTGGATTTGGATGTTTGTATTCGCCCTATATCGTATCAGCAAGCCAATTGTCTCCCTTTTTGTTATCAAATTTCCAGGTAAGTATGTAGGTCTATAGGTGATTCGCAATATAAATCAATGTTATTGTTTAAAATGAATATATTTACAATAATATTTGATATTCAACTCTTGTATATCTTCGAGGGAGTCTCATTATCCTAATTAGGCTTAGAGAACTTTCTAAATGGGATCTGGCCTACTTATGTAATCTTTGGGGTCAAATGGTGCAAACATCCCAATATAGGTAATTAATAACCTTGTTGGAACTAGCTGACTAATGGTATATTTTTGGTGCTTGACGTAGGTAGCTTCAAGATATCAATATTCAGCATCAACATTAGCGATGAGAGGAGAAGGGCTGGAGAAACTACCGGCTGACAGAGAGACACCTAGCGTAAATGCCCACTCAACCAGTTGAGCTGCCATCGTCGTCTTCGCCATTCGCAGCCTCTAACGACGTCCGAGCTATCCACCGAACACTTCACCTGCTTTACCACCACAATAAGAACCAGCATCGCTGCACAAAATGGTGGAAATGGCTGAGCATGTTGAAGCGATGGACACTAAACCTTGAGTGTGAAATTGAAAAAATCGAGAAATTTGAGGATGTTTTGGGTGACGATGGCAATAAAGATGGGCACCCTTTTGCTGCAGTATGGAAGATCATGAGCTATCTTCGCGACGAGCTGGTTCCGAGATGCTACAGGTTAGTTTACCAATTATTGTGATACACAGGGCTTCCTAGTTGGCCATGTTTTTAGAGTGAGCGCGATGACTAATTTCCATCTTTCGGTTTAGAGCATTCTCCACTGTCGTTGCGGACATTCAGTTTTCTTCATTGGGAGTTGTTCTAGTAGCTACTCTTGCCGAAGTGTTCAAGGTTGTCCAAATAAATACGGATGAACTTTCAAAACTTTCCCGGGTACTCGGAGGGGAGAAACAACCCTTTACAATTATTTCTAAGTCTAATACTATCATTGCTAGCGAGGACTTTGGCGAAGTTATTCGACGCTCCGAGGCTATATCCCGAACCGACGCGAAGGCAGAATCAACAGTTTCGAGAATCGGCGAAGACGAAAAGAAAAAGAAGAAGTCTGCCATAGAGAAGAGCACGAAACGAAAGCCTGAAGATGATACCATGCCTGCCAGCCTAGACAAGCCTGAGTGCCTAAAGAAGGAGAAAAAGAAGAAGAAGAAACGGAAAGTCAATGCAATTGATGATATATTTGCTGGCTTGTAATAAATAATGCGTTAAAAGGGGCAAAAAACATCAATAAAAGGTATTAGTCCCTGAAAGGGGGTCGGAAAACAGCTCTCTAAATAAATGACGCGCATTGAAAGAGGTGAAAGTCTAATAGTATAACCACCGCAACAGATACTCCCCGAATAATATATTAATGATAACATGCTGGGCCAACGTCCATGCCATGCTGTAGAGGAATTTGGGCGAAAACACAGTCCATATAAACAGATGTGTTCGTAGGGTGGTGCATGCCACCATAACCGCCAAAAGGCTCGTGGCCACGAACATCGTCAACAGCTCAATATGTCTATTTGGCTGGTTCCGGCGCATTGGGCGGGTGATGCTCAATAGGTGGTGTGTGGCAGATACCCACCAGATTGGGCCAGCCCAGTTGCTAACGAAGGTTAAGATTCCAACCACGCCAACGTTATAGCCGCTTACGCCGTTATATGCGTTGGATAGATCGACGGAGGAGATAGCGTTGGAGCCCCCGAGAGCGAAAAAGCTTGAATACTGGAATAAGAGGGAGGTGATGGTGATTTCAGTGGTGGACAATGACATGGAGCTGAGAATTTGCTGCTGGATGCGGAAGATAGCGAATAGAGGAATGTTGGTGGCGCGGGATTGGGTGATAAGGAATAGAGTAAGAAGGGAGTGAAATGTCCCACGAACATCTGCTATATCATTAGTACCGGCTATCATATGTCAAGTGGAGTAGCTATGATTTTTGAATACCTTCTTTCCCACGCCTTTGGACGCCTTGCCTTGTAGCTCTCAAATATATCGGATACATGGAACTTATCAAGACGCCTATGAGGACAAGACGGGCCTGGAAAACGAGCGACAATCCTCGTACACCTTTGACTAGAAACGGGAGGAAAGGGGTATTCCGTATAAGTTCGGGTGCGTCGGCGTCAGTGAAAACAACCTTAAAAATGAACGAAAAGCTCGTCAAAGGAAGGTAAATTAGGGACAGCACTTTATTCATGGAAGTTCCTGCAGTGCTATTCGGCAGTAGTCGTTGGTATAAGTCAGTATAGGTGAAAAGTATCAATATCCATAACACGTTTGGATGTTCCTTAAAGAAAGCGTTGGCAATATCTGGCTCCCCAGCGAACTTTTGGCCAGTCTGGTTCCAGCGTCGCATAACCCTTGTCAGGGCAGCAAGGGCAAGAGCAGCAGCGTAGCCCGGTTTGACCCCTTGCTTATTGGATCTAAGGATACAAAGTTAGGAGCACGATAAATGACGGAGGGGGAAACGAGGCTCAACATACGATTTCCAGTAAAGATAGAAGATCCAGCCGGAAGCCATCCAGTACCAGAAGTGATGTTCTTCTTCAACATAACTACTCGCGAACATCAAGGCTCCGTATCCAGATAGGATTACGGATGCATATCCCACTGCCGCAGACCCATTGCACCCCTTTTGCACAAATGCATATAGAGATAGGAAGAAAGCTAGACCGGAAAATGCTATGCCTTGATATAGACTTGTTAAGTTATAGTTGCTCGCCGTGCTAGACATCATGACTTGTGCGGTCCGTAGGAATTCTAGGAGTGATGATTCTATGGCTGTGGAGAACTTGGTATCGCCAGCGGATTGAGAGATCAGCTGCTGCGCTTTCTGCCACTTGCATTCAAGCTCCACCACATCCGTCTTGGAGTCATCATCACAGCTGCTTGACGGAGTAACAGAGTCAAATTTGTAGCTTGGATAAGTCTGCCTCACGATGTTTATAATCTGTTTAGCATTTTCTTGAAGAAGTTGTAGTCGTTCCGAGTCTATGATGTTATAAGTTAGAATTAGTATGTAGAGTCAACTTAGAACACGGAGGAGAGAAGGAGGGGGTTCAGTATATTGAACCTTTTTTCCATAATGGGAGAAACTGGGGGATTATAACCCCTAGATTGTTAAGCGGAACCGGAAATCCAAGCAGTCCACCCAAAGTAGGAGCAATATCAGACTGGTCCACCATGTCATAGAACTCGAATTCACCGGATGTCGTCTTAAGTGGCGCCTTTATAAGCCCCATATCCTTAAATTTTGGAGAAATAAAGGTCAGCGCAGGAGATGTCTCTCCTGCAGAAGCACCGCCATGATTACCACCGTCGTTCATGCCGTGGTCACCACATAGGACAAGGAGTGCGGAAGAGAGATGTGTCTCCGTTTCCATAGAAGTGTATATTTGTTTGACTATAGTATCCATTTCTTTTTGTTTGGGTATCATATGTGGGCTGTTGACAATTAGCCCACCTTTCTCGTCATGGATTTTGATTTTAAGCTCACCTTCCCGGGCCGGCTTTGTGACCAATATGATCGAGTCCAAGGTAATGCATTATCATAGCATTCCAATCGGAATTGCCCATTTCCTCGGGGATATGCCGCGTCACATTGTTGTCAACTTCAGTGAAATCCTTGGATTAGAGTTAGCAGGAATTAATCTATTGATGCGGGTATCTAAGCAACGCATACCGAGACAAAGAAGCTTGTAGTGCCATCATGTCTGTAGAACATATCAGGAAAAAGTTTCAGCCATGTATCGTCACCGTACATGACGAGTCGACCATCTGGCTTCGCTTTCAGCTGGGCCAGCCAGGTATCCTGGTGAGCGAGAGTTGACGTGGTGTCTGATTCCGCAAAATTAAGGATCACGTCAACAAACGACGGCACTGATCCAGTCGTGATTGCTTTCACCCGTGGCATAGTAATTGTTGGTGAGCCAGCGTGCGCAGTAAACGGCACTGCTGCCCCAGACTTGATCAACCTATTCACGAATTAGAATAGAAAGCTCTCGGGAATTCGTCTAAACGGTCTTCTACTCGGAATTTACTAACTTCTGCGTAAATTGAAATCCAGAGTGGTTTCCATAAACAAAATCACTATACACGTTGGGTAAGCTGCTGCATCGAACCGCAGAAGGATTTGGGTCAAGGTACCTCCGTAACGCATCTACCACCATAAAGACAACGCGATCAAAGATGGGCGATGGTCGACTGCCACTATCCTGTTCATCGAAGGCCGCCAGCCCTGGGATGAACGGCTTGTACGGAAAGAATCCACTGGCAAACAGGAGCAGCGCCAGGGGAAAGAGGATAAAGGAGACCAGCGTGGCCATGTTTGAAGTAATGAATTGCATGTTTGAAGGCTTCTAAAAGAGTATCATTGAACAAGAAACATAACTCCTCCACTGCCGTGTTTACTTGTGGTTATATCATCGTCTTGTCATGTCGTCTTGTTGTATATATGTCTACTCCTTAGTTCGCATCGAGGTGTAGCTAACCTTGCGCGATAAGATAAGAACTCCCCTGTTCGTGCGCGCGCCCGCCATTCTGATTAGCGATAACGCGTTTTTACTCTTCAACTCCATTAAAATCAGCAAAAGAAATGTGAATTACCGGGTAATAAATAGGTGTATCTAAAGTATGACTATTTAACCGCACAGCTCTCCACGCCGATCAAAGTGTGGTATGTGTCGGGTACATAGATCGAATCGTATGCATTATAAAAATTCGGCTTTTGGTATCATTCATCTCGTAAGAGCTGGTTGCAGTGGTTGTAGACAGGAAATCACGCCTAAAAAAAATACATATTCACAAGTAATAATCCTCCTCAAACTTCGTTTAACCCCAAATCCATACTCCGTATTGTCGTTTCGAGTAACGCGATTGAAAGTGCTAAGATCTAAAAGGTGATCATGCAACGAAACGGTCCAGCAGTGATATTGCAAACATCATCGTTTCTTGCTCGCGCTAGCTTTTGCTCTCTTTACTTTCCCAGGGTGTGGCGCAAAGGTCATAGTATTACGTGGTTTTCTTCGTGTGCGCTTTTCAATTCGACCGGTCTTGCGAGAGATTCCGCCTTCGACTTTGAGAGGAGTGGGCTCGTCATCTAGCATGGTGTTAGCAAACTGAAAATCATCGGGAACATCACAATCGGTGCCGAAGTGAAGCAAAGGTGAAGGAAAAGTCGGTTTGGCATTCATTACCTTTCACTAGATCACTCGTGGATTCAGCCTCTGCAGCATCTAAAAGAATAAGTTGTTAGATACAGGTCTGAGCCAGTAAGTGAGATGCTAAAGACTTCCAATAGAGGGAGCAATACCTGTATTACTCGGGTCAACATCGGTCATGTTAGCATCCTTAGATACGCCCGCCAACTCTCGCAGTTTGGCGGAGAGCCGCTCTGTCCTTGCATCTGCCGCGGGCCCGAAGACTTGCTTGCGCAGGAGAGCCTTGTTGTGCTTCTTGACACTAGATCGGAGTCCCTTCGCCATGGCTGCTTCGTTGTTGAAGAATGACAACCGGCTGGTAGAAATAATTCGCAAAAAAAAGTGACAGAAGCGAAAGATCTCAGCGGCGGCCAATCGACCAATAAGGTGGAGTTTATGCACGTGACACGCCATATATACATCTTTGATACTTGAAAATAGTTATGGGACTCTTTAAATAATGATATTATTTCGATTTTCTGTATACAACTTTACTTTCGTCGTCCTCGCTCCACCACCCCCTACCACCCTTTAGCCAGATCTCAGTCCTACGTTGATGCGATCGGAGCACCGCCTCCTCAACCTCTGGTGACTGGTGGTAAGAACTGAAGGGTGGAAATTGCCATGGAGTTTTGAGCAAACCCCATCGCGATAATCTCCTATGGCTCCACATGACATATCCTCGTTCGCGGAGAGGGATATGTTCGTCTGCTATCACGAAGTTATCACTGCAGCAGTGTAGATGCGTGACCCTCCAAACGTCTGCAGGCCCGCCATAGCTACCTCTTGAAGGCGTCGTAACCTCTTTTAGAAATCTCTCCTCATTGTACTCCGATAATAGAACCCCGTCCGCCTGCAAATTTGATTTAACAAGGGCTCTGTCTAGAAAGTCAAAAATGATTCCGCTGTGGTCGTTCAAGATTTTCAGGCGATGCTTGAATTTTTTGGCTCTTGCGGTGCGGCTGATAAATCTTAACCCTAACGATAACTAAATAAAAGCGTAAGAGAACGCAATTAAATGGGGAAGGCTTCAGACTGACATAATGGCTCCTATATCCAGATATGCCTAGCACACGTCGAGCTGAATAACCCTTGTTATACGGAATATCCAGTTCACCCCAGTCCACGTCGTGTGCAGCAACATCATTGAACGCTAGAGAAAGCCGTGAGATTCTTGCATGAAGATATGGCACTATAGTTTCATTCGCACCTTACCTTTGTCAACAATCCGCAGTAAAAAATCATGAATACAGGCAAGTTGTTCATTCTCCCAGGGGGCAAAGCGACGAAAGAAGAGCTGCGACTGGATTTCAAGGGGGATGACCGGGCGCGCCGGCCGAGACGTGCGTTGAGGTTTCGTCCTCGCTCTGAACAAATTGCAGTAAAGCTCAAATCGATATAGGCCCCGTTGGATACGATACCGTTCATGGCTATTAGCAGGATGCGGGCGCTCCTCCTCCGCCCCAGTGATAGGATGCTTGGAAAGCGCTTGAGAAATAAAATAAGCAGTGAATCTCCGGATAAGTCGATGAAAGTCCTCTAGAGTAGTAGCCTCGTATAGAGAAAACACTGGTTGTTCTACTTTTTCAAGAGACTTGAAATAGTCGTTAAGCAGCGCTTGGACAGCCTCAGTGTCTGTAGAAGGTAGCCGTGAGGATTTAAACACTGCAAGAGCTTCAGGAAACACAGCATCAGGTATGCTTGACCGTAGCACGCCCTTAATAATGCCGTTCGGGTGGTACAACAAAAGGTCTCGCAGAGACCTACACGATGCAGCCGCGAGTTTGAGGGTATTGATACTGTCGAGATGAGAGAGGATGGCTTCCTGAATCTCGACCGGTACTGTGTTCAAGGTCAGGGGTTTCTTTGGCCGCGGCCGGGTAGGGAGTTCATCCATGGCTGTTTAGGCTTGGGGCTCTCCGCTACACAACACTCGTAGATGAGAAAGAATAACATGATCAAGAAAAATGAGTAAAGGGAAATCATGGAAGATGAAGTACACGGCCGCGAAGAGTGAAAGAATGAGTCAAAAGGTTGGTTGCTTGTTGATTCTCCAGGTAGTTTATGCGGTGGAACATTATTTTTCCGATATTTAGCTGCCGGCCCCTTTTTCCTCGTTTCTCTCGAACGTCTCAAGACGAATCAACAATAAACAAAACGACGACCGTGAATCGCTAGCTGCAGCCAGCCTGTATTATTTACCGCCCAGCATCACTGGTATACATGTGCATAATCTGTATACCGGCGTCGAGTCAGCGGGTTCAGTCACTCGCATGAATTACAAAATACCCAGTGTGTCCCTTGCCATGGATTTAAGACCATGCCAGCATAGCCCTCAGCGGCTCAGTTCCTAAGGTTCTCGATTGAGTCTCACCCCTTTACCCGTCTACTTAAAGGGTTGGAGCCTGATGGCTCTGTTTGAGATGGGGCTGGGGGCAGTTATGCCCAGACGATTTATGGCATACGGCGCAGCTTTTTGATTTGATGAGATCATCTTAAAGAACGTATACAAGCCCTTTATGTGACTCAAGGAGATGCTTTGCTCTGATACCCCTGACTAGCAAACCGGGACCTCTTTCGCTCATGCGGCCATTTCGCTTACAATATATGCAAATTTGAAGAGGCTGTACTTTTTTGTCCCCAATATACCCATCTTCTTTGGATGAGCCCCCTCCCCTTTTTTTAGGCTGAAGTGCATAACGCCGCAGGAAGTTGTAAAACAGTAAGCCTGCTTCCGTACTCTATTGCGCTACTGTGAATCATGGAGAAATACCTTGAGTCCGCCTTATGTGATCTGGGCTCAAACCAAGAGCATATAAACCGCTTCCTACCACCCTGATCTCTATCCCTAAGTACAGCAACCCCTATCAGTCCATCCATCCCTTCTAACACATTGAATATATATATATATTTACCTCCTACAATATACAAAGTTTGCATTCCTCACCAGAATATGTCTTATTTTCACCGCCCTTCATCCCATTCATCTTCAAGCTCCCGTAGGACTAGCAATGCAAGCAGCAGCCGCGCGTTGTTTAGAGATAACAATTCGGACTACGACCGACCATCTTGGCCCCGCTAGGCTATCGGATCTTGATGCGGCTCATTCAAGCTACTCAGACGGGGGCCTTTCAGGAAATCTTTTTGAGCCAGCTTCAAGCAGAAGCTCATCCCGGCTCCACTCAGGGCTAGGCTCCCGCTCCCCGTCCGTACTTTCGTCCTCATCTCGCCGTTGGGCTCCCAATACCGGAAGGTCAGAGATAGACTTTGAAGGAGGACGCTCACATGCACGTATGGAGCGTGAGGACTATTCCAGCACCGGTTACAACTACAGCGGGTCTTACCCCCCTCGCGACCCCCTTTCTAGTGAGAGCAAACGAAAAATATCCGGATACACAAAGTACCTATACGGAGACGTCCATATAGGCGATTATAGCTCAAGTGTCCCTAAATACAACGACATCGGGTATGATCGAGTGTCAAAATTCCCGCCAGATTCCGCTATGGGTCGATAATATGGTGTCTACAAAAGCAAGGCTACCGCAGCTGCTGCAAGCTCTGCTGCTTATAATACCATGCTAGACTCATACGAAAAGCTCGATTCAGGAAAGGACTCCACTTTTCTCGACTATGATCAGCATGAGACCCTTGGACCGCTAGCAGTTGATGCTAAAAATAAATTTCAAGAGTAAGTCCATGTACTCTTGTTCTCTAGCCTCAACTAATCGAGTAACCTTCTCTGTAGGACTTCTAGACTCCGCAAGATATTCAATAAGGATCACATCGGCCGACGAACCCGACAATCCTACCTTGGGCATGTTGAGGCGGCGGAGTCCGCAGCGGATGCATGCGATGGACATTGGTTGAGCTCTGAATTCCATTATGGGGCTATCGGCGAAGTAAGCTGCCTAACCATACCGCTTAAATCAAGGATGACTCTAATACATAGGACAGGAGGCGCCAATGCATTCCGATGATGAGCTGTGGTGAGTATGCTAAGCCCACGCCGGTTCCTGCAACTTGCCCCTTCGTCTATAGTAGAGAAGGGCCCTGCTCAGGTCTCTAGGTGGAAGACAATATTCGTTTAATTTTGCTTGTTCTTCTTTCTGCTCTTTCGTTCTCGGTTCCTTCTTTGGCATTTTTACTCTCTCTGGTTTCACTATATATATCCTGATTTCTCCACTGTTTCCGTATCCCCTTCACTGCCTACATGTTAGCTAGTTCTTCGGAACGATCTAGAGTTCTTCTCTCTTTTGTTGTTATTGCGTTCTTGTCTATGTTAATTTCCTTTTCAAATGCTTGACTCCTTGTTATCGTGTAGAGGGAAATTAAATCTTAGCGCCATCATGTCGCTTCGTGAGCTAGTATAAATGTTATTAGCCGGCGTTTGTGGGACGTTGGTCAAACCTCAGGCCCAAATTTCAAGGTTTACCCTCATACTCATAAAATCTAGAATCTCTTAGTGAAGGAGCTAGAAGGATAAGATTTGTATATAAAACGGGGAATTTCATGCTAGAAGGAGGTGTGCGGAGGTGCATGTGTAGGTAAGGACCTGGCGGGCATTTATACCCTCAGGGCTGTATTTCGAGCATTTATGATAAGTACCCTCGGGAGTAATAGAATCCACTAGACTGGAATGGTGCTCATTTTCTAGATATCCAGGCAATTTAAGAACCGCATACGTCAGAAGTGAAGCTGTAAATGTTTAGAATGAAAGTATGGCGTCTTGAGTAAGTATATTCTTAGTAAGCAAAAAACGCTCGAAGATCGGATTATGTCATCGGCGGCAGATCTGATTAGCTAAGCACGCGCCCATCTTCGACTTTAGATCTGATCGTGGGCGAGTTTCGCGAGGCAGCAGGACATTCCAGGCAGGACACTGCGACGGCGGCATCAAGGACGGACGAGAGCGCAGGCCGTCGCTGAGCTCACCATGGTACGTTTTCTCAGGCGCGAGCAGCTGCTCTCCTGCAATCCTGACGTTGATATTCGAGGACTGACCCGTATCATCCAGCTTCCACGATAAACCGAAGACCACCAAAGAATCAGATCGAGAACGGCCAGAATGGCGCCCCAGGCGCAAGATCCCGAGATACAGCGTGTCATGGGCACGCTGCACTCCCTACTCAACGTTCAGCTGAAAAGTATTCTCAGGAGTGAGAATTTACCGATATCAGGAGTAAAACTTGCGCTCCAGTCGAGGCTCATAGGGCGTAAGTTGCCGCCGTGAACGTTATACTGGTTCTATATAATAACATATATTCCGTTGTAGGATTGCACTACTATGCATATGGTCAGTGGGCAAGTCAGAGCAGGCTAAATCATCTTATCGCGCGCATATATGCCGTTGCCCAGGGGCAGCCCACACCACCACCTCCTCCTCCTCCTCCTCCTCCTCCTCCGACCTTACCGCCTCACCCAATTCCAACACCGGTATCTCAGCAGCCCCTACCGCCTCGACCGCAATCATATCAGGGAACCACGCCTCTACCTCCTCCCCCTTCGAACCAGATGGGTATATTCTCCTCGATCGGCCCCTTGCGACTGTGAGACTGGAACCCCACGCTAACAGAACGGAATAGGCCGTCTGACCTTCAAGAAAAGCCCGTTTTATACAATCCTAGAACCTCTAACCGCAGTCATGGAATGCAAAGGTACGGAAGTGATGTCATTATACGCCAAGGGGTCGGACAGCCTTTAACACTATCTCTCTACAGTCCGTGAACAGTCCCGGGACACCATCGATCTCAAAGTGATACTCGGCTCCAACACTGTGGCAAGGCTTATATCTGAGCCAAATATCCGAGTTATGGTTTATTGCGCAGCCGATAATGGCCTGACACATTATTCTCCCTGCGAAATAGCTTTCCCTTATCAGGTTGAACTAAAGGTTAACCTGGACGACGTGAAAGCGAATCTCCGTGGGCTGAAGAACAAACCGGGCACTACTCGACCGGCGGACATCACCCAATTCATCAGAAAGAAGGCTGGGTTTTCGAATACTGTCATGATGACTTATGCTCTAACTCAAAAGGTCGGATACTGCCATGCCAATTACTATGTCTGAAGTCAAATCATTAACTCGAACTCTAGAAGTTTTTTGTCGTCGTTAACTTAGTGCAAAAACACCCTGTTGAGGAGTTGGTTACTCAGCTCCAGGTCAGAAAAACAATTTCCTCGGAACAGGTGGTCAGGGAAAGTAAGGGCAATGCAATCAAACGGAATACTTGACCAATGATCAGAAACTAATGAAAAGTGTATAGTGCGAGCGCGAGCACAGGATGCAGATATAGAGGCCACGTCGGCTGTTATGTCCTTGAAATGCCCGCTCTCAACCCTTCGAATATCAGTACCTTGCCGTACCTCGCTCTGTACTCATAACCAGTGCTTTGACGCTACATCTTTTCTTCAACTCCAAGAACAAGCACCGACCTGGAGCTGTCCGCTCTGCTATAAAGCTACCAGCTTCGAAGCTCTGCAAATAGACCAGTAAGTGCTATGCTGCATTCCAGCATCCTCACGGTGATTCCTTGTAACTAACCTGATCTAGATACGTCGACAACATACTTCGTGAAACACCTTCATCGGTTGAACAGGTCACTATCGAACCGAATGGCGATTGGGCAAATCCAAACGATGTTCCCGAAGCCGCTCCCGGGAGTAACGGTATAGTTGCCAATGGCGACGATGACGACGATGACGATCTTGTAGAGGTGAGCGGTTCTAATCTACCTGTCGTTAAACGGGAAGGGGATTCTCAAGCGTCAATACACCGTGCTACTCCGACCCCATCCCGCGAGGCATCTTCCGTCGCATCAGCCCCGCGCCCTTCAACTGGTAAAAGGGCTATCAGCCAAGTGATAGACCTGACTGCCAGCGATGAGGACGAGGAACCCCCTCGTCCCGCTAAACGGCTTGCGTTTTCTTTATCGAATGGAAATCATGCAACGACCTTTGACCCTTTGAGGCTTTCTGCATCAACTGCATCGAACTCGCCTGTCCCACCTAGGTCATACCACTATGACAGATAAATGCATCCATACGTCCTTCTCAGCCTTTGGCCAATTTTCTACGCATTCCCAAGAAGGGGCTTTCTTGGTTCTTCATGCAATAATTTCCTACGTTCATTTTAGATCATTTGAGGAGTTTTACCTAATCTCATTTATATTGCGGGTTTATACCAAACGTCGTCTTTTTCTAGTGTGGAAAACGGACCCAGGGGCATACGGCGGCGTGGTGTTTTCAATGGCGTTTTTTTCGGAGACCTTATCTTCATCGGATTAGGAATTAGGGTGGTTCACCTCTCAGATAGTTTACAAAGGTCATCAATGCATCCATTGCCATTATTTAATGTTATTTAAATTCTCAGACGCCCGTCTCATCCACGAGGCAACTGTTCTTCTGTTGAACCTGTGTTAATGATTACCATATGGTGTACTTCGACTATGGAAGAAAACGACATTAAATTGATTATATAAAATGCATGAAATATCTAAGTTGTAATATATATCCAATTCCAGATTGTCCCAATCTGAATATCGTACATGGCTGTACATCTCATGCGCCATACACCTGCGAGTTCAAACTGCACATATGTACCTATATATTTATTTTCACCAGGCCAAATCCCCATTCATTAATTATTGTTGTGTCAACTTTTCATCAAAATCCTTCAGTTCACTTCCATCGCCATGATAGCCAATAGAGGCTCGGTTGTCATCAATTACTCGGCCGTATTCAAGAAGAAGGCGGTACATATAAGCCTCAATATCTTCATTGCGAAGCACTTTCTCAGCCCATTCGCGGCCCTGCGTAGCCAGATTATGCGCAGTCTTGTCATGACGGGCAACATGTGGATTGTTGGCATTGGTGTTGTTGGCACCAGTACCGATGAAATAAGTCATAAGTGCGTAAAAGTCGTCATATCGGTTGTCCAGGGGTACGAAATGCCTCCAAGCAAAAAGGCGAGAGTCATGCCACTCGCGGAATATAGTGGCCTTTATACCGAGAGATCTGCTAAGGAGGAACGCACGCCATCGTCCGGAGAAACTGTGTCCATCGATATCTACTAGGTATTTGTTTCTGAATTGATGAGAATGAGGGACCTTCTCTTTGTACTTATAGACGTCGTTGTAGAAATCACAGCTGTCTGGGACACAAGCCATAGGATCCGTGAACCCAAAATCACAATGTTCACGAGCGAACTCGGAGGGCTGGAATTGCGAGGCATTCTTGTTCTCCATATCCACGGATTGATCATTGCACGGGATGACCTGTTCCGTCCTGCCGTGAAGTTTTGTCGCATTCATCATGGATTCAAGCCGTTGACGGTGCATCTGGGACCAATTGTCCTTTGTTTGGATACCGCCAGATGTTGCTCCTCGCCAGAAGATGGTTTCACTCTTTTTGTCCCAGTCAATGTCTTCGGAACCATTGTACATGTACCGTTCGTCCTTCTTCCAGTACATGTTGGCTGGAAAGAGTATGTCACTGTTCACGTTCACTTTACACTCGCTGAACACCGGTATCAGAGCTTCTGAAACGCTGATACTCGACGAGGAAAAGAGAAAGCCATGGAGGTCCTTTATCGCCGGCCCGACAGTGCAGAGATCGCTGGACATGTTGAAATTCGAAACGAGGCCAACAGGCGTCTTATAACGAGAATCGGCGTCTTGGATACTCAAGCTCGGGTTACGAGCCGGCGATTCCGGTGGACATGCAGTTGAAGCAACTTCCATATACTGCTTCGAAGGAATACCGACCCATTTGACCTTATCCTCATCCGCCACAGTGGTTTTGTTCGTCAAAGACATGAATCCTTCCATATTCTTCGTAAACGAATTAGTAGCCTCAGGAGGAGTATCTCGAGATGCGATTTCCTTCGTTAACATGGTTTGCATATCCTCCCATTTTGTCACCAGCCGTGGCTGGTCCAATCGATTCATGGCGATATCCATGTCCGGCAGCTTCTCTGCGAACCGTTCGACCAGCGACATCAATGTTTCGATCCGCCAACCTTCGCCGGTGGTATTCGCAATAGCTCCATCCCTAATATGAATCGCCGCGATGGAGTTTCCGTCCGGATCCTCGCAGGCTGCGGCCACTCGCCGTCGAAGGGTTTTTGGCTCCGCAGACCAGAAGGGCCTGAGGTCATCGTTTATCTGATCGAAATCATCGATATTTCGTACGCCATTCTTCCGGGCGAACTTGTACCACTATGCACCACCTAGACATTAGTTGGTGGACACTAAGTGATCATGCATGTAAAACAATGGGTATATGCAGAACAAAGGAACAGAGAACATATATAAAGACATACCTCCCCAAATCCAGGCGGCGGATGGCGACCATAACGCACTCTATACTCCACGACAGCTTCGCTGAAGGTTGTTGAGCGAGTGGAATCGTACTTGCGCCATGCGTTATCCGCGTCATCCAATAATTCCTTTATTGGATCCTTCCCCTTGCATTTTTCTTTCACCTCCTTATGCGAAACATCATCATATATAGGCCCAACGGTTAGACGATGTCGATATACTGTGCCAAAGTAGTATATGAATAATAGTATGAATGCACCGCTTGTGAGAAACAGCAACCGTCGATGGAAATGGGAGACCAGCATGGTTCCGGGCGAGTATCTCGTCGCAACTAAAAGGAGTATATTCTTATGACTTTCATCGTTTTCTCTCGTGCCACCGATGGTGATTCAACGGCGCAAGGCTCTCCCTAGGTGTATGTTAGGTGGTTGGCATCCCTTAACAGATTCAATCCCATATAATTCTCAAGGGGCGTGCTGATATTACATTTTGCCAGGATATGACGGCCGAATCAGCCCGCTCCACTGGCCCAAGATTTACCGGATTATTTGTCTGGAGCGTTAATCCTTAATTTTAAGTCGTATTAGTGGAGGGCCACGTTAGTAACTCATAAATGCTACGAATAGAAGGGCTTACAGGTAAGCCACCATGGCTAATGCCTGTACGAAGGGCCCGATCCCATGCTAATGACACATCGTTACTTTATGAGCCCCCCCGGCCCTATGAACGTGTGCAAAACCTTCCTCATAGTTGGAAAACATTAATCGATGTCGAAATATTCAGCTTGAACAGAGGAGCGGTCATACGAAGCTCAGGGAAAAGGGAGATACGCTTATGCAAGTTGGCCAGGTCGATCAATCGTGGATGAACATCAATGCCTCCTGTTGCTATGTCGATGCCACCCGGGGAGTATACGGAGTACTGGATCTGTCCTTTAGGAAGCTCAATTGCTCGTCCACACGACCGAAATCTTGCTGGCTAACTAACTATTCTGAAATTTTGATGAAAAGGAGAGGAGCTGGCAAATAGGGGTATACGAAAATGCCAATTCGTATATGCAACGGAGCTGACTCGAGGAATACCCAGCCGTGAAGGCGCGGATATTGCGGAGTAGAATGCTTGTAAGGCTGTCCGGAGCCGCCGGAGTTGCGAAAGTAGCTTTCGTCAGGATAGCTCTAACCATATCATTCCGCTCGGGCAGGATCCCCGCGCCTGGATGATACAATTGCACGTATGCAGCCTCTTTAACGCTTTCCAGAGAGTAGAAAGACGGAATACACTAATCCGGTTTATTAGCCAGGGAACAAAATGATAGAGGAGTGCAATTGGAACACCTTAGCTATCTATTATACGAAAATAGGCATCTCGGTTCAAAACCAGAAAGACAGATATACCCCGTAGTTTAAATGCTCTCTATTAGCAGAAGACTCGATGTTGAGCTTTTATATCCTGTGCTTACACAAATGAGTAGTTCGTCGTGGTACTTCTGGGATGGATATCTGATTACGTAACACCAGGTACTTCTACCACACCTCGTAGCTCAAGGAGTTAATACAACAAACATCGAATATAAAGAACCACATCATTGAAGCTTTTCCATACCCTCCTTTCAATTGTAATACTTATAAACGTTTACCTCGTTGTCTCAAGGCCAATTCCGCAGATACCACCAGAATCCAGCCGTTACTACCGCTCTTCAACCTAGAACTATGTCCTTCGACACACCTACGCCCCCCTTCAGCGCCTCTGACCCCCACGCCCGCTTCCTAAACGCATCATGCCTAGATCTACTATTAATCGAACTCGTGCCTATGGCGGAACGAATAGTCCAAGAACTTGAGCTCGGCGAGAAGGATTCCTTAGTCAAATCTTCAACGGGCGAAGCGATAGATATTAAAAATAAGGAAAGAGAGAAAGAGAAGGAGAAAGAAAAAGAGAAAGACAGCAAGTCATCTGTGGCTGTTATGGATGACGAGGAGTATCGTGAAGCTATTTACTTCAGATTGGAGTCGTTGGGATATAGGGTTGGTCTGGGGCTAGGAGAGAGGTATGCCGTCCTGCTTTTCACGGCTATATTCTTCGCGCATGAAGTTGGTCGACTTGTATAGGCTGACACATACCTTTGCAATCTGGATTATAGGTTCTCCCGCGATAGACCCCGGTTTACTGATAATCTCGATGTGATTAAGTTTTTATGTAAAGATCTTTGGACCATTCTGTTCAGGAAGCAGGTGGACAATTTGAAAACGAACCACAGGGTAAGCTGGCTGTGCTTTTATGACGCTGTCATGGCACATATATATCAATCATATCTGACTAACTTAACCTATAGGGCGTATATGTTTTAACTGATAATGCCTTCCGGCCATTTATCCGTATGAGCATGTCTGTCAGAAGTGAAGCAGTTTTGCGCGCGCAAACAGTATGCAGCGCCCTACCTTACCCTCTTTTCGGCATGTTATCGACATAAGCTAACACGTTCTAAAGTATCTCTGGTTTCCCTGCGGTATAATTCGCGGCACTCTGGCGAGCGTTGGGATCGAGGCGACCGTCCAGGCGGAAAGCTCAGATCTCCCGTTGGCCACGTTTCAGATCAAAACCAGCAATAGTGCCGCCCCTGGCGGCGGCGGCGGCGGTAGCGGCGCTACTGCAGCAGCGGCAGCGGTTTGATGACGATTCCATGACGATGAATGCATTGTTATATACGAACAGACAATGTATGACTTGATGTATTTTTCTCTTAGCAGCCTACAGCCCATCATTACGCTCTACAGATACCCCATAATATATAATTTCTCTTGGTGTTCTTTTGGTCTACGATTCAGACTACGATATCCATGAGCCTGCAGTTACGTCAGGGCGATAGAGAGAAATAAAGTAGGGAAGTGCTAACAGGCGTAACCCTATTTTATTTATTCATTTGCTTTCTTGTTAAGCGGTCGTGCCATCATGAGGCAAACGACGGCGGTATTTGTTGTTCTGGTAATGGTCAAGACGTGTTAAGAGAAAATAAAGGGGGGAAAGGACCGGGTCAACGCATTTTGTGCAACCCCCTAGCAATGTTCATACCCATGCCTTCGTTCTCGTGAATGAATGAAACCACGCTTCCTTTGCTGATTCAGAGCCTATGTGCTTCCTTGTTTGATCTACAGCCTAAATGCCGAAAAACGGGGCGTTCAATTAGTAAACGATCTACCAATACGTTATACACCGTGCCCGACTAGGAAGGACAAGGAAACGACCAAGTCGGCTGGTAGAAGGCCAGGGGAAGACGCAAACAAACAGATGGTTAGGGGGTGTTTCCGAACAACGCATGTCAAACATCAAGGAATGGGAAAGATGAGCGCCATGAGCAACGATGGGTGTGATTTACTTTTGTGGGGGGTTTTGAGCAAACTCGATTCCCTTGGTGATGTTGCCCTGGAGGCCTTCCTTGCAGATCTTAAGGAGGGCTTGTTCCCTCTCGTTGACCTGGGGGAGGATGTTGATGATCTTCTCAGCACCGGATGGCTATATCGAATTGTCAGCTCTATCACCTGGAGGAGGAATTGAATGGAAGTCGGGATATACGTACTCCAAGTTCAACGGGCATGGAGAAGTATTCAAATCCGGTCTCCTTGATGATGGCCTCACCACCCTCGACGCCGTTGAGGTGAACGAAAGTGGGCTCAACAATACCCTTTTCGCCATTGGCAGCTCTGAGGACACTCAAAGCGAAGCTAAAACACTTGGAGTCAGCATAGGCTACTTAAGCTTGGGTCACAAAGTGGGGAAAGGAGGGTGCATACCGGTAACCAGCATAGGCCATAGACAAAGTGGCAGAGCCAGCACCATCCTTGGCCTTCACGACTTCGTCACCACCGAATTGGACACCTATCATGACAGCCCAGCATTAGTGATGGTCCCCTAATGTATGGGGAGGGGGCTGGATTAGTGCCATGAACTTACGGTGGATGATCTCGGCGTACTCGCTGTCTGGGATGTCAGCGGCAGGCTTGGCCTGGCTGTAGACTGGAACGATGGTCTCGCCAGAGTGTCCTCCGATAACGTGGATGGTAGCCTTGGAAGGATCCTTCTCGCCAGTGTATTTCTGGGCAAAGGTCTCGGCACGGAGGATATCGAGGGTGGTGACACCGAAAAGGCGTTTTGGGTCGAAGACACCAGCCTTCTTGAGTACCTCGGCAGCGATTGGGACTGTAGAGTTGACTGGGTTGGAGATGATGAGGAGGAATGCCTTGGGGCAGTGATCGGCAACTCCCTGGGTGAGGTCCCTGACAATGCTGGCATTGAACTTGAAGAGGTCGTCACGGGTCATTCCAGGCTTGCCTATTGACTGTTAGTGGGTAGAACAAACCGGGGTAAAGGAGAGAAAAATATGGTGAAAAGCAGGTGAGGCGAGCTGGGACATGCGTACGAGGAATTCCGGCGGGAATGAGAACGATATCACAGCCGGTAAGGGCATTCTTCAACCCTTCATCCTTTGGCAAGTGGCCCGAGGTTTTCTATCAATACAAGTCAGCACGCCATGCCGTGGCCGCCAGATATCAGAACAGAACACAACTCACGGCACACGAAGAGATGTGAGAGAGGTCAGCAGCAACACCGGGAGTGTTGACGACATCATAAAGAGAGAGCTCATCGACGAGAGGGCAGACCTTCAAAAGAAGGGAGAGAGGCTATCATATCCGAGGGGTTAGCTACACCCCGCTCACAGGTGGAAGACGCCCAAGAACACCGGCTACAAACCTGGCCAATGCCGCCAGAAGCACCGAGAACAGCTAATTGGCAAGAATAACAAGTCAGACACGTCTTGACGCTGGAGTTTTCCCTTTGGATATGGGTTCAGGGACCGGTTATCATACCTGCTTTAACCATGGTTACGGCTTGGACGGAAGCGGGGGAACTATGAGAGCGAGTACAAGCTGCAGACGAGACAATTAGCACCCAGAACAGCGAGCGAGAGCCAGCACCGCAGCATCAGACAGACATACGCAGAGAGAACGAAGCTATCGGAGCAGCTGGAGAGCGTGAGGTTGGAGGAAAGAAAGACGAAGCTGAAACCGGGCGAGAGAAAGATCGCAAGTTGCTCGTGCGGAGTTTATCAGCCCGCGGTCCTGTAGTCACATGCTGCCCCACGGCTGACTCAGCCAAAGACTTCTCTTTCTTCTCTTTCTTACTCTATACTTCTTACTCTCTATACTTCCCTACGGTCACCGCGGCTTCATGGGCGCGGGCGATCGCGCTCGGAAACAAGGGAGCTTGCAAGGAACGCTGCATCTCTACCCAATCAGCATCACGTGAGACCATACTCTTCCCCCCGACGAGATCGTTGTGACGCATTGCGCTTGGCGGGTTGGGATGTCCTTCTGCGGGCGTTGGATGGATATACCACGGGAGACGTCTCGCCAGGAGGACGACGCTCATGACCATCGCCACGAACATAGCCATGACCATAGCCATGAACATCGCCATGATGGGTCGATATCGATGCATGTCCGGGCCCCACTCTAGAGCTCCAGGAACGCGGCGCCGGAAAGCTTGAATTGAAGCCATCAAAAAAGCAATTGTCCGCGTCGTCGACTTTACCATGGTCGAACTACACACAAAGTCCTCTAGAGGCAGGCTGATAGACCTGCTGGTGATGCTACGTCAATCCTTCTTCATAGAGCAGAGGTCTTTCTCTCTGCTAGACCGAGGTATGGGGTATCGTCAACCCACTCTGGCACGGAACGAATCGTTACGGATTATTCCGATCTTTCTTCGACGGAGACGGAAGCTTCTACGTCAGTCTACCCGTGCGTAGCAAGGCTACATGAAGGTGTAGTGGGGGTTCAAGAGCTGGTTCTGCCCTGCTGTCTCGGAGACTGTCCGATACCTCGTTAGTCTTGGGACGACCAGGGTGGCCATGCTATGTACGCATGCAGTACATATCAACGTCATCATTGGGTAGTATAGAAGCTAGAACTTCACACTTCCATAGCTTCTATAATAGGAAAATGGTGACGTTTTGTTCAGACAGTATAGACATGATGCATCCAAGAACCCTCATAATGTATTAATACGCAGCCATCATTTCGTATTTTTTTATTGTGTCATACCCTAACTATAGTTCGGGCGGGCTGGGAGAAAATAGTAAAAAGATATATCTCCAGGTTCGCAACAGACGCCTCCTTCCCTCATTCCCGGTTCACCGACTCATCTAAGCATCCTTCTCAGCGGCCTTTCGGGCCTTGGCGCCTCTGAGCTTCTTCTCAGGGCTGTCTTTCTTTGGTCGTTGGGATTTTCGGATAGCACTGGCACGGAGAACGGCCTCAGGGCGGAGGTCCGCTCGGTATCCGCCGGTCACAGCTCGGTTGGCAACACCCTTGTATACCCTGAGAGAAAAATATCATGTTTAGCATAGCGTCCGGCCAAGGGTATATATGTCTTCCTCCTCCTTGTCACTTGATATATCGCACTCCTTTGAGCCTCGATAACCTCGACAGTCGGAACATGGAGCATAACATCGACAGAATTCGGGGGGTTCTTACTTGCGGTTGGCGGAGCCGGATCCGTGGTTGGCAGTGACAGTGTTGGAGGCGGGCTTGAAGGTGTTGGCGGCCTTCTTGGTGGTGACAGCAACACCGCCGTTCTCACCAGCCTGGACGCCGATAGCCTATTATAGCCAAGAGAACCAAGTCAGAATAAAGCCATGAATGTTCCTCCACGTTGATTGCGCCGTCTATCCTCTCTTTTGTCCGTCCACCTCTCGCATTCAACGCCTTTCTCGTACACTTATTTCTGGCGCAAACTATAACCGTATGAATAGGGGTGAGTGAATACCTTGGAGTTGACGAATCCAGCATACTATAACAGTAAAAGAACCCAGTTAGTCCATAACCTGAAGTAAGAGACACTATATCCGATCCCATGTTAAATAACCCACCTTTCTCGAGTGCTTGTTGATCAAGTTCAATGGGTCACGAGAAAACTGTGCACCACCACCGGTCGATCGCTTAACCAAGTAGGCATTCTGGGTTCCTAATCATTCGAAAAATCCCTTCTAATCAGCTTCAACTGTGTGTTTAACCGCGCGCATCAACCGCAGACTCTGGCATCTCGAAACGTGGAGAACGGAAGGGGGTTCGTACGGGCAATACCCCAGACGAGGTCGTCGGACACGTTAGGACGGGCGGTAGCAGCCATGGCGTCTAGGAGAAAAACGGGTGACTTCGTGGAGGGAGGTGGAGGGTGGTTTGTTGGTGATGGTTGAACTGAGCCCTTCTTTCTCGTGCACCGAATTTGGCGATGGGTGAATATTGTTGTGTGTATTCGCGCCCAGGAAAAAGTCTTGGCACCCGGGTAACCTTCCTTGCCGGGAAGACTCGCTAACTTGGCCCGTTTTAGTCTAGGCTGACTTAGCATATGTGCTTACGTAAGATATTCTAATCACCTGATATCACGTGACTGGAGATGTGCTGACTTTCCTTTTTGCGGGCGTCAAAAGAAGAAGACGCGATAACAAGAGGACGAGAGACAAATATCAGCTTCGACGCAGCCTTGAAGGCAGCACCCTATACTACGTTCGTTCTTTACTCTATATAGCCTGCCTCTCCCGGTAGGCGTTGACTTGGACCCTTCCATCTCCTTTCTAATACTTACAACCCGCCTGAACTCTCTTATCAACGGCCAACGCAACATCCCTGGTATACCTAATCTACCGACGTCATGGGCTACTTTTTCTATTCTCTCAGTTTCTTTATTTTCCTCTCTGTTGCAGGTAAGCTGGAGATCATGCCTTTCCGTCTATTCCGTTCGCAAGAGCCCCCTGTTTTTGTATCCCGAAGATTCCAAGTGACCATCGAACTAATCTCCTTCTATAGCGGCCTACTTCACCCGCGATCGCTGGCTTCCTCACCTCCCTCTCCCTCCATTCCTCTACACTCAGCTACCAACAAGTTTCAGAGGCGATGCCGAAGCGGGACTATCCTCTGCGGACTTTAATCTCGCAGATAACATCGTGGAGGGTGATTCCCGTGCCGGCCTAGATAAGCGCGGAAAGTCCGAGGTTCTGCGGATCATGAAGAGTAGAAAGGTCGATTTCAACGAAGCCAGACGGATATATACCGAACAACGCTTTGCGAAGAATAACATTGGCCCTGATGGGAGGCCGCGAGATCCGAAGTTTGTGTCGTTCTCGTGATAGACCGGTTTTCCGTCTATCTTTGGGAAGTGATTGCTATTCCGAGACCAACAGTGGGATGAAATACCTTCGGCTATATACCTTCCCACGAGTCCCCTTTGTCCAATTTTTTTTAAATCTCCTTGGGTACGGAGCGCAGGAGTGCGGGGTTTGAACTTCATTTTAATCATAATATTCTTGTTATTGCCTGTTTCTAAGGCTCTTGGGCGCTTCTAAGCCGTTTCTCTTCACTAACCCTATCCAGGCTATCTCCTTGTCCAGTTCTGTCTCAGCGTTGATCGTTTGCGATTTCTCGTTTGTTCGTCGTCCTTAGTGTACTATTAGCCATCCCTCATACATTGCAGTCGCAACATCTCTGCAAATATCCAAGAACATAGTTGTTCAATACAAGCTTGACCTCATCCACCACTTGATGCTGCTTTGAACAGGCATGAGCAGGCGAACCGAGCCTGTGACTCGAACTCTTAAGGTCCTAATGCCTAGCTGGGATGTATTCACTTGATGTAAATGTTCAGAAAGACGGACCATCATGATATCTAGGAGGCTCGAGCCTCCGGCCAGTAAAATATATTTTGAATCCACCTTCACGTTAGCTTAATGGGCATTTCAACGACCGCGGCCGTATCCCTGTTGTTGAAATCCAGGCGGTAGCTGGGCTGGCGGGCCACCCGGGCCAGGTGGCCCTCCAACAGGAGGTGGAGCGAAACCAGCAGGCGGAGGCTGACCAAATCGAGGTGGCTGAGCAGGAAATCCTGGAGGGGGCCCGCCATAGCCAGCTTGAGATGGCGGAGGGCGTGCAGGAAGTCCTGGCGGAGGTGTAACTAGTGGTTGAGATGGGTGTGGTGGTGGGTGCGGCGCATGTGGTGCGCGATGGTGTGGGAGTGGACCGGCCATATTCATGTTCGGATATCCCCCGTTCATCACTGGGGGGGCCATGCCTCTGCCAGCGCCAAAGTCGGGCGGTGTTGGTCCAACATTCATCGGCGGTCGTGGCGGTTCAGCTTCCATCGCCTGCCCCGGAGGCACGGCAGGAGGCCCATTTTGTCCACCAGCACCGCCAGGAGCAGGGCCAGTACCGCCGGCAAATTGGGGAGGTAGCGATTGCTGTGATTGAGGCTGGACGTTGTGTTTCCGTGCCTGCGCAGCAAGCATTCGCTCGGCTTCATCACCATGTCTCTCTCCTTTTCCATCTTTCTTGTAGGCGTATTGAACGGTTATCTCCTTATTCATCAGATATTGCCCATTCATGTTGGTGATAGCATCATCGGAAGCCTCGAAATTGGAGAAAGATATGAATCCATAGCCTTTGGATAAGTTCGCATCGTCTCGGGCAACCTGTAATACAGAATCAGTACAAATAAAGATCAAAGCTAAAATCAAGAGTCTTGCATCAAACTAACCTTGGGAAGTGATATCAAAGATCCAAATCGACTGAACGTATCGTATAGCACCTGCTCTGATACCATAGGGTCCAAATTCCCAACGAACAGCTCCGCACCAACTTCGACTGTTTTCTGCTTGTCGGCAGACGCCTTGTTGACTCGAATTGGCTTGCCGTATAGACGTACTTGGTTCATGATCCTGGACGCATATTCGGCATCCTCTTCGCTATTAAACTCGACGAAGCCGTAGCCTTGGTGCGTTTGCGTGACGCGGTCTTTGGGGAGGTGTACGTTAACAATACGGCCGGCCTGAAGCATCAGCTCCCACACCAGCCTGTCTGTGACTCGCTCATCGAGATTCCCAATGTATACTGTTGCCTCCTTGTCTTGTTCCCTAGTTTCAGTTAGCCCTCTGCCTGTATGCGCGAGACGGGGAAACGCGACCAAACGACCTACCAGTGCCTTGCGCCGGACATGATTGCTCCTTAGACTGATAATTAAACAATATGGCTGTCTGGAAAACACGCGACGACTGCACATCAATATCTATGTCGGCTGTGCAAGTATTTTGATGTTTGGTCAATGGAGAAAGACAGTTGAGCGCCAAGAAAGGAAGCTAATTTTTCCTGATCGAGCTCCGAAATCCATGGACGAACTTCTTATCTCCACGAATTTTCCTCCATCATCAGGGACAACACTGGCAAACACTACAGGCTATTACTACAATCTAATACTATATTAAACGAACCAGTGCAAGAACCAGTGCAAAGATGATGAATTTTTCAGAAGAGACAAAGGTAGGATATCTCAACTTTCCAGCTTGTTCGCGATAGAAACCGTTCTAACACCAGCATTAGGAGCGCATCTCCAAGGTCATCGACGTTTCGCGGGTTGCCATACACTAGTGAGTGAATCTATCTTGATGATGGCAGGCTGGCTTTGGCTATTTTTATGAGAAACGAGATGGAGGACTAACCGTTGCCGTTCGATGGCTCTACAGCGGATATCTTCCATTGATCGTTTACCTTGGTAAGTGATGAGAAGACTGATATCTACCTCTGATCAGTTCAATCTTGCTAACTTCTACCAGGATACACATACAGTGAACCAAGACCGACTCTCCTCAAGTATGACATTATTCCGAGCAGCAACTGCTTACCGGGCTTTCCCACTGACGTGACTCCTACCAGACTCTTCTCCCCCCTCGCATAAAACATTACGACGAACATTTAAGGGCATGGAAAGGCGTACGACTATAAAATGGCGGTGTTTTATACGAAGGACTGGAAATAATAATTCTCGGCAATATAGGCTTAACGCCATGCACACTTCCGGCCTCATCTTTTTCTCGAGGGATCAGCCCATCTATTTGGACTGAATTCACGCAGCAGTCCCACCGCGTTTACGACGATTGTGGAGGTTGAACACTGGATCATTTCTAGTGGAAAGTCTCTATTTCCTTTCTACTTGTATCATTATAACATTTCAATTGAGCACAATTTTCCCCTTCAGTGTCTGTCGACACACTTCAGCGAACCAAGAAGAATTACATACTACCTTAAACTGGCGAGGTCACGGTGCCGCCTTGACCTGATGTGATTCCAGAATCAGATTGTTACTGTCATTGATGAATATTCCGATCTATATGGCCATTAACGCGGGTTCGCATCCTAGTCAATTTTTGTTAGTAGAGCCCAAGTGTAGGATTAAACCACGGACAAGCCCTAAATACATCTATCGAAGCTCCTATAATACCTCTTAAGGCCCTGTATTCAGATATAAAGCTGCGGGAGTGCCTGTTCGGCCAAGGAAGTCTTCCGCTCCGCTCTGCAAAACAAAAATTTGGCTCTCCAACTCTCCGCAAATACAATATCATAGCTAATTTTCGCCGCCACAGTGAGTTCCCTACGAGGAATTGAAGAATACAGAGAGATTTACAGCAAGGAGGTTTCATGAATGACAAAAATGGCCTTTCCTCGTCGTTGGTTGAGACGATAGCTGGCTTTAGTGCCGGCATTTGCTCAACGCTTGTCGTCCACCCCCTTGATATAGTCAAGACACGGCTACAAGGTAGGCAAACCTCGATATAACATCTAGAGACCATGCTAATCTGGCTTCGACCACCCAATTATAGTGGATCGGTTTTCAACCTCGCGCATCGGCAATTCTCTTCGCATTATCCGTGGCATATCACGCAATGAAGGCGGAGTACAGGCATTCTATCGAGGTCTCACGCCCAATCTGGTTGGGAATTCCGTGAGCTGGGGCTTATATTTCTTGTGGTATGGCGAAATTAAAGAGCTTTTAAGTGTGTCCCGTGGGGATGGAAGCGGTGCTGGTGGGCTTTCGTCGTTAGATTACTTCGTCGCATCCGGGACTTCAGGTATGTTCATATATCTACACCATTTACTCTCGTATCCCCCTCATATAACCCAGAGTTAACGTATTTATATTCTCCAGGGGTTCTAACAACCATACTCACCAACCCAATATGGGTTATCAAAACCCGAATGCTCTCCACCGGTGCCCAGGCGCCAGGCGCGTACTCCTCGATGATGGCAGGAGTCCGGCAAATATACCGTACGGAAGGCCTGAGTGGATTCTACCAGGGTTTGGTGCCAGCTATGTTTGGAGTGAGCCACGGCGCCTTACAGTTTATGGCATATGAACAGTTGAAGAAATATCGTGCGCGGATGGCCCTATCTACCTCATTCGATGGGGCCGCGCCATCAACTGACACGGCCTCGACGCAGCTGAGGACGTTGAGCAACATGGATTATCTCCTACTGTCAGGCATATCTAAGATTTTCGCCGGCTGTGCTACCTACCCATACCAGGTACTCCGCGCCCGCCTACAGACGTATGACGCAAGAGGAACCTATAAAGGTGTACGTGATGCCTTTGTCCAAATATTGCGGACAGAAGGTTTAGCTGGATTCTACAAGGGTTTGGGGCCAAATTTGATCCGCGTTCTGCCTAGTACGTGGGTTACATTTCTTGTCTATGAGAATGCAAGGATATATCTGGCGGTATAGAAATGATGTAAGTCAGTTGAATAGGAAAGACTTTATAGTTTTCCATGTTGAGGCAATAGTCTTATATTTCATGCAGGAACACATGATTTTTTCTTTTCTTTTACCAAGCTTGCTTAAACTGGTAGCTCAAGAGTTTGGCATTCTGCAGATTTCCTATGGCATATGCATATACTGCCCTCCGTTCATTATTATCATGGATGATCAACCATCAATAATCAAAGATGTGGATACAAACGATGTGGCACAGCATCAACGTTGTTATCTCAGTGCAATATACTTACCTTCCTTTCCCTGCCAATCCAAGTATTATTATTTAATAATTCAGGCCCCCCCTGTTCATAAGGAACAGTTCCAACACCATAACGCTCTTTGTTAAGTAGATATCCGGGGTATACTTCATCCCATATATAAGCAAACGGACTATAAAAGCCCAAGGAGCAAGGCTGAAGTTCAAGTAGAGCTAGTGAGGTTTGGCTAAACTGTAGAGATAGACGACGGAGGTAAGGTAGGTGGATATAAGCCGAAATATAAGAGCGGGTAAGTACACAAGGGCGGCGAAATTGATGATGGCAATAAGCAGGAGAACTGATAGATACATGCTCTGAAATAAGTTTAATTGGTTGGGTAGGTATAAGGGTAACAAAACAGATTGGTATAATGGTATGAAACTACAGCCAGACAAACACCTTGAGTAAAGAAAATGAAGAAGCCAAAAAAGGTCAAGGTATGCTAGCTGCTCATGCTGTGTATTTGAAAAAAAAAAAAACAACAACCATGATGGAAAAGAAAAGATGAAAAAGAAAGGAAGAAATGAGAGCAAGTCCCCTCCATGAATGATGCAAAAGTTTCGAGTAGTAGTAGCAGGGGTGTCGAAAAGTGCGGAATTAGAAATTATTCCTCTCGCTGTTGGGTTGAAATGGAAGAATAGGAAACGTGGTTCTCCTTCCTTTTTGCGGGTAGTTAAAAAAAGGAAAGGAGCCCCTCCAAACGAGGTAGCAGAGCCGAGTGCTTTTTGCCGTATTATGGCTTTTTGCGGGAATACTTCCGCCAAATGCTCCAATCCCACCTTTATATACTCCTAATACCCATGACTGTGCTCGATTTTTTTGGATTTTGATTTTTTTTCTTTTGAAAATGTTATCCGTGGTACCTGATTCAGTGAGATCACGGTAAAGGGACAAATGCTGTGCCATTCGTAGTTTGATTATATTGCGGTAACCCGATTAGTGACCCCCTCGTTGATACATCTGCTCGTGGAATTCAACATCATCACTGCTGGGGGTTCCAAGGTAAGTACCACGGTGGTAGCTTCTTTCCCGCATTAGCTTTGCCTCTTCTTCGTTACCAAGTGCGAGTTGGTGTGTGGGCATTCTGTTGTTCGGAGCAGCTGAGACAGGAACGGAATTCATGATATTATTAGCGCTCGTATCGGAGTTGTTTGTCTTGGTGGAATTCGAACGGGCTTTTGCAGTCGATGAGACGCGGCGATCTTTTCCGCGACCTTTGATGCCCTTGTTGCTGTTTTTATAGAGCATGGCGAAGTATTCCCACATTTCTGCGTCCTGTGGGTTCATTCTATCAGGCTCAGTAATCATGGCAAACCGCACGGTGAGATTCCGTAGAGTTTGAGCGTGGAATTTGTTTTGGTGGGACTGTGGTATGGTTAGATCTGAACTGCATCACATAGATTGCTTTCAATCAGTTGTTCCGTTAACGTACCTTGAGGTTTCCTAACTGTGTGAATTGTTTCCCACAATCGTCTAGTCGGCACGTAAATGGCTTCGCTTGGTCGTGGGTGATCTTATGAGCGCGAACGTTTCCTCGTTGAGCAAAACGCTTGTGACAGATATCACAGGAGTAGGGTTTCTCTCCGGTGTGCCGCCGTTCATGAGTCTAGATTAAGGATGGGAGGTTAGCTATATTAAATATGTTATTAAGGAAAAGTTATGTATTGAATTACCTTCAGGTTTCCAAGTTGGGAGAAGCGTTGACCGCAACCAGGCTCGCCGCAAAGCTAGTTCGATAAGGGTCAGTATACCAAATTCCAGCTAAGTACAAGGGACTGGAGGATTGATTTCCATTTCCTCCGTGGATATACATACGAATGGCTTGTCACCGGTATGGGCTCGCATGTGGATGTCCAGGTGTGTCTTTTGCGTGAAATTCTTGCGACACTCCGGTAGTGTGCACTCGTACTTGCGTCGTGACTTTTGCTTCGTCGATGCATTGCGCGTCTGCTGATGGGGTGCATAGCCGGGTTGTTGTATCTGTTGGGCCTGCTCTTGGGAAATGGGGGCACCGTAGTTTGGCTGAGCCCATTCGGGAGCACCACCATGCATGCCAACGTTACTCGACGTAGTAGCACCGTTGTTGAACTTCTGAAGAGGTGGTAGCTGTAGCTGTGGCTGGGACGCACTTCGTGGTTTCGACTGGATCGCTCTCATGAGGGTATCGATTTCGGTGGAGAACTCGACTTCTGGCTTGCTACCCGGAGGTGAGGGTAGCTTGCTGATTTCAGCACTCCGGTTGTGCTGTTCGATTGGGGCACGCACTGGCTGAGATTCCTCAACCCTTGTAACTGGCGCTCCTACCATCCGAGAGACGCCATTCTTCGCATGACGGGGATCCGGGATCGGCTGTTGCAGGGCTGCTGGTTGGTTAGGTGGTAACCTTGATTGTGACGGTGGTAAGTGCGGTTGAGGTTGGGGCTGTTGCTGCGGTTGCTGATGCTGTTGCTGATGCTGCTGAGGATGTTGTTGTTGATGATGCTGTTGGTGCTGCGGGTGCTGTGGGTGCTGAGGGTGTTGCTGGTGCGGCTGATGGTGCGGATGTGGTTGATGTTGTTGCGGATGCGGTTGGTGTTGCTGGTGCTGCTGGTGATGCGGTTGATGATTCGGATGTTGTTGTTGCTGCTGTTGCTGCTGCTGCTGCTGTTGTTGCGGGGGTGGTGGCTGCTGTTGCGAATGGTGATTCTGTCCGAAGAAGCCATGGTAAGATGCAGCAGCAGGGTGATGGTTGGTGTTCAAGATGTGTCCAAAGTCGAGTGACGACGGCTGGATCGGTGCAGCGTATGAGAGTGCCGGGTTCGAGTAATAGGTGATGTTTTGTTCATGATGCGGTGCCATCATACGACGGTGAGCAACATTAGCCAAATCATGGCTGGAAAAAGTACACGGAACAGGCACCGCTGTCTCCATTTTTAATCACAAAGGTATCGATGCTCCAAGTGTGGTGGCCGAACCACATCCCCGGGCGAAGATTCAAGGCGGTCAAGCAAGTGATTTGGATGTCAATAAGTTTGTTGTCCAATGCTGTGAAGAATGAACAACAATCCAACGGCTTGGGGTAAAGAGACGACAAGTGTAACTTTTGCTGGTGCTTTTATTTCTTTACTTTTTGTTGTCGTGCTTCTCGGTGAATATTTTCTTTTTTTTTCCTTTCCCCTTCTTGTCTCTTTTCTTTTCTCTCGCACGGGTATTGTTTGGTGCCTGCTTTGGTATGGCTATGTTGTATTTAAGTTCGATAGAAGGGGAGCGGCTGGTGGGCTAAATACAACCAGGTCAGAGGGTGGTTTTGGTGCAAGGCAGTGACTTGTCAAGTGCCGGGCGTGAGGCAAAATGGTCGATCGATCTAGGGGCGGCGATTGGTTCCCGGGAACAGGCAACAAAGACGTGACCAACAGTTGTATGGATTTCCTCGAAAATGTCGGCAAGAAGTCTCGCGAAGGGAAGGTTGGTGGGAGAAAGGAGCTTATGTATAAATTATATATTGACGGAAGAAGAAAAATTAAGCATAAATCATTGGTATATGATTAGGTCGCGGGGAGGAAAAAAGACAAATCGAATGAACGATATAATGGAGCAAATGACCACTCTTTCAAGTGAATCGTCGGGGACGTAATCCGCAATGTATGATACCAAACTCTCTTCCGATAGCTTAAACTCTCCCTTGAAGCTTGGTCGCGGAAACTTGACGTTAGCGAAGCTGCAGAGTGGGGTTAAACAGCCGGCGTCACTTCAATAGGATTGCCAGGGGAACAAGCTAAAGGCGAAGTTGTGAGATGTTGTTTGATAACAGTGCGCAGATATGTACGGAGTATGTAGATCGCGATTTCATCGAACGTGAGATGCAGAAGCGAGTCTATTTGGCGGTTGGATGCTGTGGATAAGTGTGGGTCATATAAGAGGAGGGTTGAATGATATGTAAGGAAGTGAAAAAAGAGGCGTATTGGCCGGTCGTTTTTGGCGGTACAATATTCGCTCTCCTGCTACACCGAAAAGAGAACGGATCCTGATTAATTTATCGTCATGGCAGAGAGATAGTCTAACGTTTCCGACGAATGAGCTAGGGATCGCACAGATTCAAACACCTAAAAAAATACCTAATGGGTAGCACAAGAGAAGATTAAAAAAATAAAAAAAAAAGTGGATAGGGGGGATGGGAGAGAGAGGGAGAAGGGAGAGGGGGGCACGAAAGCAAGCTCAGATGCAGGATTGTGATCTGGCGGCCGGCATCCATGTTGAATAAAAAAGCGGGCTAGAGTTCAGTCGATGGGTACGCTGTAATGCAGCCGGGAGCACCTAAATCGAGCCTAAGGCTTGGTTAGGCTAAGCTGAAAGAGGCAGAGCATTGTGTGTGGCCGACAAAACAAAGGGCAGATCCCACTGGTCGAGGGTGGCCCATTCGAGGTTGGGTCTGGAGTAGGACGGGCAAGGATGGTGGAGTACACTAGTCGCCCAAAATTGGTAGACCATTGACACTCAATTCGGAATGCCCAAACATCAGAGTTGAATACACGGAGGGCACGGAGCTTTTAGCGTATGCAATCGCCGGGGTCCTGGAACAGTGTTGATCAAGGGACCTCCCTCCCCCCATGTCTGTTGGTCTCCTCTGCACTGAAATGGCAGAAAGGGTTCCCCTATCACTGCGCTTTTGCCATGGCCAGCTAACGTAACCCTGGGAAGGGAGCATTGGTAGTGACAGGCGATCGTCCAGGAGGGTCGCCTTGTTCGCTGCAGAGCGGAGCCAGGCGTATAGTTGCACGCCGAGAAATACGGCACGCTGAGAACTCTCCATCAAAACACGGTCAGCCGACAACCAAGCCAAGACTGCCTTGGCCCTTTGAAACCTCCCCCAAGTCTAGCTCCTTCGAGTGATGGATGGACACCCAACCTTGGTTCCCGCCAGAGCGTAAGCAAAATCCTCGATGGGGTTTAACCTAGGGAGTTTTAGCCCACGGCAATCAGTCAAATCAAACGACTTCTGGAGGCCCCGGCCTGGTTCCAACACCCTACCCACACTCCGTATGGAGCGCAGTACGTTTCTTAGTGTGTATTTGATGGATGGCACCCTCCTGTCCCCATTTAGGGTTATGTACCGTAACTCCGGGCTATGGAGATTTTGATTGTTCTTAGTGGCGAGCTCTCAGACTATTGTTTGCTAGCTGCTGATTGTTGGACCAGGATGTCTGCCATTTGATTGGCGACGATGCCCGTCCACCTCTGCTCCAGCTGTCTCTTGCCCCCCATGTTGCCGCCAGCATGATTGGCCAGACGTCCGTATAGATCCGGAAGAGGCACGAGACCTGCCGCCAATCGCGGAAGATTTCAAGCACATCCGGGCGAGGACAGGAGGACAGCAGAGGGTCAGAGGCATTTTTCCTGGCTCCGCTAAGCGCTGCAAGGGTGGTGTACGGTCCCAAATGACGGGAATTTCAGTGGGTCGTCGAATCCCTGGGTTGCGGATGGGATGGATATCGAACTGGGGCGTCCGGATCGAGGCTGATGGGGGTGTCATGTCATCGCCGACTAGACTAGTGTGGCTCAGCCAGCTGAAAGGCAAAAAAAGTCTCTTTGCGGCCGCCAAATCTGATATATCTCACCGGCGTATTAACCGTCGACAAAAGATGCTCAAAGTATGCTCGAAATGTATGTTGGATAGGACGCAAAGTTGGAGTCGCGAAAGAAGGTCGTTCCTGATTCCTCTTTTGGGTCGGCCCTTCTTGGGTTGCTTAGATAAGCTGTGACCGGTAACAAACCTGGAGAAACACCGCTGATTGGCTGGGACCTGCAAACTTACGCGGTTCCAGCCAATGGACGGCCGTCTTTCAGTACGGAGAGCGGGGCCAGGTACCGACCAGGAAACGACCCCCAAACAAAAGCTGGGACACTTTTTTTATATTTTTATATTTTGGCTTCATCTTTGCTTCTTCAACCATCGCGATCTCCACCACTGCGATGCTATTTTAATATATAATGACATGTTATATGCACAGGGGGATGACATACTTGGGCCTATATCGGCATATTTACATCATAGTTGTCCCGGCAAGAGGGAAAGCTGATCGGTGGCTTGTTGGGACAAAACCTTCCTCATGGGACCGGAAAGCCAATATCAGACGTCAGCTATCGGCGAAAAAACGGTGTTGACATCCAGTCGGGACTCGACAAAGCTCGAAGGCGTTGCTTTTGACGGCGTGCTGCTTGTTGCTGCTGCCGTCTCGGCTCCCTGCTTCTTGGGATCCCATGTGGAGCGGCGAAATATGTATGCATATCCAGAAAAGAAAAGCTGAGGAAAGGTAAAAGTCGATCTGAAACTCGGGGCGTTTCCTGAATGTTCATCCTCCTCATGCTTCGCTCGCAGCAAAGGGGGGAAAAGCAAAAAGTCTCTTGTGCTCCGGCTCTTGGGAATAAAATAGCTGTAGTATTCCCTGGTCCGCCATGCCACTTTGTTGATCTGCATATTGACATACATATAGGACTCTCCTAAAGCCTGCATGCCATGCGGCGTGCAACACGAAGTGTTCATTCCATGGCTACATACATTACATACGGAGAATATAGCAATATCAATCAGTCCCACAAGAATAGCTCTAACACGAAGAGCGACTCGTGTTGTGTCCCAGATTTAGAATCGTCCAAACTCTCCGCCGTGACTTTCTACCACGCTCTCAGCCTTGGGGGTGAGGATCTTTGAAACCGTTACATAAATGATATCCGTATAAGGGCCGAAGTCAGTGCTCATCTCATGCAGCATGCGTTACAAGCAGAAACGTTTTTTGCCTTTCCAGGTGGTGTGTCGCCCAAGTCAGATGGCCCATACGGCTTAGTTGGAGTAAATATGAATGTCTGTATATCATCACCGTCCGAGGAAAAGAAAGAAGTACTTCTCGGACCCCTATTTAGCTCCCGGCTAACCTTGATCAGATGGAACGTGGCAGCAAAAAAGAAAAGGACCCCCATCAACGACTAAATGAAAAAGGAAAAGGAGAGGGAGAAAAAAGAAATGCATTCCGCAAAAGTAACGACGGAATATGCAAGGCTAAATCGTCATCTCGCCTCCCGAAGACCTGCTGGGACAGGCTGTCAGAAGAGCACGTATTCACGATCAGCTATCCAATAAATCAAAGCTACGAGAAAATGAAGGCATCCACACGACAATCGCCAGGAACGGACATCCGAGACGCGCTCTCTCAGCTCCAAGTCCCTTTTGGGTGCACCAGGATCATTATTAAAAATAGCCTTCAGTTTGCTGGCATTCTCCTCCTCCACACAACTCAACAACAGCGTCGACATACTTCGGCTGCACACGCGCC